ATTGTAACGCAGGTGTCACAAAAACGGGTTGTCCCCAAAAACAGAGTTTGCATGAAGTTCATGTTATTCCAACTTATTTTCCAGCCTGACAATCAAAATACATGATAATGGCCCTTTCTAGCCTGTTTTTTAAAATATATATTTTTATTAGTTTTCGGTTACAATCCAATAATAGCCTCATTATAACAATACCAGTTTATAATACAATTATTAATACCAATCGTTCAAATAACAAATTAAATAATTTAGATAAAGTGGCCCCCACATACTAGATTTGATAGATTTCTTTATTTATGCGTTCCAAAATCTTATTAATTTCCACTACATTCTGGTCATAATAATAATCCCTTATTCAACAACTGCAATATTAATAACTTCTGTTTATGTCGACACATTCAATGATTTATAAAACTGCAAGTGAGGAACTCAGAGCCAGGGCTTTTTCGGCCGTGGCCCCGATCTGGTGGAACGCTCTGTCACAAGAGACTAGGGCCCTGCGGGACTTGACATCTTTCCTGGCCTGCAAGGAAAGCTGTTCCACCAGGCCTTTGGCCAGGGCACAGTCTGACCCCCTCCTTTGGTAATCCTCACAGAACTCTAGCCCAATGGTTGCCATCAATTTGATTTTGAATTGATTTTAGAATGAATTGATTTTAGAATGTATTTCAATTACAGTACTTGATTGTGATTTTATGTAAACGGTGTTATTTTTACTGTTGTTAGCCGCTCTGAGCCCGGCTTTGGCTGGGGAGGGCGGAATATCAATAAAATTTTATTTTATTATTATTATATCCTTGTTCTTCCTGTGTGTGGCAATTATTCTGTCCATGGTATTTCTTCCTGTCCTTGTAAGATGTTATGTCTTTCTTTCCCCTGATTGTTGCTGATATCCATCATGCCTTGGGCAGAGCTGCTATCCCACTGTTGTTCCAGAAATTTCCATTGCTCAGTCCCAGGCTTCGTTGTTTTGCAACTTTAACAACAGCAGCAAAAGTCACTCTGTCCCAATAAATAACCTGTTTTCACAATTTTCCCTCTCAGCCTGGGAAGAAGAGTGGTCTGTCAAACTGCAGATGACTCAATAAAGAACCTTATCAGTTCCTTGGCAGCTCACAGACTCCTTTCCTCCTTTCTTCCAACTGAAGATAAATGAGCAATTATACTTTCAATTAAATTAAAATCCAAGTCCTCTTAGCATTATTCAGTTCACTCCGTAAATAATAAAGGATGGGGAAGAGTCAGCTCTAAGTTTCCATTGTAAACCTTTTGCAAAATAGAGCTTCCCTCTCTTTTCCCTTTTTTTACACACATAGTTCCATTTGGTGCTATATTCCATATTTATAATCCAATTTCTTCCATCCTCGCTTGGACGAATATAATTTGAACTAACATCCAGAGGAGGGTTGCCGAATCATAAATTTAGAGAAGAAAACTCTAAATAAAGAAACCCTAGGCTCCTGTCGCCCCACCGTCTTTTCTCAAGTTCAGCCCTTAAAGTCCTTGCTGTTTGTTTTGTTCTGCAGTTTGTGATCTCATCTCTTCCAGCATGCACCTGTACTTTAGTTCAATTAAGCTCTAATTAACAGGAGAACCTCTGCTTCTGAATGGCAGCATTGGAGGGTTATTGACAGGTGAAGTGCTTTTGCACTCAGCGCCTCCCTGCCCCCCACATTCCATGCCAGAGCAAGAGCCAGGTACCGAGACGAACAGCGAGTGAAGCCTGTTCCCCCCTGTCCCTGGGGGGGAATTTGCAAGGATAATTACCCTCAATCATCCTTGTTTTTCTTTCACCAACGATTTCCCACTGTCGTGGGAGCTGCCTCCCTTAAGGCAGAACAGAACCGAAAGCCACCTTTCTAGCCTGTTTGAGACATTCTTAAAAATGGTGGCCACCTTGGCTCCCAAACCCATTGTCATGATCCCTTCTTCATACACTGAATATGCTCCTTTGACAGCTCTGCTCCTAATCAATACTTGCAGAGTGGAGGTCCATTCAGCTTTTCCTGTTACCTGACTTGAGAGGGTCTCTGAGGTTAACTGGGGGTTAAATGTGACTGCTGTATTGCTTTCTGTTTCAGCCATGTGGTTTATGTGCTTATGTATGTGCAGTTACTTTGTGTACTTAGGACACCCTAGAATTCTATTAACACTGGCTACAAATAGGTAAGGGACGCGGGTGGCGTTGTGGGTTAAACCACAGAGCCTAGGACTTGCTGATCAGAAGGTCGGCGGTTCGAATCCCCACGAAAGGGGTGAGCTCCCATTGCTCGGTCCCCACTCCTGCCAACCTAGCAGTTCGAAAGCACGTCAAAGTGTAAGTAGATAAATAGGCACGGCTCCGGCGGGAAGGTAAACGGCGTTTCCGTGCGCTGCTCTGGTTCGCCAGAAGCGGCTTAGTCATGCTGGCCACATGACCCGGAAGCTGTACACCCGCTCCCTCGGCCAGTAAAGCGAGATGAGTGCCGCAACCCCAGAGTCGGCCACGACTGGACCTAATGGTCAGGGGTCCCTTTACCTTTACCTTACAAATAAAAGAGTCCGTGATCATGTAACATGTTGTTGTTGTTTAGTCGTTTAGTCGTGTCCGACTCTTCGTGACCCCATGGACCAGAGCACGCCAGGCACTTCTGTCTTCCACTGCCTCCTGCAGTTTGGTCAGACTCATGTTTGTAGCTTCGAAGACGCTATCCAAACTCTTGTCCTCTGTCGTCCTCTTCTCCTTGTGCCCTCCATCTTTCCCAACATCAGGGTCTTTTCCAGGGAGTCTTCTCTTCTCATGAGGTGGCCAAAGTCTTGGAGCCTCAGCTTCAGGCTCTGTCCTTCCAGTGAGCACTCAGGGCTGATTTCCTTCAGAATGGATCGGTTGGATCTTCTTGCAGTCCATGGGACTCTCAAGAGTCTCCTCCAGCACCAGAATTCAAAAGCATCCATTCTTCGGCGATCAGCCTTCTTTATGGTCCAGCTCTCACTTCCATACATCACTACTGGGAAAACCATAGCTTTTACTATACGGACCTTTGTTGGCAAGGTGATGTCTCTACTTTTTAAGATGCTGTCTAGGTTTGTCATTGCTTTCCTCCCAAGAAGCAGGCGTCTCTTAATTTCGTGGCTGCTGTCACCATCCATGATTGATCACTGCAGATGGTGACAGCAGCCACGAAATTAAGATCATGTAACATAACCCATGCTAAAAGAAAAGAGAAAAGGGGAGCGTGTGGGTATATCCGATTTTGAAGCCTAATGGACCACAAAGTCAGGGTTCAGAGATCTGTGCCTCCTGTACATGCTCAGCCCTTTGAAATCCTATACCAGCTGAGCACAGAAATCTCTGGCCCATTCTTTAGATCCATATCCAGCGAGGCATATAGCTGATCCCTGAGGAGCAAAGTGGGGGTCCCATTGGCACTTGTGAGCTAGCAGACTATTGAAATTTTGAGGTTTAAGTACAGTTGCGGTCCAACTCTTCTGTATGGAAAAGGGAAGGGCTTTCTGAGTAAGCAAATAATGAGAGTCATTCTCCCAGAGATTCAAATGTTTGCAGGTGCCACTGTTTGGATATCTGAATCAGACATTCGTGTAGTGAGGTTAGGATACAAATCCTTCATGTTTGGTTAACAGTATGCAGAAGACACCCAGCTCTACCTCTCCTTTAAATCAGAACTAGTGAAGGCAGTGAAGGTCCTGTGTGAGTGTCTGGAGGTGGTTGGAGGATGGATGGCGGCCAACAGATTGAGGTTGAATCCTGACAAGACAGAAGTACTGTTTTGGGGGGACAGGAGGCGGGCAGGGGTGGGGGACTCCCTGGTCCTGAAGGGAGTAACTGTGCCCCTGAAGGACCAGGTGAGCAGCCTGGGAGTCATTTTGGACTCACAGCTGTCCATGGAGGCGCAGGTCAGTTCTGTGTCCAGGGCAGCTGTCTACCAGCTCCACCTGGTACGCAGGATGAGACCCTCCCTGCCTGCAGACTGTCTTGCAGAGTGGTGCATGCTCTGGTTATCTCCCGCTTGGACTACTGCAACGCGCTTTACGTGGGGCTACCTTTGAAGGTGACCCGGAAACTGCAATTAATCCAGAATGCGGCAGCTAGACTGGTGACTGGGAGCAGCCGCCAAGACCACATAACACCGGTCCTGAAAAACCTACATTGGCTCCCAGTACGTTTCCGAGCACAATTCAAAGTGTTGGTGCTGACCTTTAAAGCCCTAAATGGCCTCGGTCCAGTATATCTGAAGGAGCATCTCCACCCCCATCGTTCTGCCCGGACACTGAGGTCCAGCGCCGAGGGCCTTCTGGTGGTTCCCTCATTGAGAGAAGTGAGGTTACAGGGAACCAGACAAAGGGCCTTCTCAGTAGTGGCACCCGCCCTGTGGAACGCCCTCCCATCAGATGTGAAGGAAATAAGCAGCTATCCTACTTTAAAAGACATCTGAAGGTAGCCCTTTTAAGGGAAGTTTTTAATATTTAATGCTGTATTGTTTTTAACACTCGATTGGGAGCCGCCCAGAGTGGCTGGGGAAACTCAGCCAGATGGGCGGGGTATAAATAATAAGTTGTTGTTGTTGTTGTTGTTGTTGTTGTTACAACTGTTTTGAGCCACTGCTAGGTTATGGAGGGGTCTTTGGGAGGAGTAACTTGTTATAAGACCGATATTCTGTTCTTCCCTCCCAATTGCAGTTCTGCCTGTTTCCCCTCTTGTTTAATCTGCATACTTGGGGGTTGAAGGGATCTATGCAGATATATAATGCCACTTAGACAATCTCTATAAGGAGGTGCCTGATACATACAAATAAATGATAATGCGTGAGAAAGATTGGTGCCGCAGTGCCTGCTTTCTGGCACAGGCTAAACCACAGACTCTCTTGGTTTTGGGGGCTCAAGAAGCAAAAGGGAGAGATGAAGGAAGCCTGCTCAATGGGCATTTATTGGAGATACAAAATCTATGAAATCCCCTCACTCACCCCTAAAACAATCAAAAATCCACCACCCACAGGTGCTGATCCCTAGCACTGGTCTTCTGCCTTGGTGCCATAGACCTCCACCTCGCACAAGGTCAGGTATTCGGCCCTTCCCGGGATGTTGACGCTCACGAAGCGGCCCTTGAGCCAATTGCAGTACAAGGTGCTGACAGAGCCAAGGCTGGTGTCTGTGATGGTCCCACAGCTGGAGAGAGAGAGGGAGAGAGAGAGAGAGAATCAGCTGTAGGGTGGGTTTAATGTGGAATCTCCATCTAAACTGTGAAGGAATACATCCCTAAATATATGCTATTCCTCATGATCCCAGTCAAAGGGTGATGCCCAGTCTCCCCCAAAAGCTGGCCTCCCTGGCGTTTATAATGATGATGATGATAATTTATTTATTTATTTATACCCCGCCCATCTGGGCAGCTTCCAACAAAATATTAAAAATACAATAAAACATCAGACATTAAAAACTTCCCTATACAGGTCTGCCTTCAGATGTCTTCTAAAAGTCAGATACAGTGGTACCGCGGGTTACAGACGCTTCAGGTTACAGACTCCGCTAACCCAGAAATATTACCTCGGGTTAAGAACTTTGCTTCAGGATGAGAACAGAAATTGTGCTCTGGCGGCACGGCAGCAGCAGGAGGCCCCATTAGCTGAAGTGGTGCTTCAGTTTCAGGTTAAGAACGGACCTCCGGAACGAATTAAGTACTTAACCCGAGGTACCACTGTAGTTGTTTATTTCCTTGACATCTGATGGGAGGGCGTTCCACAGGGCAGGCGCCACCACCGAGAAGGCCCTTCTGCCTTGTTCCCTGTAACCTCACTTCTTGCAGTGAGGGAACTTCCAGAAAAAGGCCTTTGGAGCTGGACCTCAGTGTCCGGGCAGAATGATAGGGGAGGATGCATTCATTCATATCACTCACTACCTTTCACTGTAGTCCAGAATAATTACTACAAAATTACCACCACCCACTTTCTCCATCTTTGGTCACTGTCCCTGTCCCACCCTTGTAAAGGGGGCAGGATGGAGGTTGGGGAAAATGAAACTTACAGGGGGTTGGACTTGCCATGGTCAACCACGGAGTCTCCTACATGGATCTGGGCTCCCCGGAGTCTCTCACTGCAGCAGCCCTGACGGTTTTTCACCACCACGGCCGAGATGGCATACTCATCGCCCAGGTCCACGTACCACCAGGGGTCCTGGTCTTGATTAGTGTGGGTGCAGGAGCCTCCGACGAAGAACCCGTCACAATTCCCATCCACAGCGTTTTTTGCGCCAGTAAAAACCTGATTTGGGTAGATGGAGGACTGGAAGGCTGGGCGGCCTTTGGCCAAGTTGTGAGCTGGAGCAGGATGGGAAGGAGATGGAGGGAGAATAAATGGTTAGAGAGTTATACAGCTTCCATGGAAGCTCCTCTCTGGACAAGAACAGGGAGCACAGAGACCAGGGGAAGCTTTGCAAAGCCCTTCAGGAGACCCACTTTCAGTGTTCAAAGAAGCTGCAACAGAAGAGGGAGGAATATCGCCACACTGATATTAAAATAGTTGCATTTCCAGATTTTAATTAAATGTTCCTGCCCTCTTCCCACCTCCCTGCATTTTGGGGCAAGCCCAGTCCTGCAATAAGCTGGTGGTGCTGAGAGCCGGAGGCTGAGTTTGGTCCTTTCTCCTTCAGCCTGACACCTCGCAGGGCTCTTGTGAGGATAAAACGGGGGTTGTCATTGTGCAGTGTAAAGGTAAAGGGACCCCTGACCATTAGGTCCAGTCATGGCCGACTCTGGGGTTGCAGCGCTCATCTCGCTTTATTGGCCAAGGGAGCTGGCGTACAGCTTCCGGGTCATGTGGCCAGCATGACTAAGCCGCTTCTGGCGAACCAGAGCAGTACATGGAAACGCTATTTACCTTCCCGCCAGAGTGGTACCAATTTATCTACTTGCACTTGGACGTGCTTTTGAACTGCTAGGTTGGCAGGAGCAGGGACTGAGCAACGGGAGCTCACCCCATTGTGGGGATTCGAACCACCAACCTTCTGATCGGCAAGTCCTAGGCTCAGTGGTTTAACCCACAGTGCCACCCGCGTCCCTTGTGCAGTGTAAGAGCAGGAAAAAATTGCAGTGACAACAAAGAGGTTACATCTGAACGTGTTGTTGGAGATTTCAAGAGTGTGTTGATTTCTTGCCATCCATGTATACCTCATAGCACATCCACCCCCATTTCACCTGAAGGAATGAGCTACCAGACTGAAGGTCGCATTGGGCAAATGGGAAATCGAAAGATAAACCAGTTCCTCCTCCCTCTCCCCAAGCAGTCTTGAAGGATAATGTAGAATATAGTCCTAAGAGGGCCATCTAGGTGCTGAGTATGAAAGCACACTGAACATGCTCAGAGACCGGCCCTATCCAACCTTGGCATTGATGTCCAATGGTAGCATTGGTCATGGCCTTCCCAGACCCATTTTTGGGGGTGCCCCGATGAGCAATGGGCTCCTGATGCTGAGCTCTAGAGGCTGCACCATCAGGAAACAGCAGCCACCTCAGTGCTGCATCCTCTGCCTGTGGGTGAAACAGCCCCAGTCTGAACACATAAAGGGATGAATCTGATGAATGGGTCCAACGGAGGGGAAATGTTGTTCCCCCATCACAACTTGTCAGGTCTGAACCCTTTGGATAACTAATTCAGGCTTTGCCATCTTAATATGTGACGTCCTCACTAGGTAAGATGGCTCCCAACTTTCACTGTCACAACAGCAGCTTAGAGGTCACTGGTTTGGGGAAAATAGGGGGTGCTTTGGGGTGGTGGAGAAGTATTATTTGCATTTGGGTCTGACCCACAGACCCCTTTGGGAGCTCTTACCAGTGCCTTGCAGCTCAGGCTTGCAGCTCTGGGCGTCCCCACTCCCTGCCAGGAGCGCCAGGGTCAGCATCGAAACCCAGGTGAGGAGCATCCTGGAAGGAGGGGAGGGGAGACAGCAGTGAGGGAGGGGTCTGTGCTGGAGCCCTGGGGGTCTGCCTCCCCCTGAGCCCCAGGAAAGTAAAAAAATAATAATGGGGAGGGAGGGCTCACAGCCAGCCAGTAATGCTCAGAGGAGGTCTTTGGGTGGATCATGAGACCTGCTGGCTAGAAAAGGGCAGGAAATGGGAGAGTGTTCCTTGTCAGCATGGAAACAGGGTGAGGGGGAGAGAGAGTTTGGAGAGAGTGCTGGATAATTATGAATGGTGAAACTTGCTGAAATAAACTCGGAGTCGAGAGTGGATTTCATGCTCTTTATTCAGCTCATAGTGGTGAGGAGGAATGGAAGTTCCCCCAGAATGTCTGCTTTATATACAGTGGTACCTCAGGTTACAGACGCTTAAGGTTACAGACTCTGTTAACCCAGAAATATTACCTCAGGTTAAGAACTTTGCTTCAGGATGAGAACAGAAATTGTGCTCCGGCAGCACGGCAGCAGCGGGAGGCCCCATTAGCTAAAGTGGTGCTTCAGGTTAAGAACAGTTTCAGGTTAAGAACAGACCTCCAGAACGAATTAAGTACTTAACCCGAGGTACCACTGTACATTATTTACACAATGCGCTGCACGTGATTGGCTAATTCCGGGATTCTCCTGTAGGCCAATCAGGTTGTGGATTCACTTCCACCTGGAGCTGGATTGGCTGGCTCCTGTGGACCAATCAGACTGCTGCATTCAGCTCAGTACATAACACATGCATTAACAGGGAGGTTTGTGTACCTGCTAAAGAAGATGCAGTTTTCAAAAGTCAGCCTGCCAGAGCCCACAAGAGGAAGTTTGGGGAAGTCAGTTAAGTGTGATTAAATCTGTGGTGAGGTGACAATGGAAATAGGGAACCTGGAAACTGGGGCAAACTGTTGGGCGCGTCACCCCCAGGCCAGCTAATCGGCTGGCTCTGGGGGCTTGGCCTGCCCTATTTAACCAGGCGAGGCCGGGGATTTCCCTCTTTTCCCGCCTACCAGCTGTTCCTGTTTCCCACCCTCCTGCCCTATAAGGTTTTCGTTCCTTGACCTTGCTATGGACCTGGGTTGGTCGCCATTGAGGGGCCTGGTAGGAATTTTTCCACTTGGCAAATTGGCACCAGCCCCTTGGTTTTTGCCTCCCTCGTAGAAAATCGTCACAACTTTCTGGGTATTGGCGGTTAGGCATTGGTATTGCTCTGTAGATGGAAGAGGGGAGGAAGCGCCATCACCTGCCCCACATATTGAAGGGTAGTCCTGTAAAGGATTCCGGGGGGCGTGGCCCTGTCCGAAGCCTATGGAGGTGAGGGCCTAAGGCATGCCCCCTATCGGTGACCCCGGGGGAGTTCCTAGTTGATGTGCATCAGAAGGACTCCCCCTACTGGTGGTTAACCCTTCCCGGACTTCAAGCAGACAGGCTGAAGTGGGATAAAGTCGGTTAGGACCAGTGCCTAAGCCAATACCGCTCATCACCTGTAACCAATAAAGTTGTGGCCTTATTTAGCCCATTAACCTTCATAATTGTGCCATGTGTCTTTATTTCCACTTGGGGGGGGCAGGAACTCGCCACGCAACTAGAAACCGCTGCTGCTGAGGAGATAAGACGGGGGAACACGGAACCAGTGAAACTGCGGGCATACAGGTAAATGTATGAAAGATCTGGATTTTGTGTGCTTGGGGGTCTCTTGCCTGAACCATGAGGTTGGCAGGGCACCATTCGTGACCAAGAGCAAACACTGCCTGTTTTGCTACCACTGCCTGCCTTCCTGACCACAAGGCAATGAACACTTTGGACCGCTGTCCCTTGACAAGGAGGACAAGCTGCAAAGATGCTTGAAGATGCAGGAGGCAGTTCTTCTGGCAATGGGCCTCACTGGGGGTCCATAACAGACTTTTTAAGATGCCTCCAAAAAATATAGGGTGGTAACCAACTATGTTTATCTCAGCGTGGAACAATTGAATACAATTGAATACACCTGTCTTGGTCATTCTGACTTCTGTGGTATGATAGATAATTATAAGAGAATATAATATTGATGAAAATTAACAAAAGAAAACAAAAATATATATAGTGCGCTAGATAGACTAAGTGGTAGGTGCATGATGGGGTGGTGAGAAGCCGTTAGAAACTCAAGAACGACGTATTGTGATGCGAAATAACAAATATTGCCATTTTCTTTTCTTTCTTCTGGATAAGCCTTTTGTTTGTTATTCCTTTTTAATCTAAAAAAGCATTAAAAAAAATTCTTGGTCATTCTCATTTATTTCAATGTGTCTATTCAGAGTAATGCTACCCATAATTTTCTGGAATTTTAGAACAAAGTCTTGAAAGTTAAATTAGTACTGTAAAGATGCTCCAAGCTCTGGACTTTCTTTGGAAAATGGGGGATATTCTGGTCTTCAGGTATCACACCCAATGAGGCACCTCCCTTCCAATTTTATTTATTTCATAAAATTTAAACCACTCAATTGTAGAAAACCTCAAATCGGTTCACAAAACTTACCCTGCTTCTCTGTGTTGTGTCAGCAACCAGAAGCTTCTTCCCCCAAAACGTTTCCTCTCTGCTTCCAAATGAGTCCTGGAGCTCTCAGACAGTCCTGGTTTTATGCTCTTCAACTCCCCCAATCAGGAAGATGTTGAAACCAGAATTGCACGCCCTCCTTCTAATCGGGCTTGTGTTTGTTTCTGACTCTCTCCTTTGATTAAGGGTATTAGTACTTGATCCACAACTGCCAGCACACACAACAGGTGCAAGGAAGGAGCTTGCATTTATGGGGAAGTTAAAAAGTTGAGCTGCCTCATTTGCATCTGAACATAACCTCCGGTGAGAGATCTTTTGTTGGAGTCTGTATGGGCATCTGTAACGAATACATGTTTACCCTTCACATTATGCCCCATGGCACACACCAGGAAATGAAGAAAGCTTGGTTTGTCAATGAAATGAAAAAGACAGAGTATTTGCATGCTGTTTCAGGCAGCCTGGGGACAGATATGCAAGCAGGAGGGGGGAAAGCTTGCATAGCTCAGTTGGTTAGAGTCTGGTGCTGATAACACCAAGGCTGCAGGTTTGATCCCTGTATGGGATCCTGCATTGCTGGGGGTTGGGCTAGATGGCCCTCAGGGTCCCTTCGAATATGATTCTGTAAAATCATACAGCACAAACAAATCTGGTATCTAAAAAGTAAAGGAGTCCCTTGATATCTGGTTTAAGAAGGTATTGTTGCTGTTGTTTAGTCATTTAGTCGTGTCCGCCTCTTTGTGACCCCATGGACCAGAGCATGCCAGGCACTCCTGTCTTCCCGCAGTTTGGTCAAACTCATGCTGGTCTCTTCGAGAACACTGTCCAACCATCTCGTCCTCTGTCGTCCCCTTCTCCTTGTGCCCTCCATCTTTCCCAACATCAGGGTCTTTTCCAGGGAGTCTTCTCTTCTCCTGAGGTGGCCAAAGTCTTGGAGCCTCAGCTTCAGGATCTGTCCTTCCAGTGAGCACTCAGGGCTGATTTCCTTCAGAATGGAGAGGTTGGATCTTCTTGCAGTCCATGGGACTCTCAAGAGTCTCCTCCAGCACCATAAAATCCAGTTGTCTTCCCCTTCATGGATCACTGCCTTGCCGTGGCGAAGGGGCTTGAATGACTCAGAGAAGCTATGAGCTCTGCCGTGCAGGGCCACCCAAGATGAACAGGTCATAGTGAAGAGTTTTGACCAAAAGTGATCCACCTGGAACAGGAACTGGCAAGCCACTCCAGTATCCCTGCCAAGAAAACTCCATGGACAAAGACAACAAGAAGGTATTATTCATTGCAAAATCTGAAAAACTTGCACATTCTTTGCTAGTTTTATTATTATTATTCATTTCACTTCTATACCGCTTTAAGAAAAACCTCACAGCGGTTTACAGCAGCTTACAACATCAATAAAACAATCCAGAATCAAACATTTATGAAGAAAGCCAAATATAAGGCATACAGTCAAAGCAACATCATTAACAGGAAACAAAAATATTATCTGAAAGATTTCGAAATAAAACATTACAAAGGAGGTCAGTTACAGAATGCATATTTAACACAAACAAACAAACAAAATCTTAAACATTAAAAAAAATTGCTAAGTGAAGTCAAATATAAAATGCACATTTAAATCAGCGCAATTAACAAGAGAATAAAATATCATCATAAGCATGGTATGGCTGTTTGGCAGGCTCAAAGAGATGGGGCACAAGAACCCAATAGTTTGGGTTTGTTGTCAGGCATAGCGATGCCCCTCTGGTCTCCTCTTTTGTAGGGCTGGTGAGTGTGGGCCCCGCCCCCTAGGCCAGGTGGAAAGGGCCTTGCAGAGAGTGGCCTCCACGCCCCACAGCCGGGCGATGTTCCCAAGAGCAAAGCCAATGTCTGTTCATTTTATAATAAAGTATTATTCTCCTTTATTACCAACAAAGGCCCATCTAGTTCAAGCTATGGTTTTCCCAGTAGTGATGTATGGAAGTGAGAGCTGGACCATAAAGAAGGCTGATCACCGAAGAATTGATGCTTTTGAATTATGGTGCTGGAGGAGACTCTTGAGAGTCCCATGGACTGCAAGATCAGACCTATCCACTCTGAAGGAAATCAGCCCGGAGTGCTCACTGGAAGGACACATCCTGAAGCTGAGGCTCCAAGACTTTGGCTACCTCATGAGAAGAGAAGACTCCCTGGAAAAGACCCTGATGTTGGGAAAGATGGAGGGCACAAGGAGAAGGGGACGACAGAGGCCGAGATGGTGGGACAGTGTTCTCAAAGCTACTAATATGAGTTTGACCAAACTGCGGGAGGAAGTGGAAGACAGAAGTGCCTGGAGTGCTCTGGTCCATGGGGTCACGAAGAGGCGGACACGACTAAATGACTAAACAACAACATTATTCTCCTATGATCTTGTTTCTTATTTCATACAGCTGCAGAAGTTATTCAAAGGCAGCGACCGAGTTCATACTGCAACAATTCTTCTTAAGATGTGTTTTGAAAATGCTCAGCGCCTCCAGCTTGGGCTTGGAAGGTCCCCTTTGCCTGGAGCTCTGGAAAACCTGCTATCAGTCAAGAGAATAGTATGCTAGACGGAGCAATGATCTGTCTCATGTTCTTATGAGTACATTCAGGGAAGGATGAAGTCCAGAAAACAATTAATTAATGGGTCTAGATGGGGGGGGGGAGCAGGATACACTTAATTAAAACAATCATCATCATCCCAAGGGGAATATTTTTGTGATATCTGCAACATTTCCCCAAGCATTTCATGTCGCTATTTGTCTACTGTGGGGCTTCGCCGACACACCTGACAGATGGTTCCGGCGAAACGGCCTCAGGGTCAAGCTTTCAGGGTGGTGATTCCAACACAAAAGCACATCCACCCTCTTTCCACAAGGCCCCAGCAGACTATTTGCTTTGGAGCTTATGGGCATGGTTGGTACCGGGCCAAAACAAATACCCTTTTCCGTGTTTCTTTCCATGATAAATTTCTTATTTTCAAATCATTTGGCACATGGCAGTGGATTCTCTTTTTATTTCCACCTGTGGCATGCAGTTGCAGATAGGCTGGAGTACCCACAACCCATAACCAGAGTTGTGGGTTGTGTAACTGGACCCATGGGTGTTGGGAACAAGAAAGAAACTGAGTACAGAAAGGAGAAAACTTGATGTCCTCAATCTTGGTCTCAGCATCTTTCTGACCAGCTTAGGTTTTTCTGAGCCAGGCAAGAGCTGCCTATCACGAGGGAGCTAAAACCAGCAGGGCTGCTCTAGAGGAGATCCAGGACTTCTCTAAGTGCTCACATACTGACTGTGTGATGATCTGTTCTAGGACCTTTCCTGGTATCAAGGTCAAGGTCACCAGTCGGTAGTTACCTGGGTCTTCCTTTTCTCCCTTTCTGAAGATGAGGACTACCTTTGCCCGCCTCCAGTCTGCAGGGACCTCACCTCTTCTACAATAATTCTCAAAGATAATAGGCAAAGGCTCTCTGAAATTACATCTGCAAGCTCCTTTAATACCCTTGGATGCAGCTCATCAGGCCCTGGAGATCGGAATTCATTTAAAGCAGGGGTCAGCAAATGTTTTCAGCAGGGGGCCGGTCCACTTTCCCTCAGACCTTGTGGGGGGCTGGACAATATTTTTTTGTGGGAAATGAACAAATTCCTAAGCCCCACAAATAACCCATCATTTATTCTGTTATCACCAGGTTGGGCATCCCTTTCCTTTTGGGTGAAGACAGAGGCAAAGCAGGTGTTGAGTAATTCCACCTTCTCTCTGTCACCCAATAGCATTTCTCCGTGTTTCATATTCAGAGGACCTACTACTTGCTTGTTCTTCTTCTTGCTTCAAACATAACCAAAGAACCTTTTTAAATATTATTTTTAACCTCTCTTGCAAGCATAGGAGCCAACTCCTAGGGGCCAAGATCCCTCCAGGCCCTCAATAAATTATTTGAGGGGGCCAGCCCTCACCCCAGTTGATGGAAATTGCCATTCAAATGGTGTGCGTGTATCATGTTATGTGATTGATTACCTGGAGTGTAATATTTTATTCAAGTTGGAACCCCGGTTTGCAAATCTGAGCTCATTCTGAGCTTTAGCCAGCCTGACCTTCACCCTGCACCTGTTGGTAACTTGTGTATACTCCACTATTGTGATTTCTCATTTCTTCTCTTTCTTATACATCTTAACTCTCAGGTCATCTGTAAGCTCTTCATGCAGCCAAACTGGTTTCTTTAGATGCCTCCCATTCCTTTCTTGTTGGAATTGTCTGCATTGTGCCTTCAATATTTCTCCTTGAAGAAGCTCCCATCCATCTTGGACTTCTGGATTTCTGACCATGGGATCTCACCCAGTGGTTCCTGGAGCCTTCTTTAAGTCCAGAGTGCATGTCTGACTACACTCAGCTTTCTCTTGTATAATGAAAACCAAGAAGACACGATCACTTCCTCTCAAGGTTTCATTGATCCTTCTTCAAGTTACAAGAAAGGATTCCAACTAAACACCAGGAAGAACTTTCTGACAGTAACAGCTGTTCATCAGTGGAACAGACTCCCTCATGATGTGATGGGCTGTCCTTCCTTAGAGGTTTCTAAGAGAGACGGTTATCTGTCATGTATGATCTACCTGAGAATCTTGCATTGCAGGGGGTTGGACTAGATGGCCACCCAGAGTGGCTGGGGGGCCCCGGCCAGATGGGTGGAGTATAAATAATATATTATTATTATTATTATTATTATTATTATGATGATGATGATGATGACTCTTAGGGTCCCTTCCAACTCTATAATTCTATGATTCTGTGAGAAGGAAGCATCTATGGCAGGCATCCCCAAACTCAGCCCTCCAGCTGTTTTGGGACTACAATTCCCATCATCCCTGACCACTGGCCCTGCTAGCTAGGGATGATGGGAGTTGTAGTCCCTAAACAGCTGGAGGGCCGAGTTTCGGGATGCCTGCTCTATGGTCTCCAGGGACAGACAGGTAAGTTGGGTGCCCTATCTTTATCGCCTCCTAAGTATTTGCCTTGGACTCATGGACATAACTTCTGCCTGTAGACACAAGGATCCTCAAGGCAAGACTGGCCTACCCAGACTGGTTGTTGTGTTCAGAAGAGAGAGAAATGCCCTCTGTCTCACTTCTGACCTGATTTCAGGTAAGGGAGGCAAAGACATTTCCATGAGTTTGTGGAGACCATTCCAGCACAGAAGTACCTCCCTTCTCTTCACAAGGCTGAAAGCAAAGTGTTCATTCTGGAGCTTGGTGTGAGAGATTGGGACCTGCTAGAGTCAATACTTATGTTATCATCCATCTGTCCCCCTTTATGAAATAAATGCAGTGAGGACATATTATTATATTCAAAGCAGATCACCTGCTGAAAAGGAGGTGAGTCTTTCCCCTCTTGGCAGAGAAACCACCTAAGGCCACTCTGAAGAAGGATGTAAGCACCTGGTTTTGACAGTCAAAATCCCACTGTCAACCTCTCTCTGATTGGTTGGGTTATTCAGAGCCAGACGAGAGCTGAAAGGGGATAAAACCAGATGGGGCAGGACTTCGCTGGAAGCAGGGAGGTCTCCGTGTCAGCTTCACTAAGAGGTTGGGTAGTTCTGCTGATCCCAAGATGAGTTGATGTGATGCCTGAAGCCTAGATCATGCCCCCACACACACCCTGAATGGGCATATTGAAAACTGCATTTAACCAAAACAAGATTTGTTGAAGAACTGTTTAGGGGTTTCCAGCATTCTGGAGGATGACTCCTCTCCTGGCCAACCTTGATGGATCTGAACGCCTCTTCAGCACACCTGGCTGTCTCCAAAGCCCTCTGAGGCTGCTATGGGGGAGCCAGACCACCCCACCCCATGGCTCCAGGACGAGCTTCCCCACAAGAACCCCTCCATCCAACCACCTAACGCCATGTGGGCAGTTGCAATGCATGAAGGGCTCAAAAGGGGCTCATGACTTGGTCCCAACCTGGGTAGCAGTTTGCAGCTCTGAGCTTGGATTTTATAGAACGCTTAGTTCCCTGGAGAAAAGCGTTTCATGCTTCTAGGACCCACTTCTTCATGGTGTTTTGAATTTAAGACATCTTTGATGTAAAAACCCACCCACTCCATTTGTTTTCCTGACCACAACAACAGCAGTACAAAGTTGTTCTTGAGGGTTGTCTTACAAACACCTTGGCACTTCCTAAATAATGGCCCATCTTCCTGACGGGTTGTAAACTTCCACTGAGCTTCATGGTAACAGCTTTAGGAAATGTCAAATTAAAAACAAAACATTAATTATATCTAATTTCTGGTGTTAACCCCTCCCCTCCCAGCACTATCATCAGGAATCGCTTCAAGGAGTTCTGGCCCTGGACACTAAGGAAACCTGAGAACTGAGGGAATTTCTGTATCTGCTTCCTCTTAGAGCAGAAGTCACCAGCATCTCTAGTTGTGTGACTAGTTCCCTTTGTGATAGATTCTTAGCAAACGGGACTTGCAGTTCCCACACATGGTCAGTCTGCTCTCTGGTTCTGTTCTCTAGCACGGGCAAAACCATGCACCCTCTTTGAGGGCCTGCTGAACAAATTGGAGAGACCAAAGAAGGCTGTTCAATGGATATTTATTGGAGAGTCAACATGGGTTCTACTAAATCTGTCCCCTCCCCCAGTGATTCCTAACACTGGTCACCCAGCTTTGTCCCATAGACCTCCACCTCACACAGCGTCAAGGTGGATGCATCTCCCGGGAGGTTCACGCTGACATAGCGGCCCTTGAGCCAGTGGCAGTTGAGGCTACTGAAGGAGCCACGTCTGGTGTCCGTGATGTTCCCACAGCTGCAAAGAGAAAAGAGAGGTCAGCCACATCTTTTTCCCGACGCCTCTGCATGGCGCTGGGCTCACAGAACCATCCATGGCTGCATTGGAAGAGACCTGAAGCCACCTAGACCAGCATCCTGCATTCACAGTGGCCAACCAGGTGCCCCAATGGAAGGTCACAAGTGGGACTTCACAGCAGCAGGGCTCTCCCCACTCCCTGGAGCCCCAGGAACTAGTATACACCTCTGTCCATGAAGGGAGAACATACCCATCATGGCTGGAGCCACGCATAGCCTTATCCTCCAAGAATTTGTCTAATCCTCCTTTGAAGGGACTCGGGCTCGGACTCGGAACCAGAGGATTCTCAGTCTGCACTGGCTCCTTTGCCTCAGGCAACATCTGAACCAAGTGTGGGGCCTGATCCTGAAGAGTCCCAGTCTGCACAGGTTCCCCTGCAACAAACACCAGCTGGGCCGAGTCAGGGGCCTGAGCCTGCCCTGGCTCCAGATGCGGGGATTACCTCTTTGCCTTCAGCTGGGCCATCACTTACAGCTGCTCAACTACCAGTTTGGTCAGGGGGACTGAGGCGTCTGGGTCTAGTAACCCACTGACCTCTCCCGAGCTGCAGAGACTGAGGTCTGAGAGAAGGAGAGACCTGAGTACTCGCAGGAGGAGTGCTCGCCTTTGGGCAAAACAGGGAGGTGAGTCGCCGGGGGATCAGGACCAGCCACTACCCCAACAAAGATAAAAGGCTGTTGGACCCCGCCCCAGGTTGCAGGAGCAACATTGCTGTATGCCAGATCCTGCCTGAGATCCTGTACCTGTCCTTGCCTGGTTTCCTGCCTCGTGTCCTGCCTTGGCCCTGTTGGACTGGCTCCCAGCAGAACCTTCGGATTCTGGACCGGTCCTGGACCACGTTTCACGGGTTATCCCCGGGCCCAACACAGCCATCCAAGATGGTGGGGATCACAATTTCTTATGGGAACAGACTTACAGCTCAAAGCTGAGAAGTGAGCTTCTGTCGGCTGCCTTTCCAAAGCATCCAGAAGCTTATTAGCCATCTTGGTGCTGGAAAGTGGGCAGCTCACCAGTGGAGTTGGGAGAGTAAGCAGGAGACCAGAGAAGAGGTGACCAGAATGTGGAAAAGTTTTAATACAGGAGAGAAGAAACATGATTCGGCAACAAACTGTCAGGGACTAGACTGAGGAGGAATGGTATAGATTTAGAGCAGTGGTTTGCAGAAGGTCATAGTTCTGAGGCTGCAGAGGGGAGAAGCTGGGAAATATTAGGAGAACAGCAGGAAGAAGAAGCACCAGGGGAGAGACAGCTGACAGACTCAGTGTCTTTAGAAAGCATTCCTGATCCCCCCCCCTTTCTCCCAGGACCAGGCATGCATTGAGAGTAGTAGAACAGAAATCTCAGAGACAGAAAGCACAGATCAGCTGGCTCGGGGATGACGTAGAATAGGAGGGACTGAGGGGGTGGGAATTTACTCGGAGCAACGCCATTATCTAAGAGAGACCACATGCCTTCGTCTCTCTCTGTGAATATTGAATAAACCACTTGGTAAGAACTCTTCTTGTTTATCTGCTTCTTGGCTGCCCCCGTGGGAGGGATCAGATTCCCTGAAGCCTGATGCAAACTTAATATACGATACGATAATCTTTATTGTCATTGTCCCATACAGAACAACGAAATTGAAAAAATCTACATCAGACATTCAAAACCAACAAGCCTGCTATCCCAGCCTGGTTAACCCCCTAAAACCTCTGATACCCCATAATTAAATACAATATACTCCCACAGAGACTACCTTACACTGCGTTTGAAACCAAAATCACATTTGGTAGAAACTGTTTCTCAGGCGGCTAGTCCTAGTCTTTATAACCCTGGACCTTCTTCCAGAAGGCAGAAGCTGAAAGAGATCATTTCTGGGGTGCGCACTATCTTGCGCTATCTCTGCAGCTTTCTTATGGCACCTGGAAACATAGATTTGATCCAAGGTGGGAAGAGTGCACCCAATTATTCTCTCCGCAAGTCTTTACAACCCTGGACAGCATTGTTTTTCCCTGACCGTGCAGCTCCCAAACCACACACATAGACCATAAGTTAATACACTCTCCACAGTGCAATGGTAAAATGCCATCAACAGGTCCTTTGAGAGATAGTTTTTCCGGAGGATTCTTCAAAGATGTGCAGGATCCACTTTTCTGCTACTCTCCCTTCTCCTCAATTGTGAATGGGGGGGGGGAGGAACTACAAGTGATCTTGAGGGATGCAGTTGCTGCAGAGCAGGTGGGGAGCGAAGAGGCAACTGGTACTTACAGGGGGTTGGACTTTCCATGGTCAGCCACGGAGTCTCCCACGCGGATCTCGGCTCCCAGGAGTCTCTCGCTGCAGCAGTCCTCACGGTTCTTCACCACCACTGTGGAGATGGCAAACTGCTCGCCCAGGTCCACATGCCACCATGGTTCTTTCTCAGTGCTGGTGTGGGTGCAGGAGCCATGGAAGAAGTTCCCCTCACAATTCCCATCTATGGCTTTGCTTGCTGACGGAATAATTGGATGTGAGTAGATGGAGGACTGACAGGCTGGGCGGCCTCTGGCCAGGTTGCGAGCTGGAGAAACAGCGTGGTGGAAAGAAGATGGGGAAGAGAAAGAAGAACATGACGAGAGGAACAGCATTCCATGGGTTTACTGAGCTTGTAACTGCAGGAAAAAAAGAAATGAGATTTACAGAACTGCAGAGTTGTGTTGTTGTCTGGCAGAACTTGTTTTTGCAAAACCCATGCTGGGTCTTAGTAATCACAGCATCCTTTTCTAAGTGCTCACAGACAGACTACGGAATTATCTGTTCTAGGACCTTTCCTGGTGTGCTCTGGTCCATGGGGTCACGAAGAGTCGGACACGACTAAAGAACTAAACAACAACAACAGGACCTTTCCTGGTATCGATGTCAAGCTCACTGGCCGGTAGTTACCTGGGTCTTCCTGTCCCCCCCTTTTTGAAGATGGGGACAACATTTGCTCGCATCCAGTCTGCAAGGACCTTACCTCTTCTACCAGCTCCATCTGGTACACTGGCTGAGACCCTTCCTGCCTGCAGACTGTCTTGCCAGAGTGGTGCATGCTCTGGTTATCTCCTGCTTAGACTACTGCAATGCATTCTACGTTAGGTTACCTTTGAAGGTGACCAGGAAACTGCAATTAATCCAGAATGCAGCAGCTAGAGTGGTGACTGGGAGCAGCTGCCGAGACCACATAACATGGGTCCTGAAAGACCTACATTTCCAAGCAACATTCAAAGTGTTGGTGCTGACCTTGAAAGCCCTAAATGGCCTCGGTCCAGTATACCTGGAGGAGTGTCTCCACCCCCATCGTTCTGGACACTGAGGTCCAGCTCCGAGGGCCTTCTGGCGGTTCCCTCCCTGTGAGAAGTGAGGTTACAGGGAACTAGGCAGAGGGCCTTCTCGGTGGTGGCGCCCACCCTGTGGAACGCCCTTCCATCTGATGTCAAGGAAATAGACAACTATCTGACTTTTAGAAGACATCTGAAGGCATGATGTGGAATTAGCAGGGGGTGGAATTGTTCTCCCATCATGGCTTGTCAGGTCAAAACTTTGGTTCCCTGTCAGATGCGGGTGATGGTTGCTTGTGAGTAACCAGGCAGGACCTGTCTTTTACAGGTTTTATTTGGTGCAAACTATTTACAGTGCATAACCCCAAAGTCCATGTCTGTCTCAGTCACTTGCAGATTCTGGGAGTGGCCCCTTCTGGCTTTTCCCCCAACATAAGAACGTGGACACCCCTTCACCCGGCTACCCCCTTACCCCTCTGCTTCGCTGGCGGTGTGGCTTTCCCCACTGCCAGAGGAGGATGCTTCTGAGAAGCGTTGGAGGCTCTCTGTATCCCCCCTGCCTCCCTCCCCCATTCCAATGGCAGTCCCCTGACATTCCACCATCAGGCTTTGCAATGGATCATGGGGAAATGATGCCAATCACCACCCACTGGGTAAGATGATGCCCAGGATTTCATTGTCACAAAGCAGCTTAGAGGCAGAAATAAGAGTGCCCTATGGGGATAGGGGGCACCATTTGGCTTTGTCCACAAACCAGTCTCCCTTTCCCCTCCCTTTCCCCAGGTCTTACCAGCACCTCGCAGGTCAGGCTTGCAGCTCTGGGCCTCTGCACATTCTGCCAGGAGCGCCAGGACCAGCAGCCAAATCCAGATGGGATGCATCCTACAAGGGAGAAGAAGAAGAAGAGTTTGGATTTGATATCCCGCTTTATCACTACCCGAAGGAGTCTCAAAGCGGCTAACATTCTCCTTTCCCTTCCTGCCCCACAACAAACACTCTGTGAGGTAAGTGGGGCTGAGAGACTTCAGAGAAGTGTGACTAGCCCAAGGTCACCCAGCAGCTGCATGTGGAGGAGCGGAGACGCGAACCCGGTTCCCCAGATTACGATTCCACCGCTCTTAACCACTTCACCACACTGGAGAAGGACAGACGTCAGTGAGCAGGGAGCCTGTACTGGAGCCATGGGGTGGGGGGTGTTTGGCTCCCCCTTAGCACCATCACAGGGTTTTGGTGACAGCCAAGAGTGATGAAGGGGCATTCAGAATCAAGGGCCATGTTAGTCATAATATTCCCCAAAGCGCTAGAGATCCTTAACAGACTTTAAAAAATAAAAATACAGCTTTAGATCTACCCAATAAGGATCAGGGCCTTCTTTTTTGCGGAGGAAGTTCTAGACTTCAATAATCATATCCAGTGGGTTTTCTTGACTTACCTTGCCTCTCTTTCTCGGGATCTGCAGAAGCGTCTGTTGCTCTTGGTGGGACAGGAGACACAGGTTCTTCTCCCCCAACTGGAACTGAGACTTCCCTGCTTCCAGAGGAGTCCTGCACCTCCAGGTTTTATCCCCTTCCCAATGGACAGCGCTTGCCTGACGTGGCTCAACTTGGCCAATCAGAAAGATGGTGACACCAGGATCTGGGGATCAAGATCAAGTTTTGACATCCTTCATCTGAGCAGGTTCTGAGTGGGCTTGTGTGGTTTCTGACTGTCTCCCAAGAGGAAATAACGGCATCTCCTTGGCAGGAGATGATTTTAGAAGAAGACATCCTCATTCCATTTATCCCATTTAGAGATCAGATGGGTGCCAAACTTGAGTACTGATACTGGCAGGTCCCAACCACATCAGCTAAGCTCCAAAATGAACACTTTTTGGTCGGCCTTGTGGAAGGAGAATGAGTTGTTTTGAACTTCTACCACGCTATGGATCACCTTAATGTTCTCTGGGCAGTTGCATCAGCATCACCTTGGATCCCTCACTACCTTATACTGTAAATGGCTCTAGGGCTGCTCTGAGAGACTCCACATCTCTCGACAGGCAGAGTTCTTGACCTTGGGTGAGGTGGAGATCTATTGCACAAAGTCAGAAGTCTAACGTTAGAGATCAGCTGTCTGTATAAGCTTCATTAATATGTAACCCTGAAATTTTGGATCCCCTCTAAACTGACGCCAAAGTTTTGTGCTCGTTTTGTGTCATTTTGTACCCCAGACCTGTATTTTGCACCTCCCACAAACTGAGCAATTGATAATCCAACGGGAAGCCATAGGCATCTGCCCCCAAACCCAACATTGCCCGGTTCACCGCAAACTGGTGCCAAACTTTTGCAATCATTTCAAACCCTTCCGCATCACAAACCCCACTCCCAAAATGATACTAAAAACTGGATCCCTAGTTCGTGCCGCTGTTATCTGCACTCAAATCCCACATTGTGCAACTGGCTCCAAGCAGTGCCCAATTTCTGCATTTGTTTTGCAATGTTTTGGAGCACAAACTGCATGTTTTGCATTGCCCTTTAAAAAGCACAGTAACTGATACATCAAACCCGGGAACGGTATCTGTCCAGAGGTCTCCCACAGGTAGGTAGCCGTGTTGATCTGACGCAGTCGAAACAAATAAAAAATTGTCCAGTAGCACCTTAGAGACCAACTAAGTTTGTTCTGGGTATAAGCTTTGCCCCCCCCATTTTATTTATTTATTAACGTTCTTATGTTACATACGCACACATTGTCATATTATAATAAGCCCTGTAATGTGATATGACAATGTGTAACATAAGAACGTTAATTTCCAACATGTATACAAAGTATGCATGTATACAAAGTTTATATACAAAGACAAAAAGCTAGTCCAAAATCATATATGTACCAACACTATGGACTTCCTGTCAATCCCCTTGTATATTCCTTTTTTACAAATGAATGTACTCTTATTATTGTATATTTCTTTACATTTTATCTAATACATTCCCATATCAGTATGTACCCTTAATCTTATTTCTCAACTCAATTTCTCTCCAACGTCAATCGAATGCTAGCATAGATAGCGAACCTCTACTGTATTTTTGAACATATATCTTATATCTATCCCAGGGTGGTATGAATTCAAAACAGCTCATTCTCCCTCTTAAAGGTTAGGAACCACTGCTGATGTGGTTAGGAACTGTTAGTATCAGTACTCAGTTTGGCACCGTCTGTTCTCTAAATGGGATAGATGGAACGATGATAACTTCTTATAAAATCATCTCCTGCCAAGGAGGTGCCCTTTATTTCCTCTTGGGAGAGAGTCAGAAACCACAGAAGCCCACTCAGATGAGAAATGTCAAGAGCTGATCTTGATTCTCTACATCCTAGTGTCAACATCTTCCCAATTGGTTGGGTTCTTCTAAGCCAGGCGAGAGCTGCCCTTTGCAAAGGGGATAAAACCTGGAGGTGCAGGACTCCTCTGGAAGCAGGAAGGTCCCAGATTTGGGAGGAGAATCTGTGGTTGCGACCCACCAAGAAAGGCAGCACACACTGTTGCTGATCCCAAGAAAGAGAGCCAAGGTAAGCTGAGAAAAACCATGGGATGTGATCTTTGAAGCCTAGAAAATCCCCCCAGATCTGGAATTGGAATACCTGAAACTATATTTTTACAAATGATTTATTTTTAATTTTCAAAACTCTATTAAAAGTTCATTAGGGATCTCCATCAGTTTAAAGAAGGGCATTCTCATGGCTGCATGGCCTTTCATCAATCTGGGGTTTGTTTTTTGTTATTATTATTATTATTATTATTATTATTATTATTATTATTCATTTTTCTGTTTTCCCATCATACATTGTTTCTGTACAGACTTCCCAACACAGCATTCCATGGAATTCATAATATACCTAATTTTGCTGCATACTGTTAATTTATCCCCTTCTAACCCATCCTTGTGGATTATAGAATTACCGGTACCCCTACTTGTAGATTGATTTTACTATCGTATTTATTTAAGATATTCCCCAAAGCTTTCCCACTCACTCCTTATCTGTTTTTTGTCCCGGATCCTTATTTTGGCTGCCATGTTCTGCAAATTCTGTCAATTCCTGCAGCCCAATAGATAGACTTTCCTCCATCTGAACATGATTTCCCCCCTTGTCCAGCCTGGTCTCCCACTTACGGCCATCTCCCTCCCTTGCAGGATGCTGCTCACTTGGACTTGCCCGCTGGCTCTGATGTTCCTGGCAGGGCATGGGGAGGCCCAGAGCTGCAAGCCAGAACTGCAAGGCATTGGTAAGACCTGTGGGAAGGGAGGGGGGAAAGGGTGGCCAGTCTGTGAGCAAAGCCAAGTGGTTTTTCCAAGTGCACTCTTCTCCCCCCCTTTTTTTTTTTGTATATAAATTTTTTATTAGTTTTTTAACATATCATTTTCAACAGTAATTAAACATACTTTTACATTTTATTCAATTGACTTCCATCAATCCTGTCTGAAAATTTTCCAATCTAATCTCTTAGTATTATCTTCCCCATTACATTTCAAACTCATAACCAATACAGTGGTGCCCCGCAAGACGAATGCCTCGCAAGACGGAAAACTCGCTAGACGAAAGGGTTTTCCGTTTTTTGAGCTGCTTCGCAAGACGATTTTCCCTATGGGCTTGCTTCGCAAAACGAAAACGTCTTGCAAGTTTGTTTCCTTTTTCTTAACACCGTTAATACAGTTGCGACTTGACTTCGAGGAGCAACTCATAGAACACAGTGTACATAGTAGCCTTTTTTGAGGTTTTTAAAGACTTTGGTGATTTTTGAAGCTTTTCCAAAACTTCTTTTGCAGCCATTTGGTAAGTTAAGCTTTTAAAACTTTTTTGGGGGGGTTTGGATTTTGGGTTGGGGTGTTTGGAATTCAAGGACTTGGTGTTGGGGAGGGGTTTGCAAGAATCTGGAAGCTTGTGTTTTTTTTCTGCATTTTCATGATTTTCTGTGACCATTGGGCCACTCTGCTGTTTTTTTTAAAAAAAATCTGGATTTGAATTTCTGTGTGCTGGGTGGCTGGGGGAACAGTTGGGGAGGGGTTTGCAAGAGTCTGGAAGCTTGTGGTTTTTTTTCTGCATTTTTATGATTTTCTGTGACCATTGGGCAACTCTGCTGTTTTTTAAAAAAAATTCTGGGTTTGAATTTTGAAATGCTCTTTACAGTATGTGTGACTTTAAAGAGCACTTAATAAACTCTTGTTGTACCAAATTTGGCTTTGTTTGGACTTTTTTTGACCATAGGAACGCATTAATTGATTTTCAATGCATTCCTATGGGATTTCGTGCTTCGCAAGACGAAAAATTCGCTAGATGGAAAAATTCGCGGAACGAATTAATTTCGTCTTGCGAGGCACCACTGTATCTCTATCTTTTCTTACTTTGTAACACTTCGTATAGTCCTCCTTACAAAACTTCTTGTAGTCCTACTAGCGTAATTTGTTGGTTACAATTACTCTTCAAATAATTCATATACTTCTTCCAATCTTCTGTAAATCTCCGGTCCCGCAGGTTTTGAATCCTTCCCGTCATTTTGTCCATTTCTGCATAGTCCATTAATTTCGTCTGCCATTCTTCTTTCATCAGAATTTCTTCTTGTTTCCATTTCTGAGCTAACAATACCCTTGCTGCAGTTGTAGCATATAGAAACAATTTAACATCTTGCCTATTAATGTCCTGACCAATAATACCAAGTAAAAATACTTCTGGTTTTTTTAAAAAATGTATATTTCAGTATCTTTTTCATCTCATTAAATATCATTTCCCAGAAGTTCTTTACTTTTTTACATTGCCACCACATATGATAAAATGTTCCTTCTTTTTCTGGTTTTTCCAAGTGCACTCTTATTCCTCCCCAAACCAGTGGCCCAAAAGTTTTGTGACAGTGAAAACAAGGGCGCCATCTTACTCAGTGGATGGGGGCATGTCATTTTCCCACGATCCATTGCAAAGCCTGACGGGTGAACCAAACCCTGGACACATGCAGTTTCTGGACCAATTGAAAGGGAAGCCCCACATGAATCACAGTGGCCAAGCTGTCCCTGTCCAAGAAAGGGCACAGTTGGCGTATCAGCCTAAGGGGATAATGAGTGCTTAGAATCATATAACTGTAGAGTTGGAGGGGCAGGAATCTCAGCTAAAGCATCCATGGCAGATGACCATCCAACCTCTGCTTAAAAACCTCCAAGGAAGGAGAGTCCACAACCTCTCGAGGGAGACCATATCACTGATTCTCCTCTCACCACAGAGGTAATCTGAGGCTCCAGTGAAAAAGATGGATCTAGGAGCTCCAAAAGAACTCCACATCTCATTCTTCACAACCCCATTCAGAGCTGGTAAAAGTCCCCAACTTCTGGACCTGGGAACTGCTCACCAGGAAAGAGATTATTGATTAGTTATTGATTAGTTAGGTGGGTGTTGTGTTTTGTTTTTGAAAACCACTTGGAGGTTTTATTACAGTCAAATGCAATTTTGTAAAAAACAAAACCAAACAGAATGAGATTCATTCTCAATTTATTGCTGCTGCTGTTAACCTACTGATAATATGAAAGAAACATAGAAGCATCTGGGTAGCCACTGGGTGAACATGGGCCCCTCTGGCCAAATCCAGCGGCTGCAGGACTCTTCTTAAGCTGATATTTCTCTTCCCATCGTCTTTCCATGCTGTGACTCCAGTCCGCAACTTGGCCAGTGGCCGGCCAGCCTGCCAGTCCTCCATCATGTCACATCCACTTGTTCCATCAGCAAGCAAAGCCGTAGATGGGAATTGTGACGGGGACTTCGCTCACGCCTCCTGCACCCTCACCAAGTTTGAGAAAGAGCCATGGTGGCATGTAGACTTGGGGGAGCAGTATGCCATCACCGCCGTGCTGCTAAAAGTCTGTCTGCACTGCTGGTGCGAGAGACTCCAGGGAGCCGAGATCCATGTGGGAAATTCCATTGCTGACCATGGCAAGTCGAACCCCCTGTAAGTTCCCGTTGCCTCTCCCCTCCCCACTCGTCCTTCAGCAAAGGCATCCCAGGAGATGCTCTCAAGATGCCTGCAGATTCATTAACTTGTAGCTCCTTTGTTCTATTCCCAATCAGGGTGGGGGGAGCAGGGGGAAGTGGATCCTGCCCATATTTCAAGACCTGCTTCTGTGTGGCATGGCAAGTGCTAATTCCTACTCCTGGGTGGAACGGCCTCTCTGACTTCCCCACTTGGATGCTTCACTGGTGTCTCAAGTTCATAAGTCCAAGACTGAACTTCTCATCTTTCATCCCTCTTCTTTCCCTCTCCCTCTTCCCTGACACTCCTGCCTTCTTCATCAAGCATGAAGCCATGACTTTCTCTTTGACTGTTCTCCATCCTTTCTCCTGCACCACATTTTTAGTTTGTTGCGAGATGATGTCTCTTCTCTTATAAACTCATGACAAAAGATTTTCCACAATCTGTTGACTTCCTACTTTGAGTCCTGCAACTTCCTCCTCTCTGGTCTCCCCCAATGGTGGGCTTCCCACTTTCCTCTTGGCCCTGTAGATGTTGTTGAACTACAACTCCCATCATCCCTGAGTATTGATCATGTTGGCTGATGGGACTGATGTCCAACAATATCAAGAGGACTGCAGGTTAGCTACCTTAACATACAGAAGTTGGGTCTGTGGGCTTGTCATCAAGCAGCGCTTGCCTTAACATCTGGGGTAAACCATGCATGGGTCATATGACATCAAGCATCAAATTTAAGAATTATGTTCAGATCAGGGTTAATTAAGAGAAGCACTAAGCACAACAGCACCAAGATCAGAGATAGGCTTATATCCAGTCTGAGCACTGTGGTTTTTAGCACTAAGATTGGAGACTAGCCTCTGCCTGCTCTTTGACAGTCAGCTTTCAAGAACCAAGTAGCTTTTCCTCTTATGCCCAATCTTAGCGCTGTGGGACCACAGCTCTAAGATTGGAGATAAGACTTCACCCAGCCCTTAAGAGGCAGCAAGCAGAGGCTTATCTCTGATCTTAGCATGGAAGCCTCACAGCACTAACATCAGAGAGAAGCAGATGTCTACTCCTACAGATCATTTTGGGACAACCACATCCATATATCAATCACGTCATGTCAGATGACACTGGGTGCAAAAGTCTGTTGTCTCCAATAGTGCTATATTTCAGTTGTGGTGGCCTGTGGCTTAAAATAATAGCAGTTCATTCACTCATCTCCAGTCTAACTGTCCCAGTACTAAGATCAAAGATTAGCTCACATCCAGTCTCAGTGATACGGTGCTTCGTGCTATTACTGGTGCCCAGGGAGGCTGTTTTGCTGGCTGACTTTAAAAGGCAGGTGCTTAACAGATCAGAGAGATGTCCCTACCTGCTCTTTGGTATGAACATGACATGTCTCCATTCTGAGAGCTGTGGCCTCACTAAGATCTGTGCTAGTTCTCCGCCTGCTCTTAAAAGGCGGCAGACAGAAGCTTTTAGCTGACATTTGCGCTGCAAATTGAGGTATGGAAGTCCCGTCCCCCCACAAGAAATAGTGAGTTCCACCAACATGGATGGTTTCAAATGAGGATTGGACCAGTTCGTGGAGAATACTCTCCGTGAGTTCTGTCCCTACTTGCCTGGTCCAGTCTAGATAGTATGAGTCCCTGACACCTGTGCTATTGGGTTCCTTGGAGCATTGTCACATACAGTGGACGCTCGGGTTGCGAATGTGATCCGTGCGGGCTGCACATTCGCAACCCGCAGCATTCGCAACCCGCGTCTGCGCGTCTACACACACACAGGTTGCGATTTGGTGCTTCTGCGCATGCACAAAGCGCAATTTAGCACTTCTGCGCATGCGCAGCCGCCGAAACCCGGAGGCAACCCGTTCTGGTACTTCCGGGTTTCAGCGGTCCGCAACCCAAAAAAACACAACCTGAAGTGTCTGTGACCCGAGGTATGACTGTATGTGTGCAGACAGAGTTATTTTGAATGGCTTCCACCCCAGCTGACTTCCTTTTTCTCTCTGCAGCTGTGGAAACATTACAGACCCCACACGTGGTTCCATCAGTACCATCTTCTGCCAACAGCTCAAGGGCCGCTACGTAAGCGTGAATCTCCCTGGACGCAAAGCTGCCCTGACCCTGTGTGAGCTGGAGGTCTATGGGACAAAGTCGGGTGCTAAGTGTTAGGAATCGCCAGCCATGTGCTTTTGGGTGGGGGGCAGAGCAGATTGAATCTCCCGCTCTCCAATAAAAATACTTTGAGTAGGCTCTATTTGTCTCTCCCATTTGTTCATCAGGCCTTCAGATCCAAGAGGGTCTATGATTTTGCCTGTGCCAGAGAGCAGGCTGAATAGCCCCTTCTGGAGCTGCGAGTCCTGTCTGCATATCAAATTCTGCTCTACGAGGATGAAGATGCGGAAATTCCCTCTGCGAGCAACATTATGAAGTGGCTGCACCCCACAGTTGTCGTTCATTGGGGTGAGGTAGATAGGGTTGCCATAGGATTGGTTTTCCCCAGACATGTCTGGGATTCCAAGGATGAAATTACCACCCAGGGGGAAATTTTCTCCCCCCCCCCCTTTTTTTGAATTTGCATTTTATTTATTTGTTAACATTCTTATATCACATCAGTAAACATTGTCATGTTACATTACAGCATTACAGGACTTACTATAATTTCCAACCTGTATACAAAAATTATATACAAATTTTATATACCTAGAAAGAAAATGAAACAAAAAAAGAAAGGACAAAGATTTTCCCCAAAAATCATATACATACCAACACACTAGACTTCCTGTCTTTCCCGTTGTATATTCCTTTTTTACAAATGAATGTACTCTTATTATTGTATATTTCTTAACATTTTAACTAATACATTCCTATATCAATACGTACTCTTGGTCTTATTTCTCAACTCAGTCTCACTCCAATGTCAATCAAATGCTAGCATAGATAGTGACCCTTTACTTTATTTTTGAACATATGCTTTATATCCATCCCACTTTTCCATAAATTTTTGTTTTTAATTGCCTCTCAGGGTATTTGTCAACTGCACCATTTCAGCAAATTCTTGTAGCTTGTAATGCCAGTCCATTATTGTCGGGGCTTCTTGTTCCTTCCACCCCTTTGCCACCAAAGTCCGAGCTGCGGCCGTTGCATATAAGAACACCTCCCTAAAGGCCTTCAGGATGACATCCAGGGGGAATTTTTCTAAATCAGTAGGAAGTGTGTGTCCCCAAAAAAGCTCAAGGCAATTTCCCCCAAAAAGCTCAACAACTTTTTGTGTCATCATTTGGCAACCCTACGACATATAATTTATTTCTTCGTTTTTATTTGACATTTCCTCAAGCTGCTATCATGAAGTTCAGAAGAGGTTCAGAACCCTTCAGGAAGACAGCTTCAGCTAATGAGGGGCCATTATTTACTCTGCAAGAAGGAAGTGCCAAGGAGTATGTAAGACAACCCTCAAGAACAACTTTGTACGACTGTTGTTGTGGTTAGGGAAATAAACAGAGTGGACGAGTTTTTATGCCAAAGGTGCCATAGAAACCTTAAGAAGTGGAATTCAGAAGCCTGAAACTCTTGTCTCAGGGGAGCAAAGTATTATATAAAATCCAAGCTCAAACTGCTACCCAGGTTGGGAAGGAGGAAAGAAGCATCTAACCTCATGAACCCTCTTCAGTTATTTATTGATATTGTTATTTATTATAGTTATATACCACTCTTGAGTAAAAAAATCACTGGGTGGTTTAGAATTTGAAAGGACAACCCCCACCACAGGTTGCATAACATAATAACAACTATATAAGAATACTTATACACAGAGAGACACATTTAAAAGGCCATAGTTTGTATAATAAATAATAATAATAATAATAATAATAATAATAATAATTTATTTATACCCCGCGCATCTGGCTGGGTTTCCCCAGCCACTCTGGGCAGCTTCCAACAAAACACTAAAATACAATAACCTATTAAACATTAAAATCTTCCCTAAACAGGGCTGCCTTCAGATGTCTTCTAAAAGTTTGGTAGTTATTTTTCTCTTTGACATCTAGTGGGAGGGCGTTCCACAGGGCAGGCACCACCACCGAGAAGGCCCTCTGCCTGGTTCCCTGTAACTTGGCTTCTCGCAGGGAGGGAACCGCCAGAAGGCCCTTGGCACTGGACCTCAGTGTCCGGGCAGAATGATGAGGGTAGAGACGCTCCTTCAGGGATACTGGACCGAGGCCGTTTAGGGCTTTCAAGGTCAGCACCAACACTTTGAATTGTGCTCGGAAACGTCCTGGGAGCCAATGTAGGTTTTTCAGGACCGGTGTTATGTGGTCTCGGCGGCTGCTCCCAGTCACCAGTCTAGCTGCCGCATTCTGGATTAGTTGTGGTTTCCGGGTCACCTTCAAAGGTAGCCCCACGTAGAGCGCAGTGCAGTAGTCCAAGCGGGTGGTAACTAGAGCATGCACCACTCTGGCCAGAGAGTCCACTGGCAGGTAGGGTCTCATCCTGCGTACCGGGTGGAGCTGGTAGACAGCTGCCCTGGACACAGAATTAACCTGCGCCTCCATCGACAGCTGTGAGTCCAGAATGACTCCCAGGCTGCGCACCTGGTCCTTCAGGGGCACAGTTACCCCATTCAGGACCAGGGAGTCCTCCACACCTGCCTGCCTCCTGTCCCCCCATAACAGTACTTCTGTCTTGTCAGGATTCAATCTCAATCTGTTAGCCGCCATTCATCCTCCAGCCGCCTCCAGACACTCACACAGGACCTTCACTGCCTTCATGCATTGAAAATTGGGTACTTGGGTGAGGCAAGGGGTGCTGAGGAGAGCAGCAACCCACTATTGACATGTAAATATTTCAATATTGTGAAATCATGTGTCAAATTACACATGGTGACTTACGGAATTCACCGATGCTCTTAACACCCCATAACAGAATTTTGTCAGGAAATATGCATACTTAATGTAAATACTATGAAATTACATAATGCAACACACACACACACACTGTGACCGAGGCCTCCTTTGGAATCGGAGGCTCGGGCCAAGTGGCCCATATGCCCCCCCCCCTCTGTCTGGGCCTGCGGGTGCTGCTGGGCGTCTGCCCGTTCCCTTCCCCACTTGGGGTGCCCCTCGAGGGCAGAGACCTGGGCCCACGGCTGGGAGGGCGGGTGCCCACATGGCGAGGCAGCGGCGAAGAGGCCCGCCTCCGTCCCGGGACAGGGGTGGGCTTCGGCGGCCCGCCTGAGCAGGCGGCGGTCGCCCCGGCACCCTTTCTTAGCCCTTTCCTTATTTTATTCGTATTTTCAAAAACAGCTTTTAATAGGCAGCGGCCGGGCTCTTCCGGGCACGATCAATTTGTTGTGTTCACTTTGAAAGCGTCCGATAATACTTTTTTTCCTGCAATAAAAGGATGCTTATTCCCAGGTGCATCAGGGCAGCAAATAGCAGCTTTAAAAAGGAGGAAATGTTCGTGGTCAGAGGACTTCCCTCTTTTAAACTGGGCCAGGGGCTGGCAAGCCTCACCCTCTGTAGTCTGAAATATCAGAAACACAGAAGCCGCAGAGAAATGGGCCTGGGGTCTCCCCCCCCCCTCTTCTCCTGCCCTCCCCACATGTTGGGGGGGGCAGACTGGCAGCTGGGGGTAAGGGCTCCTTCCTCGACGGGATCCCCGGGAGAGCCCCGTTTCCGCGGGTCAGGCTGCCTCTGAGGGTGGAGGGCTCTGGACCGCCCCCTCTCTGTCGAGCCCGGGCTCCGCTGCGTTGGTTTAGGGATGAACACGGAGGCCTTGGTGGGTGGGAGGGGAGAGAGAAAGGGGTCTCAGCGGGCACTGGACTCCGCCATCCCTCCCCTACTCCTCCCCCTCGGAGATGCCTGTGGGATGGACGGGGCTACGGGGGAGTCGGGGAGGCGGTTGTGGCGTGCGCTCCCTCGGAAGTGGACGGGAGCGCTGCCAAGGAGGAGCAGGAGGCTGTCTCTTCTCTGTCTCCCCCAGCCTCTTCTCTGCAAAGCTCACTTGATGCTCTCTCGCCCCCTTGGCATCTCTGCACCCCCTGAGACTCCTCCCCGCGTCTCCCACGCGTGGGACCCCCTCCCCACAAAAGTGAAGGACGCCAGAGCGAGGTTCACGCATTTTAATGCTCAGTGGCACAGCGGAGGCGGAGTGCCCGAGACGGGGGGCTAACGACAACTCCGAGGAGAGGGGGCGGGCGGTGGTGGTGGGGCTCATCTGTACTTCTGGGTCAGCCCCTGGGCCACCACGCAGAGGAGCTAGTCTCAGGCCAGGTAGGTCAGGGCGTTGTAGTCTCCGCGGAGGCTGGAGGCCAGAGGCACGTGCATGCGCCTGGGCAGAAACTGGAAACGAGAGAGAGAGAGACACGGGGGTCAGGTGGGGGGGGGGAGGATCAAGGGAAGACCCAAGGCGCGCCCTCCTGGCCCTCGCCCGCCCCGTCGCCGCGCTTGCCTTTAAGTTAAAGGGGTCCACTGGAGGTTGGAGGCGTGCAGATCGCTGGGATCCATTCGGATGTTGTCCATGTTCATGATGGCGCTGTCGTTGGAGCCGGGGATAGGGTCGAAGCGCTGGAAGTAGATATTGGACTCCATGTAGACCCGGAAAAGCCTAAGGGGAGGGAAGGGGGCCGTCAGGAAAAGGGACGGGACGGGAAGAACCAGACTGGGCTTCTCTCCCTTGGCCGCCCCGTCGAGCCTACCTGGCCAGCGGTTCGTCGCCCATATCGTCGCTCAAGGGGAGCCCGAACTGGATCGCGATGCGCTCTCTAGCAGTCAGCACCATGTCGGCAGCAGGCGAGGGTCGAACTGCTCGATGGGTGGCGGGAGGTGGCGAAGCTGGGAGCCCTGCAGAGGCCGCCGCTTTTATAGCGGCCCGCGCTGCCCTCCTCCGCCCGCCCCCGCTTATCTTCTCGCCCCGGGGCTGCCGGAGAGGTCGGCTGCGCGGCGGAGAGGCCAAAGCCACCGACGGCGCAAGGAGGAGCCTCGGCGAGGGCGGACAGAGCTCAGCTCCTGCCTTGGCGGCCGAAAGAGCCGGTACTGGGGGGGGGGGGGGGGAGACCCGAGTTAGAGGAACAGAGCAGCATCAGAAGAGACGGCAGGATCCGTGCAGCCTCGTGTTTCCACGGTGTCCACCCAGGTGCCTCTTGCAGAAAACGCGCAAGCGGGATCCGAGAGCAAGAGCGTCTTCCTCCATCAGCCGCTGCCATTCAGAAGCATTTGTGCCCCCACCGTTAGCCCTCTCTTCCCCCGCCATCCCACTTGGACCGAGGGAGCCTTCTGCTGGGGCACTCGGCAAGTGGGAAGAGGACACGGGACTGCCAAAGTTCAGACGACCAAAGAACCCGGGTGGATGCCCCGACTCTTTTCGCCACGCGGGAGAGGCCGGAGGCTCCTAAATCCGACCGCCCCCACCCCATTTCATGGCCTCGCAGGTCCCCAGCCCAAATCAAACACGCAGGGGGTGTACGGTATCCGTCTGAAAAGCCTCTCGAGACGCCCCAGTCGGTGGCATGAGGGCCACGCAGGAGACGGACTGACGGCTGGCTGATGCGTAAAGCGCATATTGCTAAGATCAGCCAGGCAGGGAAAGGGGTGTTGTTGTTTTTTACTTTAGATCAAGCTCAGAAAATGGGGTCGAGAGATCCTTGAGAGGCAAGCAGGAGACACCTGCAGCAGTCTCTGAGGCCAAGTATTTGTTTTCAGTCCTAGAAACAAGCTCCTGTTTCTCACACGCAGAGAGCGATTCCTGGTTTCCCCCTCCCCGCCAAAAAACCAGCCTTCATTTGTTCCAACAGCTTCATTTGAAAGCTCTTGTTAAACAATCCGGGACCACAAAAAGCGCTGCAAGTTGTTTTCTTCTAAAACCAAGCGGTATATAAATGTTATGAAACAAACAAAGGGCACCCAAGAGTGCTCATCAATGGTTCCTCTTCATCCTGGAGAAGAGTGACTAGTGGGGTGCCACAGGGTTCTGTCTTGGGCCCGGTCTTATTCAACATCTTTATCAACGACTTGGATGATGGACTCAAGGGCATCCTGATCAAATTTGCAGATGACACCAAACTGGGAGGGGTGGCTAACACCCCAGAGGACAGGATCACACTTCAAAACGACCTTGACAGATTAGAGAACAGGGAGAAATGTAAAGTATTGCACTTGGGCAAAAAAAATGAGAGGCACAAATACAAGATGGGGGACACCTGGCTTGAGAGCAGTATATGTGAAAAGGATCTAGGAGTCTTCGTTGACCACAAACTTGACATGAGCCAACAGTGTGACGCGGCAGCTAAAAAAGCCAATGCAATTCTGGGCTGCATCAATAGGAGTAAAGCATCTAGATCAAGGGAAGTAATAGTGCCACTGTATTCTGCTCTGGTCAGACCTCACCTGGAGTACTGTGTCCAGTTCTGGGCACCACAGTTCAAGAAGGACACTGACAAACTGGAACGTGTCCAGAGGAGGGCAACCAAAATGGTCAAAGGCCTGGAAATGATGCCTTATGAGGAACGGCTAAGGGAGCTGGACATGTTTAGCCTGGAGAAGAGGAGGTTAAGGGGTGATATGATAGCCATGTTCAAATATATAAAAGGATGTCACATAGAGGAGGGAGAAAGGTTGTTTTCTGCTGCTCCAGAGAAGCGGACACGGAGCAATGGATCCAAACTACAAGAAAGAAGATTCCACCTAAACATTAGGAAGAACTTCCTGACAGTAAGAGCTGTTTGACAGTGGAATTTGCTGCCAAGGAGTGTGGTGGAGTCTCCTTCTTTGGAGGTCTTTAAGCAGAGGCTTGACAACCATATGTCAGGAGTGCTCTGATGGTGTTTCCTGCTTGGCAGGGGGTTGGACTCGATGGCCCTTGGGGTCTCTTCCAACTCTAGGATTCTAGGATTCTATGATTCTATGAAACTGTTACGGTAAAATCTGGGTGCAGGGTTACTCTGCCACCCAGCTCGTCGGACTAAGTCCGCGGGTCCCTGCGGAAGAAAATGTGCTCAGCCGGAGACGGGAGCAAGTTCCAGGAGATCCGAGTTTATTGCGCAACAGGTTCAAGGCGAGATTGAACAGCGAGAAAGGGGTGACATGAACTTTTGAAATTTCCCTCCATGTCCCAGAATACAGTGCAAAATACATCCCAGTTACATCATGAATACATTAAGAAGAGGTTGGGTTACACAGATTACATCACGAATACATTAGGAAGAGGTTGGGTTACACCGGATTAACATATGGAGGAGGGAGGGGGGAATATGCAGAGCTGGAGATATGCGCAGATAAGCACATCCCGAGAAGACAATGGTCCATGTATGCATAGTCTGTCACCTGGCATCGCCCGGAGGAAGGGCTTGGCAGAGCGATTTGACAGGATTAGGGTCTTGACACCTTGCTTGAGGGATTATGGAGGGCAGGGGAGGTGTCATGGAGTCCTAGAGAAATTAAGCAAATTGGCAAGTTGATTTTCTATGAATTTTATAGATTTTAGTCCCTTTTGACATTGGCAATTGGAAATAAATGGATATATTGTAGCGAAGAAGGTGAAGAAGAAGACATGCCCCCCCCCCTTCCGTATCAGAAACAAACCAACAAGTCCTAGGAGATCTACCACGAATCACTCAGTAGATCCTGATCTACCCCCTGCTCCCCCCAACACACCACTTCCCCCCTCCCATCGTTGGGGCAACTTTACGCCATCCCTTGACCTGGTGCCTGGAGGGTCTCAACCTGGTCCTCCTCACAGGGTTGTGGTGGGGAGGAGGACGACCACGTGGAGATCCCTGGAAGATATACATGTAATAAATAAATACAATACAGCGAAAAGGAAAAAGTGTCTAGAAATATTTTTGGAATTAAACATTCTGAGGACCTAACTGCGCATTACATTAAGTGTGTAGTGTTGTGAGTGGTTTGGGGTTTTTTTTAAAAAAGTTGATATGGGGAGGGAGTTTTACAGTAGGACTACAATGTTGGGAGAAGGGAAGTTTCATCTTTTGTACCACAGTTGTGGAAGGATACAGAAAGCCCAGCAACAGGTGACTTGGGAACGGCAGGCAGCCCTAGCCAGAACCAACAGGACCTCTGGCACCTCCTGCCCTGCTGTGCTGTGCCTCGAGCCCTTGCCATGTGGGCTCTCTAATAACAATAGTAATTATAATTATAATTATTTTTATTTATACCTCACCCGTCTGACTGGGTTTCCTCAGCCACTCTGGGCAGCTACCAAGAAAAAATTAAAATGCAATAATCTGTTAAACATTAAAAGCTTCCCTAAACAGGGCTGCCTTCAGATGTCATCTAAAAGTCTGGTAGTTGTTGTTCTTTTTGACATCTGGTGGGAGGGCGTTTCACAGGGCGGGTGCCATTACCGAGAAGGCCCTCTGCCTGTTTCCCTGTAACTTGGCTTCTTGCAGTGAGGGAACCGCCAGAAGGCCCTTGGCACTGGACCTCAGTGTCCAGGCAGAAGGATGGGGGTGGAGACGCTCCTTCAGGTATACTGGACCGAGGCCATTTAGAGCTTTCATGGTCAGCACCAACACTTTGAATTGGGCTCAGAAACGTACTGGGAGCCAATGTCGGTCTTTCAAGACCGGTGTTATGTGGTCTCGGTGGCCGCTCCCAGTCACCAGTCTAGCTGCCGCATTCTGGATTAATTGCAGTTTCTGGGTCACCTTCAAAGGTAGCCCCACATAGAGAGTATTTCAGTAGTCCAAGCGGAAGATAACCAGAGCATGCACTACTATGGCGAGGCAGTCTGCGGGCAGATAGGGTCTCATCCTGCATACCAGATGGAGCTGATAAGCAGCTGCCCTGGAAACAGAATGGACCTGCGCCTCCATGGACAGCTGTGAGTCCAAAATGACAACAGGCTGCGCACCTGGTCCTTCAGGGGCACAGTTACCGCATTCAGGACCAGGGAATCCCCCACATCCGCCTGCCCCCTGTCCCCCAAAAACAGTACTTCTGTCTTGTCAGGATTCATTTATTATTTTTTTTTAAAATAATTTTTATTAAAGTTTTAAACAAAGAAAAAAGAAAAAACAACACACACAAAAAAACAATACAAAATTTAACAATAAAAACACACAACATAACAATTTAAAACAAACTCTCTTTTAGATTCCCAATTTTGAATTACTTATTTTCTGGACTTCCTCATACCTCCCTCTTTTGTATTCCAATCTACATTATTTGTCCAGCAGTTTCTTTTCCACTTTTTTAAACCCAATCTTTAATTTAATGAAATATTAAACTATATAGCTTCAGCTTTTTAAACATAATCCTTGTTCTTAATATCATATACCTTTAAATTTTCTCTTTTATTATCAAATTTCCATTTCTTTAAACATCTTTAATCTTTAATCTTTAATCTTAATCTATCCTTAGCTTTAACCTGTACAGCTGGAAACCACTTATTTTCAATCCAACATCACTCTAACATTCCTTAATTTTGCAGTGTTTCTGAAGATAGTCTTTGAATTTCTTCCAATCTTCCTCCATCGACTCTTCTCCCTGGTCACGGATTCTGCCAGTCATTTCCGCCAATTCCATGTAGTCCATAAGTTTCATCTGCCATTCCTCCAGCGTGGGAAGTTCTTGTGTCTTCCAATACTTTGCGATGAGTATTCTTGCTGCTGTTGTTGCATACATAAAGAAAGTTCTATCCTTTTTAACACCATTTGGCCCACTATGCCCAGGAGAAAGGCCTCTGGTTTCTTGGGGAAGGTATACTTAAATACCTTTTTAATTCATTATATATCATTTCCCAGAAAACCTTAATCTTTGGGCACGTCCACCAAAGGTGAAAAATGTACCTTCAGTTTCTTTACATTTCCAACATTTGTTATCGGGCAAGTGATAGATTTTCGCAAGCTTGACTGGGGTTATGTACCACCTGTATATCATTTTCATAATATTCTCTCTTAAGGCATTACATGCCGTAAATTTCATACCAGTGGTCCATAACTGTTCCCAGTCAGCAAACATAATGTTGTGTCCTACGTCCTGTGCCCATTTAATCATAGCCGATTTTACCGTTTCATCTTGAGTATTCCATTTCAGCAGCAAGTTATACATTCTTGACAGATTCTTAGTATTGGGTTCTAACAATTCTGTTTCTAATTTTGATTTTTCCACCTGGAAGCCAATTTTCCTGTCTAATTTAAATGCCTCCATTATTTGATAATAATGAAGCCAGTCTCGCACTTTATTTTTTAATTTTCAAAACTCTGCAATTTCAGTCTATCTCCGTCTTGTTCCAAAATTTCCCAATATTTCGGCCATTTGACCTCCATATTGACCCTTTTCAAGGCTTTCGCTTCCATTGGTGACAGCCACCTTGGGGTTTTATTTTCTAACAAATCCTTATATCTAATCCAAACATTAAATAATGCTTTCCTGACAATGTGGTTTTTAAATGCTTTGTGTGCTTTGACCTTATCATACCATAAATATGCATGCCATCCAAATACATTATTGAAACCTTCCAAATCCAAAATGTCAGTGTTTTCAAGAAGTAGCCATTCTTTCAACCAGCAAAAAGCTGCTGATTCATAATAAAGTTTGAGGTCTGGCAGGGCAAATCCACCTCTTTCCTTTGCATCTGTTAGAATTTTAAATTTTATTCTAGGTTTCTTGCCCTGCCAGACAAATTTAGAAATATCTTTCTGCCACCTCTTGAAACAGTCCATTTTGTCCACAATCTGCAAAGTTTGAAGCAAAAACAACATTCTAGGCAATACATTCATTTTTATCGCAGCAATACGGCCTAGCAGTGAAAGCTTCAAGTTTGACCAAATTTCTAAATCTTTTTTCACTTCTGACCAACATTTTTCATAATTATCTTTAAATAAATTCCCATTTTTGCTGTCATGTTAATCCCCAGGTATTTAACTTTCTTAACCACTGTTAACCCTGTCTCATTCTGAAACCTCTCTCTTCAAACGGTGTTAAATTTTTCTCTAAAACCTTGGTTTTTGATTTGTTCAATTTAAATCCTGCCACTTGACCAAATTCTTGAATCAGTTCTAAAACCCTTTTTGTACTAGATTCTGGCTCCTGTAACGTCAATACTAAGTCATCTGCAAATGCTCTCAATTTATAATGTTTAATTCCGACCTGTATACCTTTAACCATCTGGTCCCTTCTGATCATATTCAGCAGAACCTCCAGGACCGAAATAAAAAGAAGTGGGGAAATTGGGCAACCTTGTCGTGTCCCTTTTTCAATTTTAAGTTCTTCCGTCACAACGTTATTTACAATTAATTTAGCCTTTTGTTCTGAATAAATTGCACTTATACCATTCTCAAAACCTTGGCCTACCCCCATACCCCGAAGATTCTTCTTCATAAAATTCCAAGAAATATTGTCAAAGGCTTTCTCCGCGTCTACAAATATCAACACTGCTTTAGTGTTTATATTCACTTCTAATTTTTCCAAAATATCAATTATATTCCTCAGATTATCAGACAAGTGTCTTCCTGGGAGAAAGCCCGCTTGATCTTTATGAATCTCTTCCAACAGCACTTTTTTAAATCTCTTCGCCAAAATATCTGCAAAAATTTTGTAATCCACATTAAGTAATGATATTGGGCGGTAGTTCTTTAGTTGAGTCTTTTCAGCCTCTGTTTTTGGTACAAGTGTAATATATGCTTCTTTCCACGACTCTGGTGCCCTCCTCCCTCCATTATTTCGTTACAGACCTCTTTCAATGGTTGAATTAACCAGTCTTTTAAAGCTCTGTAGTATCTAGAGGTCAAACCGTCTGGGCCTGGAGATTTACCCAGTTGCATATTTTGAATGGCACCTTCTATTTCCTGTTCCGTTATTCTATCATTCAGAATTAGTCTCTTTTCTTGAGATATTTTTGTAATCCATTTGTTTTCAAAAATTGGTCTAAGTCTGTTTCTTTCACGGGCCCTTGAGTGTATAGTCTTTTAAAATACTTCTGGAAACAACTTCTAATTTCTGCAGGGTTCTGTATATTCCTTCCATCCACTTCTATATTCGTAATCGTATTTAATTTTTGTCTCTTTTTCATTTGCCATGCCAACAGTTTACCACATTTATTAGCCGATTCAAAAGTCTTTTGTCTCATTTGTTTAATTTTCCATTCTATTTCCTGATTCATTATTTTCATATATTGTACTTGATATAACTTCAGCTCTCTCAGAGTCTCTTGAGATTTAGGATTTACTCGCAATTTTTTTCGCATTCATTCATTTTATTCATAATTTTATCCTTCTTCTCGTTTTGAGTTCTAGCCCCACATAGAGAGTATTTCAGTAGTCCAAGCGGAAGATAACCAGAGCATGCACTACTATGGCGAGGCAGTCTGCGGGCAGATAGGGTCTCATCCTGCATACCAGATGGAGCTGATAAGCAGCTGCCCTGGAAACAGAATGGACCTGCGCCTCCATGGACAGCTGTGAGTCCAAAATGACAACAGGCTGCGCACCTGGTCCTTCAGGGGCACAATTACCCCAGTCAGGACCAGGGAGTCCTCCATAGCCACCCACCCCTGTCTCCCCCAAAACAGTACTTCTGTCTTGTCAGGATTCAACCTCAATCTGTTAGCTGCCATCCATCCTCCAACCGCCTCCAGACACTCACACAGGACCTTCACCGCCTTCACTGGTTCCGATTTGAAAGAGAGGTAGAGCTGGGTATCATCTGCATATTGATGGACACCCAGCCCAAACCCCCTGATGATCTCTCCCAGAGGCTGCATGTAGTAATTTCAATTTCCATATTCAACTACAGTAATGTGATCTTGGATGAAATAACTGTGATCTTGCGAATTAAGTACGTAACCAGAGGTACTACTGTAGTTTGCACAGACCCAGTTGTTTGAAGTCCCAAAGGAAGGAGTCCATTATGCTTTCAAGTGACTCCATTCACCAGAAAATTCTTCCTAAGGTTTAATTGAAATCTCCTTTCTTGTCATCTGAATCCACTGGTTCGAGTTCTCCCCTCTGGAGCAACATAAAACAAGTTTCCTCCATGGGACAGCCCTGCAGGCCTTTGAATATGGCTCTCATGTCACCCCTCCGTGTCTCTTCTCCAAACTAAACATATCCAATCCTTTCAACAGTTCATCACAAGACTTGATTTCCAGGCTCTTCATCTTCTTAGTCGCCCTTCTTGGCACACCTTCCAGCTTGTCCTTATCCTCTCAAACTGTGGTGCCCAGAACTGGACAAAGGGCTCCAGGTAGGCTCTGGCCAAGGCTGAATAGAGTGGTGCTATGACTTCCCTTAAGGGACGCGGGTGGTGCTGTGGGTAAAACCTCAGTGCCTAGGACTTGCCGATCGTATGGTCGGCGGTTTGAATCCCCGCTACGGGGTGAGCTCCCGTCATTTGGTCCCAGCTCCTGCCAACCTAGCAGTTCAAAAGCACTCTTAAGTGCAAGTAGATAAATAGGTACCACTTTATTGCGGGAAGGTAAACGGCGTTCCGTGTGCTGCTCTGGTTTGCCAGATGCAGCTTGTCACGCTGGCCACGTGACCCGGAAGTGTCTGCGGACGGCGCCGGCTCACGGCCTCTTGAGCGAGATGAGCGCGCAACCCTAGAGTCAGACACGACTGGCCCGTACGGGCAGGAGTACCTTTACCTTTACCTTTATGACTTCCCTTAATTGGGACACTAGACTTCTTTTGATGCAGCCTGGAATTGCAATAGCTTTTTCAATCTTTATTTCATGAGATACTATGACAGCGAAGAAGAGAAATGCAGCATGAAAAGCAAAACCACAGGACAAGATACAACCAGGGTTGCCACCTTTGCTCTTGCAAAATACAGGACGGGACTGGGGGCGGGGACTTAGGGTGAATTCCCACCCCCACCTGGTGCTGAAATGACTTCAAAGCAATCCATTACAATCCATTGCAGCCTAATAGGAGGACATCTCTGGACTACGTCTCTCTCACACACATTTGTATATCTCTCCGTTCTCTGCTACCCAGAGCTAAGTACATTACCTTTCACACACATGCAGTATTATACAGCAAAGTTGCATCACATAAGCTTTCTTTTTTGCATTCACATTCACACAATCATTTTGTTGCCTTCACATGGGATTTGCTTGTGAAAGCATACAAATGCTCATACCAAGATGAGACCGCACCATCCTACTGCCAAAATGTAGGAACAGATTTTTGTAGAGAGTCAGGAATGTTTAGTTTATGGCACAAGCTTGCATGACATTATTCAAAACTGTGCACGCATTGTACATGAAATACATATTTCATTAAGAATTGCATAAAACTATGGAGAGTAAATGGTTGACATATGCTGATTTATTGTTGGAAGACAATGAAGGTTTTAAATTACTGGTCAACTCACCACTGTGTGCTAACCACACCTGCCACTTAGCTATGCTGCAGTTTCTCTTTGATGGTAGCGTGACATCCAAGTGTGGAACAGGTGAGTGATGCCTCCAGCGACCTGGCAGGTGCAAGGAAAACAGAGAAACCCAAACAAGACGTACCCTGGCTGCATTTGGTTCATATTATTTACCTTTAATGGCCTCATGGCTGTCAAAGTGACGCAATGGCTTAAAGAGTTATAGGTGAGTGGTAATGACTGTCCTTGAGCTAATGAGGCTTAATTGCTTCAAATTTGCAAAAGTCTTTGAAACAGGCTCTTGCTGCAGCCCATTGGTGGTGGGTGGAAGGTAATAATAATAATAATAATAATAATAATAATAATAATAATAATAATAATTTATTATTTATACCCCGCCCATCTGGCTGAGTTTCCCCAGCCACTCTGGGCGGCTCCCAATTGAGTGTTAAAAACAATCCAGCATTAAATATTAAAAACTTCCCCCAAAAGGGCTGCCTTTTAAAGATAGGATATCTGCTTATTTCCTTCACATGTGAAGGGAGGGTGTTCCACAGGGTGGGTGCCACTACTGAGAAGGCCCTCTGCCTGTTTCCCTGTAACCTCACTTCTCACAATGAGGGAACCGCCAGAAGGCCCTCGGCGCTGGACCTCAGCGTCCGGGCAGAATGATGGGGGTGGAGACGCTCCTTCAGGTATACTGGACCGAGGCCGTTTAGGGCTTTAAAGGTCAGCACCCACACATTGAATAATGCTCAGAAACGTACTGGGAGCCAATGCAGGACCGGTGTTATGTGGTCTCAGCTGCCGCTCCCAGTCACCAGTCTAGCTGCTGCATTCTTGAATAATTGCAGTTTCCGGGTCACCTTCAAAGGTAGCCCCACAGAGCGCACTGCAGTAGTCCAAGCGGAAGATAACCAGAGCATGCACCACTCTGGCGAGACAGTCTGCGGGCAGGTAGGGTCTCATCCTGTGTACCAGATGGAGCTGGTAGACAGCTGCCCTGGACACAGAATGGACCTGCGCCTCCATGGACAGCTGTGAGTCCAAAATGACTCCCAGGCTGCACACCTGGTCCTTCAGGGGCACAGTTACCCCCTTCAGGACCAGGGAGTCCCCCACATCCGTCTGCCCCCTGTCCCCCAAAAACAGTACTTCTGTCTTGTCAGGATTCAACCACAATCTGTTAGCCACCATCCATCCTCTAATTGCAAGAGAGCAAGTTCAGGAAACCAGGTTTAGGGTTTAGGGTTTAGGGTTTAGGGTTTAGGGTTTAGGGTTTAGGGTTTAGGGTTTAGGGTTTAGGGTTTAAGGTTAGGGTTAGGTTTAGGGGTTGGGGTTGGGGTCATGAAGAGTCGGACACAACTAAGCGACAAAACAACAACAACAATAACAAGGAAAAGCGGGACATTCCGAGATCAAATCAGAAACAGGGACAGCTTTTCTAAATCAGGGGTGTTCCTGGAAAATAGGGACTCTTCAAGTCTGATCTACTAGTCCAGGATCCTGCTCTCTCAGTTGTCCATGAGAAGTCCGCAAGCAGAAGAGGAGTGTAGCAACACTCTCCTCATTTGTGATTTGCAGTAATTAGAATTAGGAGGATTGAGGAAGGACTTCAGCATCATGGCTAGTTGCCACGGAAGGTCTTATTCCCACTCTGACACTCAAATTGCACGGATCAGAGATAATCCTGACAGAAGAACTTGGTAGTCGTGGAAGGACTCAGGAAATCTTAAATTGACTGCTGCCAGCTGGCCTACACTTGGCCCTTGTTCCAGGGGAGGGAGGCAGAGATGTTTCTATGGGCTGGAAGAGGCCGTTTCAACTCAGAAGTGCCTACCCATTCTCCACAAGGCTGACCACACAAAGTGTTCATTTTGGAGCTTGGCTGATGTGGTTGGGACCTGCCAGTATCAGCGCTCAGTTTGACACCCATCTGACCTCTAAATGGGATAAATGGAATGAGGATGTCTTCTTCTAAAATCATCTCCTGCCAAGGAGGTGCCAGTTATTTCCTCTTGGGAGAGAGTCAGAAACCACACAAGCCTTCTCAGACCCTACTCAGATGAAGGATGTCAAAACTTGATCTTGATCCCCAGATCCTGGTGTCACCATCTTTCTGATTGGCCAGGTTGAGCCACGTCAGGCAAGCTCTGTCCATTGGGAAGGGGATAAAAACTGGAGGTGCAGGACTCCTCTGGAAGCAGGGAAGTCTCAGTTCCAGTTGGGGGAGAAGAACCTGTGTCTCCTGTCCCACCAAGAGCAACTGACGCTTCTGCAGATCCCGAGAAAGAGAGGCAAGGTAAGTCAAGAAAACCCACTGGATATGATTATTGAAGCCTAGAACACCTCCCAAAAAAGAATGTCTGGACCCTGAATGCCCCACAGAATGGGCATATCTAAAACCGTGGTTTTCTTTTCTTTTCTTGACATTAAACGTCAGTTAGGCACTGTGGCGATCACACAGGGTCCCCAGACATTTAACGGTCTATTGATCCCTGTGCCACCACTGTGCTTGCTTCCCTGCTGTCACCAACCAGTTACTCTCTGGTAAAACACTGAGTCCAGTCAGTTGTTAAAAGTGAGCCAAAAAAACAAGTTTATTTTACAAACAATAACAAGTTTATGGTTTCTCAGATAATATTCCTGTCAGTATCTTAACTTTAGTTTCTTTACTGGCCTATACCTTCCTAAGGGACGCGGGTGGCGCTGTGGGTTAAACTACAGAGCCTAGGACTTGCCGATCAGAAGGTCGGCAGTTCGAATCCCCACAACGGGGTGAGCTCCCGTTGCTCAGTCCCTGCTCCTGCCAACCTAGCAGTTCGAAAGCACGTCAAGTTCGAAAGCAGATAAATAGGTACGGCTCCGGCGGGAAGGTAAACGGTGTTTCCATGCGCTGCTCTGGTTTGCCAGAAGCGGCTTAGTCATGCTGGCCACATGACCCGGAAGCTGTGCACCAGCTCCCTCGGCTAATAAAGCGAGATGAGCGCCGCAACCCCAGTCGGCCACGACTGGACCTAACGGTCAAGGGTACCTTTACCTTTACCTTTACCTTTCTAATACCTTCTGACTGATTATCTCAACTGTTTGACTGACTCCTCTTAACAAATTCTTTCTCTCATACACACACACCAGACTAGCCCAACCCACAGACTTATCCTGTCTCTTCTAACTCCAGACTGTCTTCTCAACAACTCCAACTCTAACTCACTCAAAAACCCTCTGGGATTAAACCTTATACACAGCTAACTCTACCCCCTGGGTTCCCATGGGTTAGTCATTTTACAATTAGTTAACCCTTTCCCTATGAACCCAGTATGATGTCACACACATTGGAGGGCAAACGCCACAGGCACCTCTAGCACTTTGGAGAATAAGAGTTCTCCAGGCCAACCCAATAGCGCTTGTTGCAGGAAACCGCCCCCCCCAATCATTCAGTTTGTACAAACACCACACACACACACACACTACATAACCGACGCTTCTGTTATAAATTCAGCTGTTCTTCGGACCTGTACCATTCCACTTTTATTTTACACCATGAGGGAAGGACTATCAAAGGAGGGAGACTTGACACAAGGCAGCCAACACGTCCACAGTGAGCCCTACCCAGTTGGCATGACAACCTTGATGGTCCTAGACAGAAGACCATCACACTCACAAAGGACCTGCATATGGGAATGGATTCAGTACGGACTGAAACACAGGACAGTGACCAGCCCTTCCCTCTAGGGGCAGGAAACAGTGAAGTCCACTTTGTCCTCAAGAATGTAATCAGGGGCAGGGGGAAAGGAGGAACCGGCCAGGTGACAAGACACTCAGGTTACCACCACAACTCCTCCCTGAACCCCTCCTCTTTGTGATGTGTCAATGATGGAGTCATGATGGAGTTGTGATGTAGTCTTAGGGGTGTAGCGTGGGGGATTAGTAGCTAATAAAAGTTGGGGTCTTCTTTTGTTCAGGGCTTCCATCTTGTTCCACCTTGTGGCAGGTGGGAGTCCTGTTGCAACCGTCTTCAATAAAGACCAAGCCGACTGGCTGCTGTTTTGCTCTGGTATTCCTGGCTGGTGTCCTTGTTTTTTGTCCAAGGGAGCCATTGGCTGCTAAGGAGGAACCGAACCCTCACAGCTCCAGCCTAGTCTCCCCCTGACTGCCTTCTCTGCTCCCTCCTTGCAGATGCTCCTCGTCTGGACTTTGCTGCTGCCCCTGGTACTTCTGGCACGGCGTGGGGAGGCCCAGAGCTCCGAGCCTGACCTGGAAAGTACCAGTAAGAGCGGGGAAAAGGGAATGGAAAGGGGTAATCGCCTGTGGGCAAGCAAAATGGTGCCCCTCCCCGCGAACAGAGGGCACTCTTATTCCTCCCCCAACCAATGGCTTATAAGCTGGTTTCTGACAGTGAAAATCTGGAGGTCACCTTACTCCATGCATGGGTAGGTGGCCTAGGAGTTGGGGGGGGGGGTGGAGCAGCAATGAGGAAGATTTCCATGTTGTGGCTGGCATCCACTGCATTCTCCCAAAATTCAAAATGTAGCCACTGGTCCAAAATATAGGTGACCCTGCAGGTCTATGCCAGGGCTGAAACTCCTTCAGTTCACCTGGTCCCAAGTCGTTCAGGTGTTTACATGTTAGAAACAAGTCCTCGAAGATGCCCCGGCAGGTAACTGACAGCTTCCTCAGCACAGGTGTAATATGTACTATCCACTCAGCAACTTGGCCGCAGCATCATGTGCCAGATGCAGCTTCTGAACCCATCCCAAGGGACGTCCCACATAGGGTGCATTACAGTAGTCCAGTTGTAACATTACCAACGCATGCATCGCCATGGCCAAAGTATTCCTGTCCCGGAAAGGGCAGAGTTGGTGCACCAACCTAAGGTGAAAATGGGTGCTTCTGCCCACAGAGGTAATCTGAAGCTCCATTAAGAAAGACGGATCTAGGAGCCCCCCAAAACTCTGCACCTCATCCTTCAGAGGGTTCGCAATCTCATCTGGCAATGGGGAAGTCCCCAACTTCTGGACCTGGAAACTGATCGCCCACAAAGTCTCGTTCTGGCCAGGATGAGTATGATGACTGCAAACCACTCGGAGGATTTATGACTGGCAAATGCAATATAAATTTTGTAAAACAGAATGACATTTATTGGCACTGCTGTTATCTGTAGGTTAACTGCTAGTTCTTAATATGGGTGGCAACTGGGAGAACAGGATGATGGACTAGATGGGCCCTTTTGGCCTGATCCTGCTGTGTCAGGACTATTCTTGTGTTCTTACTGCTCCCTTACTTGCAAAGCCAATGTGGTGTAATGGTTAAGAGCGGTGGACTCGTAATCTGGGGAACCGGGTTCGCGTCTCCACTCCTCCACATGCGGCTGCTGAGTGACCTTGGGCTAGTCACACTTTTCTGAAGTCTCTCAGCCCCACTCACCTCACAGAGTGTTTGTTGTGGGGGAGGAAGGGAAAAGAGATTGTGAGCCGCTTTGAGACTCCTGAAGGGGAGTAAAAGGCAGGATATCAAGTCCAAACTCTTCTCCTTCTTCCTCTCCTCCTCCTCCTTCTTCTGCCCCGTCTTCTTTCTATCAAGCTGTTGCTCCACCTCGCAACTTGGCCAGAGGCCGCCCAGCCTGTCAGTCCTCCACTTCCCCCCATCCAAGAGATCCGTCAGCCGGCAAAGCTGTCGATGGGAACTCTGACGGGGTCTTCAATCATGCCTCCTGCACCCACACCCATCAAGAATATGGACCATGGTGGCATGTGGAATTGGACGACCGGTATGCTATCTCCTCTGTGGTGGTGAAAAACCGTGCAGACTGCTGCAGCGAGAGACTCCTGGGAGCCCAGATCCGTGTGGGAGACCACGTGATTGACCATGGCAAGTTCAACCCCCTGTAAGTTCCCGTTGCCCCTCCCCTCCCCACTTGTCCTTCAGCCAAGGCATCCCAGGAGACACTCTCAAGATCACCGCCTGCAGATTCGTTCACTTGTAGCTCCTTTGTGGATTCTGCCCATATTTCAAGACCTGCTTCTGTGTGGAATGGCAAGGGCTAATTCCTGCTCCTAGGTGGAAAGGCCTCTCTGATTTCTCCACTTGGATGCTTCACTGATGTCTCAATTTCAATAAGTCCAAGACTGAACTTCTCATCTTTCCTCCCCTCCCTCTTCTTTCACTCTCCCTCTTCCCTGACACTCCTGCCTTCTTCATCAAGCATGAAGCCATGACTTCCCCTTGGACTCCCCTTTGGTTTGAATCCTATCCTCGAGAGTGAACAAGCATGTTCCCTCCTCCATGTGACAGTCCTAAGATAGTGGAAGAAGGCTATCATCTCCTCTCAGTCACCTCTTTTCCAGGCTAAACATACCCAGGTCCCTCAACTGTGCTTCATAAGGCTTGGTTTCCAAACCCTTGATCATCTTGGTTGCCCTTTGTGGCGTTTGCCCTCCTAGGTGGGTCATAAGGAAAGGGTTAAATGAGTGTGAAGTGATTGGCCAGTGGGAACCCAAGAGGAGGAGTTAGAGTTAGAGTTGGAGTTGTTTGGAAGTCAGTTGGGAGTTGGAGAAGGAAGAGCGAGGACAAGTCTGTGGGTTGGTCTAGTTTTGATGTGAGAGTGAGTGAAACTGTTAGGAGGAGTCAGATAGACAGTTGGGATAATCAGTTAGAAGTTATTAGGAAGGTATAGGCCAGTATAGAAACTAAGGATAAGAAACTGACAAGAAAAATTATCTGAAACCATAAACCTGTTAAGGCTTATAAAATAAACTTGATTATTTGTTTTAATGTTAACAACTGTCTGGACTCAGTGTGTACCCGACAGAAATGGGTTGGTGGCAGCGGGGAAGTTATCATAGTGGTGGCACAGGGATCAATAGACCGTCAAACGTCCGGGGACCCTGTGTGATGCCACAGCCTCCTCTGCAAACTTTCCAGCTTGTCAACATCCTTCTGAGACTGTGGTGCCCAGAACTGGACACGGGACTCCAGGCATGTTCTGACTAAGGCAGAATAGAGGGGTACTATTATTTCCCTTGATCTGGACACTAGACTTCTGTTGAGGCAGCCTAGAAAAGCATTGGCTTTTTTTGCTGCTGCATCACACTCTTGACTCATGTTCAGTTTGTGGTCCACCAAGACCCCTAGATCCTTTTCACATGTACTGCTAGTGAGCCAGGGGCTCCTGCAGCCATGGAAATGCCTCAGAGGGTAGACGGAGTCATTCTGAATTGTTTCCACCCCAAGGTTGACCTCCCGTTTCTCTTTGTAGCTGTGGGACCATCAACGATTATGGTCCTGGCTCCATCAGCACCATCAGTTGCCAGGGGATGAAGGGTCGCTATGTGAGCGTGAACCACTCTGGACTAGCTATCCTGACCTTGTGTGAGGTGGAAGTCTATGGAACAAAGTTGGAGGATGAGTCTCAGGGATAACCAGCCATGTGTCGCGCGGAAAGGGGCACGGGCAGAACTGATGGAATCGGTGTTCGTTGTCCAATAAACATCATTTGAGCAGCCTTCTTTCGTCTCTCCGATTTGTTGGTCAGAACCAAGGGGGTCTGTGATTTTGCCTGTGCCAGAGAGCAGAGCCATAGAGGAGGCCAAGTGACACCTTGTGGAGACTGCAAGTCCTATTTGCCAGGGATCCCTCACAAAGAGAACTAGTTGCACGACGAAGGAGGCCAGAGAATTATGCACTAATGTAGTGATCAGGTGGGATTGCTATGAGGAATTATAAAAAATATGGAGCAAGCCATTTGTGTCAGCAATGAAAGCATTGCGTTGACTGGGTTTGAGACATTTTGATATGATTTCTGATCAATCCATGCCTCTGCGTCTCTGTCCTATTTCTCTATGCCTGACAGGCACGTATCAGCATTCTAAATACACAGGCTAGTTGTTCATCAGGCATCCTGGGTCATAAAGATAGTAAGCAGCTTCTTTGATGTAGTTATTGTTAGTTTTGTTAATCTTAGGGCCAGGAAGAGAGTTCACAAAGATGGTAAATACTGCCATCCTGCCTTTCCTGTTTACTGCTGTTTACGACCCCCAGAGTTTCCTAAAAGCATTCCTCCTTGCTTCCTATTTTATTTACTCTGAACTATGCATGCTCAAGTAGGAAATCGTTTCTTTGTAGTTAAAAGGATTTCTTCTGATCTGACTTTGTCCCATGTGGGGTTTTCTTGAGATGTTCAGAGGAAATCTGATTGGTTCTTACGAACACTGTGTAAAAAGTTCTTTTGTGAATAAAACGACCTGGGTCGGAGGGTGGAGAGGAATTATTATTATACGCACCCCTCCCAGAGTCTTGCTGGTCAAGCCTCCTGTGTATTCTATTAACCAGAGTCCAATCCTTCCTTGCTTTGGGAATGCTACACACTAAGACAGAGGTCCTCAAACTACAGTCCGCGGGCCAGATCTGGCCCTCCAGGGTCCTGAACCCGGCCCGCCTGGCAATTGCCTCCACCACCGCCACCCAGGATCTTCGGGCGCAAGAGGCAGGAAGGCAGGCTCTCCCCAGGCCCAGGGAAAACCCCCACAGAGCCCAGAAGTTCCACCTCTCTACCTTATTCGTATCTCTTTGGCCTCACTCCCGACTCACATGCGCCCCTTGTCAGTTGGGGAGGTTTTTCTACGGCGAGTGTGACGGGACATACATGGCCAAGATGGCGGCTGCTCCCAGAGGCGGTTCTTGACCAGCCAGGAGCAGCAGTGGGGCCAGCATGGAGGTGGATGTGGCAGGTAAGCATGGGAGGCAGCGGGGGAGGGGCGCCTGACTGGGGGGGCGGAGGGGAAGGGCAGGGACCCCGGGCCTCCTCCCTTAGTCCTCACACTCCCTCGGTCTCCGCAGTGTTGCAGGAAACCCCCCCCATCATTCAGTTTGTACAAACTCGACACACACACTCACACACGACATACGTGACGCTTCTGTTATAAATTCATAGAAAATCACCTGTACATCGGAGCTGTACCGTTCCACTTTTATTTTACACCATGAAGGAAGGACTACAAAATGGTGAAGGTTTGATACAGGGCAGCCATAATCTCTCGAGAGTACCAACACGTCCACAGGAAACCTGCCCAGTTGGCATGACAACCTTGATGGTCCTAGACAGAAGACCATCACACTCACAAAGGACCTGTATATGGAAGTGAATTCAGTACGGACTGAAACAAAGGACAGTGACCAGCCCTTCCCTCTGGGGACAGGAAACTGCAAACTCCCTTTTGTCCTCTGGAAAGTACTCATGGGGAGGGGGAAAGGAGGAACTGGACAGGTGACAAGACACTCAGGTTACCACCGCAACTCCTCCCTCAACCCCTCCTCTTTGTGACGCGTCAATGATGTGGTCATGATGTAGTCTTAGGGGTGTAGCATGAGGGATTAGTATCTGATAAAAGTTGGGGTCTTCTTTTGTTCAGGGCTCCCATCTTGTTCCACCTGGTGGCAGGTGGGAGTCCTGTTGCGACAGTCTTCAATCAAGACCAAGCCGACTGGCTGCTGTTTTGCTCTGGTATTCCTAGCTCGTGTCCTTGTTTTTTGTCCAAGGGAGCCCTCAGATTTCTCAGTTTACAGCAGCGGCACCAGCGATGATGGTGTTGGGCGTGACGGGGAGTGTGTCAGTAGCCCTGCACCTGCTCGTCATCTTCAAAATCAGCGACCACTGGATCCGGATGCACTCGCAGGAAGGGCGCCCCCGTGAGTAGGGGCAGGAGGAGGGGAGCTGCACCTGTTGGACTTCCGCCTGCGAGCTGGGAAGGGGCAGCCTCCCACAGGACCCCGGAGTGAAGGAACCGAGCCTGGCCAGGGGGGCCCACATGTCTCCTGCAGCCCCAGGCCGCCCACCTTGCAAAGGCGCCCGGGAAGGGAGCGGAGAGAGAGAAGTCCTCCCCCCCGCCCCCAGCTCTGGTGAGACTCGAACTCGCATCGCCCTGGAGCACAAGCCGCACTGGCTGGGGCTGGTGGGAGGAGCCATCCCTGTCCTGAATCCCCCCTCCCCGTGGGAAGCCTGTGGGCTCCTCAGACTGCTCATGGACTACAACCCCCATCAGCCCCTGCCAGCACGACCTGATGGGAGATTGAGTCTGAGAGCTGCCTGAGGGCCACTGGTTCCGCTTCCCTGGAGTAAGGGCCGGGATGCTGAAGGGAGGCTTTGTTTGCTGGTTGGATTTTGGGTTCTAGCTAGGCAGGTCTAGTTGGTGGATTGTCCTCTTCTTCTTCTTTCTATAATTTTTATTGAAGATTTAAAGAAAACATATTATCCAAAAACATGTCATCCTTAATTCTTTTTCCCCATTTTCCTCCCTCCCCCCACCCCACCCCCCACAAAACCCACCCACCCCAGCTTCCCTCAGTTCCAGTCTTTGATTTCTCTGTGAATGCTGTTCTCTGCATGTTACAAAGTTGTATAAATCCTTAAATTATTTAACTGATTATTGTCAATAAAAAGCTTGTGAATGTTTATTCAAAACCTGCCAAGGACTCCAATTCACTTTGTTGCCTCTTCAAATACTTCGTGAAAGATTCCCATTCATCTTTAAAGTCACAGTTAGCCTTGTCCCGTAGCTTATATGTCAATTTTGCCAGTTCTGCATAGTCCATCAGTTTTTCTTGCCATGATTCTTTAGTTGGGGTTTCTTCAGTCTTCCATCCTTGTGCTATTAGGACTCTTGCGGCCGTTTTCGCGTACATGAAGATGTTTTTCAGCTTTTTTGGTAGGTATTTCCCTACAATCCCTAACAAAAATGCTTCAGGTTTTTTAACAAATGTTAGATGGAACATTTTCTTCAATTCATTGTATATCATTTCCCAATTTTTTTTAATTACATTACTGTCAGGGGTTCAGGGACAGAGGCACAGGGTAGGCAGGAAATGGAGAGCGATGGGGATGAATCCCAGGACAGCGAGGAAGAGGATGACAATGACTCAAGAGATTCCATGAGTCTTTCCAGCGAATCAGAGGATTCCCAGAAGGGGGCGCCGGTGGTCAAGGCCAGGGGGCCCCAGGGGGGACGTGTCAGGAGCAGGGGGCCAGCGGGGCATCCCAAAGTGGCAGCTGGGCGTCAGGACCAGCCTCCCCGCCAGAGTGCAGCGAAGGGGGTGGAAGTTTCAGTGTGTCAGGGGAAGCGGCTCCGGCAGTAGAGAAAGGAGGGAGGTCGGAGCAAGCCCTCCTCCCGGAAGGGGAGGGGAGCAGTGAAGGGAGTAGTGTAGCTGTTGAAAGGAAGGTTAGAGGTTGGGCGCGCGCGCCAAGTTCAAATGTAGAGGCGCGCGGAAGTACAGGGAGCCCGGAGGAGGGGCCAGGTCCCAAAGCCCGCAGGAGGGGGGAAGAGCAGTCTGATTCCGCGTCAGAGGAATCCAGGAGGGGCGAAACCCCAGCGGGCAGAAGGACCCTGCGGAAAAGGAAAGAGAGAAAGAGGTGGAGCAGCGCAAGCCTCTTAAACTGGTGCAGGGGAGGGACGGATTCAGAGGGGACTTCAGCGGTCTAAGCGTAGCAGACGTAGGGCTGCGCGCCTAGGATGTCAAGCAAACAATGAACTGCAATAAACACTTTTGTATATAAGAAGAGATAGGCGTTGGTCTTTTGTGAGCTGAGACTTGAGGCAGCCCTGACAATTACAATCCCACCACATATGATAAAATGTCCCCTCCTTTTCCTTACACTTCCAACATATATTTGAACTAGTTTTGTACATTTTCCCTAACTGCACTGGTATCGTGTACCATCTGTACATCATCTTCATGTAATTCTCCTTCAACAGGGAACAATCTGTAAATTTTAAATCAATTTTCCATAATTTTCCCCAATCTTCCATCATAATGTTGTGACCTACATCTTGTGCCCATTTAATCATGACTGATGGTGGGTTGTCATTCTTGGGAAGGGCTCAGTATGGGCTGTTTTAGCTTTTCGCAGAAAACCAGCAGAGTTGGGCCTTCTCAGGCTTACAGTGGGGAAGACACAGCACTAAAGGAAAAAGGAGAGGGAGGAGGTGGAAAAGCAAACCTCTTTCTTCATGACTGTTTTCTTGTAATGAGCTGGTGGAATGAGCCCAAAGCCACTTGCATCCCTCACTATGACTAGCAGTGACAAATATGGAACCGGATACTGACCATCTCATTAGCCAAAAGAAGGCCCATACTTCCTATTGAAATACTTATAAATTTATGTTGATTAAAATTTTAAATATTATATTGTTTTTCCACCACAAATAAAATATGTGCAGTGTGCATAGGAATTCGTTCATATTTTTTTCAAACTGTCGTCTGGCCCCCAGCAGTGTCTGAGGGACAGTGAACCGGCCCCCTGTTTAAAAAGTTTGAGGACCCCTGCATTAAGAGGACATGGATGTAGAAATCCCACCTGTGCGCATCATTCCCCAGGTTGGCTGGGGGAACCCAGCCGGATGGGCAGGGTATAAATAATGAAATTATTATTATTATTATTATTATTATTAACCAGAAATCCTTGAAGCGATTGCACCTCAGCATTCTTGATAGTGAAGGTGAGGAAATACCACAGCAGATTACATACAATTAATGTCTTGGTTTTTATTTGACATTTCCTCAAGCTTTATCATGAAGCTTGGCAGAAGTTTAGAACCCTTCAGGAAGATGGCAATTCCTTCTTTCAAAGTTAATAACTGGCGAAGAGATCCCTCAGGAACACCTGTGCACCATGGTGGTTGTGGTTCAGGAAACAAACGGAGGGAATGGTTTTTTTACATCAGAGGTGTCTTAAAAGCAAAACACCAAGAAGAAATGGATTCCGGAAGCAGCAGGGAGAAATCCAAACTCTTCTTCTTCTTCCTTCAGGTATACAGGGCTGTGGCCGTTCAGGGCATTAAATTCTATAAATTCCTAGGGGGTCATCTGTCAGTATTTTCATCCCTCCCATTGCAAAGGATCACCTGATCCTATTGTCTACTTTCATACTGTGAGAAAGGAAGGGGCGGAAGCCACTCTTTGAGACTTCTGTCCTTGGTACTGTTGTACTTTTTCTTGCAAGGAGGCAGGATCTCTGTATGAGAGCTGCTCCTCTCCTCCATGTTTGTTATGTTCTTTTATTTGACTAATTGTAGAAATAAATTGCGTATGCTGCAAAACCTCCACAGCTTTGCTTCTGTTGACTCTGCTGAGTTTGGCTGCAAACATGAGCAGCTGTGAGTCCACAGCCACAGGACCTGCTCCTCGTTGGTGTTCCTATGTTCCTCTGATCGGAGGGTCAGAGAAGGAGTTCCGGTCGCCCAGCCCATGCAGGCGCTGAAGAGGTGGGCTAACAGGCATACTGAAATCATCCTGGCTGAGGCAGATGTTTACGACTTTTGTAATTATGTAGATCTTGTTATGCTGTAAGCCGCCTTGAGCATTGTTTGGTAACTGTGGAAAGGCGGCATACAAATGAAAAATGAAAAACGAAAAAAAAGAAATGGGAGCTGTAGTCAAAAACATATGATTGATATATATGAGACCCTGGAATTCCTATAACAATTCCGGTGTGGGGAGCTCTGGCCTGCCATTTGGATGAGGAGGATGTTGTCTGGATGCTGCACAATGAGACACCAGCCGCTTCAAATCTGCAGGGGGCAAGCTCTCTGTTAACTCTGTCCAAAGGTGCCCAGCAGGCAATGTGACATGGCTGCTGTGTCCACACTAGGGCATAAATACCCACTCCTGTGGGTCACGGCTTCCGCTGGGCACTTTTGATTCCATGCCTCCCAAATCCACCTCCCTCTTTCCTGTCCCCACTGGTGGGCAGTGCCGGGTGGGAGCTCCTCACACACTTTGGGGCCCCCCTCTCTGCCCTGCGCCCCACGGCGCCAGCCAGGATGAGGTGTGAGTGGCAGGATTTGTCCCAGGAGGACGTGTCGGGTTCCCAGCAGGGTGGGTGTGAAGACACCCTGAGCAGCTGGGCCAAACATCTCCCCCACCTGAGCATTGGGGGGGGGGGCTAACAGTGTTTTTAATAACCAACAGACAAAGAAATAAGTCACTGAGCAACGGGAGCTCACCCCATCACGGGGATTCGAACCACTGACCTTCTGATCGGCAAGTCCTAGGCTCTGTGGTTTAACCCACAGCGCCACCTGCGTCCCATTAAAGGAGCTTTAAATGTGCCATTAAATGCATAGGTGTGTGTGCTGTCAGGGGGTTAGGTTCACCATTAAACAGAAATAAATTATTTAATCCAGATCAGAAGATGGTGGTCTGCCTGGCAACAGGGAGCACGTCAGACGAGAATTCCAAGGATGCTGGGTGTGGGGAGATATGGGGATATTTCCTGGGGAGGTTATATTTATTTAGAAAAGCATATATCCCTGTCTTTCCAGGACTCTTGCATTGCTCAGGGTGGCTTAGACCAATTTATGACTTTTTATTAATAAGTGAACAAACGGTCCATTGGTGCTGAGGTGCCGCCCCAGTTGTGATGCCCAAAGAGGTTGTGGTGACGCGTCCACAGCTGCTCCCATTGGCTGGGGACTGTCTATGATGTCACAAAGGCACCTGTCAGTTGCCTGGCTATAAAGGTGGCCTCTCCCTCTTCCCAGCCCAGACCTCAGTGGGCAGCGGCTGTGGCACTCAGCTCTGGGGGGTCTCCTTCCTCGGGGAGGCAAAATGGCAGGAGGAAGGAGGCACTCATCCCGCAATGGGATGCTGAGGAACAGGCAGAAGGCAAGTTCACTTTGTTACGGAAATGACGGGGGGGGGGCACGTCTTTTTGTTACAATGTTGTTGTTACAATGTTACAAATATCATGCCTGGATGTATCCTTTTGACTTGACAGCTCAGGGAAGATACCTAGCTTTATAAATTCATAGAAAATCCATACTTTAACCGGCTCTCCTCATTCCAACACCATTTTAACCCTTAAAGAAATTTGGCTCCACCTCCCTCCATGAACCAAGAAGCGGGAAGCCATGTAGGCAGCAGGAACAGGGCATCCCACCATAATTCCCCAAGCGTGAGAGCACAAACATGGCCCCCACCAAGAAGATATCAAGAGTTTTATTGTTCTTTCAGTGATGGGGACTTAAGAGGTGTTGGGAAAGGGGTCTGAGAAAGTGACCTCATGTTGGACTTGTTTACCCCCCTCCCCATTTGTGACATGCCAGTGATGTAGTGATGATGTATCAGTGATGCCTCTCAAAGTGTATTCTGGGGGAAGGAGGGAAGGTTTAAAAGAGGAGGTCACCCCTTACTCGGGGTTCTTACTCCTGGGGGGACCTGTTGTGCAACAATAAAGATCATGGTCTACTGACCGCTGTTCTGCTCCAAATTACTTGGCTGGAACTTCCTTCTTTTACTGACTGCGTGGACCCACAGGGGAATCTCACCCTGATAAGTTGAGTAGTCTCTCATCCCGGAATTTTTTAAACAACAAGGTCAAAAAATAAAAGGAGGTGAGTTTAAAGACAAGGCAGGAAGGTGAATTAGGACAACCACTGGGCAGCTTACCATGTCTAAACAACACATTTAAACCTAGTTTAAGCCAAATCCAGACTTGCTTAATTATTCTGAGGAGTGTAAATCTCCAAGGGACTGGAACTTGCCTTCAAAAAAATGCAATTTCTGGACTCCTAGAACTCTAAGACTCGGTCCCCTCCAACTGGGCGCAGACTCTGTCCTGCAAGAGGAAGTAATATTTGACCCTAGGCAGTGCCAAGTGATTTGAATATATGAAGCCTCCAATTTCTCATTTAACACATGTTTGCAACAAACACTAAAAGCCATATTTATTTTGGCCACATCCCAGCCATGCCCATTAAAACACAAAGTCAATAGTCTGATTGCATTGACAGCATCAGTCTACCTATGTGAGGTCAAGAGACTCTCTTAAGAATTTCATAGCAACCTTCTGGATCAGACCAGAGGTCCATCTCCTCACCCAGAATCCTGTTCTCTCCGTTGCCAACCAGGTGCCCATGGAAAGCCCACCAGAAGGAGAGGTGTGAAACAGTGCTCTTGCTATTTGTGGTTCCCAGCAATTGGCCTTCAGGGGAGGAAGAACCTTTGATGGCAGCAGCCATCGAAGGCCTTAGTGGCCGTCTGGCACTCAATTGCCATAGATCACAGAGTGTGGTGGTCATGGCAGGGCTCAGGAAATCCCAGACTGGCTGCGTCCAATACAGTGGTACCTCGGGATGCGAACGGGATCTGTTCTGGAGCCCCGTTCACATCCTGAACAGAACGCAAGATGCGACGGCATGTCTGCACATGCATGGGTTCCGTTACTTCCGGGTTGCCGCGGAGCGCAACGTGCTCAACCCGAAGCACATTCAGCTAAAGGCATTACTTTACTCACTTTAGCATTCACCTGCCCTCTAAATGCAACAAGGATATATTGCTAAACTCAAAGCAGATCCTCTGGTGATAAGGCGGTGCAAATTGCCCCTCTTGGCAGAGATGTAGAAACCACACAAGCTGTGTGAGAAGACGGATGTAAACAGTGGATCTTGATAGCCAAATTCCCTCCGTCAAAGTCTTCCTGATTGGTTGGGTTGTTCTGAGTCAAACAGGAACTGCCTGTTTGAAAGGGGATAAAAGGGGACAGGACTCAGCTGGAAGCAGGGAGGTCTCTGTCTCAGTTTCAAGAGAAAACCTGGGCTTGCCAAGCCACCAAGAAGGACAACAGGTGCTGATCCCAAGAAAGAGAGCCAAGGTAAGTCTGGGAAATCCATTGGATGTGAGCCTTGAAGCCTAGAACATGCCTAGAAGTCTTGACCCTGAATGGGCAGATCTGAAATGGCATTGTTTTCGTTAAGGTCTTATATAGGACTGTTAGGAATCTTTGGAGGACGACTGTTCTCCTGCCCAACGTGGTCCTTGATTGACCTGAACGCCTCTTCAGCAATCCTGGCTGCAAGCAAAGCCCTCTGAGGCTGCTAAGGGGGCCAGACCCCCATGGCTCCTGCAGGCGGCTGTCCCTCACTGCCATCTCCACTCTGCCCTTGCAGGATGCGCCCCACCTGGACTTGGCTGCTGGCCCTGGTGCTCCTGGCAGGCCAGGCGGAGGCCCAGAGCTGCAAGCCAGAACTGCAAGCTACTGGTAAGACATGGGGGACGCAAGGGCCAGTCTATGGGTCAAAGCAACGCTTTGGAGTTTTATTACAAGCAAGCATGAGATAGACTTTATTAAGTAAATAGGATTCCATTTCAGTCTGTTGGCCCTGCTGTTTTTGGAGAGAGAGACCCTGGGTCAGCCTCATAGGATCATATAACTGTAGAGTTGAAAGGCACCCCGGGGTCATCTAGTCCAACCCCCTGCAATGCAGGAATCTCAACTCAAGCACCCAGGACAGGTGGCCATCCAACCTCGCTTAAAAACCCCCAGGGAAGGAGAGTCCACCCCCTCTCGTGGGAGCCTGTTCCACTGCCAAACAGCTCTTACTGTCAGAAAGTTTTTCCAAATGTTTAGTAGGAATCTCCTTTCTTGTAACGTAAGGCCATCAGTTCAAGTCCTACCCTCCAGAGCAGGAGAAAACAAGCTTGCACCATCTTCCAGGTGACAGTTCTTGAGATATTTGCAGATGGCTCTCATATCTCCTCTTTTCCAGGCTAAGCATATTCAATTCCTTCAACCGTTCCTCATCAGGCTTGGTTTCCAGACCCTTGATCATCTTGGTTGCCCTCCTCTGCACACCTTCCAGCTTGTCAACATCCTCCTTAAATTATGGTGGCCAGAATTGGACACAGTATTCCAAGGCAGAAGAGAGTGGAACGATTACTTCCCTTGATCTGGACCCTAGACGTCTACTGATGTAGCCTAGAATAGCATTCACTTTTTTTTTCCTTCTGCATCACTCATCTTAAGTTGTGGTCCACCAAGACCCCTAGATCCTTCTCACAGGAACTGCTAGTAAGCGAGTGCAATTCAATAGAATCATAGAATCATAGAGTTGGAAGAGACCACAAGGGCCATCGAGTCCAACCCCCTGCCAAGCAGGAAACACCATCAGAGCACTCCTGACATATGGTTGTCAAGCCTCTGCTTAAAGACCTCCAAAGGAGGAGACTCCACCACACTCCTTGGCAGCAAATTCCACTGTCAAACAGCTCTTACTGTCAGGAAGTTCTTCCTAATGTTTAGGTGGAATCTTCTTTCTTGTAGTTTGGATCCATTGCTCCGTGTCCGCTTCTCTGGAGCAGCAGAAAACAACCTTTCTCCCTCCTCTATGTGACATCCTTTTATATATTTGAACATGGCTATCATATCACCCCTTAACCTCCTCTTCTCCAGGCTAAACATGCCCAGCTCTCTTAGCCGTTCCTCATAAGGCATCGTTTCCAGGCCTTTGACCATTTTGGTTGCCCTCCTCTGGACACGTTCCAGTTTGTCAGTGTCCTTCTTGAACTGTGGTGCCCAGAACTGGACACAGTACTCCAGGTCTATAGAAAGTCTAGTTTTGTTCTGTAAGCACCTCCTCATTTCTCTGAGCTTCTGTGGGGACCTGGGGCTTCCATCTCTCAAGTGGGGCACATGGCTGTGGCATAATTAAGAAATGCTACCACATCGGTGGCACTGTATTCTTTAGAGTCACTGCTCGTTCTGAGCATGAAAGAAATTTAAACTAAAAAATAATTATGAGCCTGCTGTTGCCTTCCTGTCCTGCTTGGGGGCTTCCCAGAAGTATTTGAGTGGATGAGACGGGCTGATCTCTTATTGCACTATTATTTGTCCTTGTCCCCACCTTCTTTCTCTCATTCCCTGACTCCAGCTCGCAACCTGGCCAGAGGCCGCCCAACCTGTCAGTCCTCCATCTACCCCCACGAGATTATTGGAACAGCAAGCAAAGCCGTGGATGGGAACTGCGGTGGGGACTGGTATAAAACGGGCAGCTGCACCCACACGCAGCTGGACACGGAGCCCTGGTGGCACGTGGACTTGGGCCAGCAGTACGCCATCTCTGCTGTGGTGGTGAAGAACCGCGGGGACTGCTGTGGTAAAAGACTCCAGGGAGCTGAGATCCGCGTGGGAGACTCTGTGGCTGACCAAGGGAAGTCCAACCCCCTGTAAGTTCCAGTTGCCTCTTCCCAAAATCTCCTTCCAGTAATCTCCATTCTTGTAACTTGGAGTCCTTGGTTCAGGTCCACCCCTCCACCCCAGAAGAAAAGAAGCTTGCTCCATCTTCCAGATGACAGCTCTTGAGATATTTGGAGATGGCTCTCATATTTCCCTTTCTAGACTAATTACGGGAGTCATGAAATCAGGGGTCTGAGGATCAAGAAGCAGGGAGTCAAGAAGCTGAGGTTCAAGGATCAGGAAGCAAGAAGCCAAACACAGCAGGGCAGGAAGCGTGTTGCTGTGGCAAAGAGTCGAAGGGAAATGCTGACCTTATATCCCTTCCCGGCTCTTGCCACCAGGTGCTGTGAGTTACTAATTGACCTCACCTGTGTGGCCTCTTCAGAACAAACTGAGGAAGGCCCTAGTCCTGCAAAGTCCTATTAGTCACAGGGCCTGGTTCCTGCATGCACACCTGACAAAGCCATGCTGAGTCCCATCAGGGGAAAAGACAGGGCATAAATAAAAACACCCACCCCACCCCAATCCCTCCTTCCCATTCACTCTTTATTCCCAGAAGACCCCACTTCCTGGATCAGGGATGAAGTCCAGGCTTTCCTTGGTCTCCTCTCCTCTGCCCGACCTCTTCAGCACATCGCCAATTCACTTCGCTTCTCCCTCCTCTGTGAAGTTGCGCTTTCCTTAGCCAAAGCTCTGCTCCGCCATCAGCTCCTCACCCCCCTTGACCCCTGCGGCCCCCCTCCTCCTGAGTCCTCCTCGGACTCCACCTGGCCGCCTCCTGTCTACTCTCTTCAGCCAGAAGCCACTGGCCACCAGGCGCTGCCCTTCCTCCAATCCCTCCGCTTGGAGATCCGTTAGATGCCCCTTGCCCTGCCTTGGCACCGATATCTGGCCCCTCAGTCTTTGTGAAGACCTGGGCATGCAGTGGACCCTTAAAACAACACCAGCGGTTAATAATGAAAATTGGGGAATGTGAGAAGCCACCTTTGAGCAATAGGAATGGGAGGGGGCTGACATTTGGGAGTCCTTTCACATACAGCTTTGAGATTTTCCCCTTTAAAATCTAAAGCGGCATAGAAACAAAACATATGAATAAATGTATGAATGTCCCCATAGACTGAGCTGTTTTGGATTCACCTCCACTTTCTCTCTGCAGCTGTGGGACCATCACAGACACCAGCCTTGGCTCCGTCAGCACCTTGTATTGCAATTGGCTCAAGGGCCGCTATGTGAGCATCCACATCCCGGGAAGGGCCGAATACTTGACCTTGTGCGAGGTGGAGGTCTATGGCACCAAGGCAGAAGACCAGTGCTAGGGATCCGCAGTCTCTGCGCGTGTGTGTTGGCGGGTGAGGAAATAAAGAATTATTCTCTGGTAAACTTCCTCTGAATTGGCTTGTTTTGTCTCTCCCGCATCCCTCCCTGCGAGAGATGCTGTCTCTTGGCCTGACACACAGAACAGGCCATCTGCCGTCTAAGGTTGACCCACAAGTCTTCATTAGACCCACACTCAGGCCTTGAGACTTCATCACAGAGAGGAAAGGGTCAAATCATAGAATTGTAGAGTTGGAAGAGACCCCAATCCAAGTCCCGGCAATGCAGGAATCTCAGCTGAAGCATCCTTGAAAGATGGCCGCCCAACCTCTGCTTAAAAACCTCCAAGGAAGGAGAGACCGTTCCAAAGTCAAGCTGGTTATAATGTTGGGGGCTTTTTAGCTGAGAAAAAGAAGGGGGGCATAATAAGAGGTGTGTGAAATTATGTATAGCACAGAGAAAGTGAATAGAGAAAAGATTTTCTTCCTTTGTTCTTAACCAAAGCACTCAAGAAAAGAAGGGATTTCTTCACAGTTAACCTGTGGAACTCCCTCCCACTTGAGGCAGTAATAGCCACCAGCTTTTGGGGAGGATAAGGCAAATGCGTGAAGGAGTAGAAGGCTATCACTGGCTCCAAACATCATGGCTGGTGCCTCGGAATAATGGGAATCGCAGCGGGCAATTCCAGGGGAGTTTCTGCTGAGGGGAAATTCTGCCAAGCAAAGCCTGGGAAAAGAAGCCAAAGTCTCTGAGACCAGGGCAGTTGCAGAGGCCAGAAGAGAGCAACTCAGAGAAGGATGGGTCCCTTTGGCACAAGGGGGGGCAGAGAGCAAGGGTGGCGACTTTAGTGATGGGGGACTCAGATGGAGTTACGACCCTTTCCACACCCCACAGGCTGTGCACCCCAGGGATCAGTGGCCCCCCACCTTGGACTCCTGAGCCTTCCCCCCCCCACCAGGGCAGGCAGCACCAACCCCCCCCCCACATATCCCAGGGACTCTAAACCCCATGAAGCTGCTTTGCTGCCCCCTGGCGGAGTCACTTGGCTGCTGCTAGCCCTGCCTGCTACCTCCTAGGTAGCAGCGTCAGAGCCTGCAGGATCAGGCCAGCGTCCTCTTCCCCCGGTGCCAGCGGGAAAGCCGCAAGCAGCCCCAGAGGCTCCCTCTCCCCTCCTGGGATCAGAAGCATGGCTGTCTTCAGCTGCGGAGGCCAAGCAGAGCCAGGCTGGAGCTGGTCCAAAACAGGGAAGCTGGAAGGCTGGATTTCTGAGTCAGAAAGATCAGTCAGGCCCAAAATCCCAGGATGAGGCACATAAACGTGCCCCAAGTGAGACCTACACCCTTGTGCAAATTAACTGAAAGCATGTTTTCTATCTTACTCATAATCCTGTACTCAAAACAAGTCAGTTGATCCTTATGGTGTCGGAAGCCTGCAGCCAATAGAAGGAATGATGTGCTCGCCACAATATATTGAGGTTCTATGAAAGAGAGTCATTCCAGAGCTGGAAGAGGTGTCCTGACGGTACTGGGATATTGCACCAGGACCTAGCCCCCTGTCACACATCAAAAGTGGTGAAGAAATTCATGACAGAGCAGCAAATACTCAATCAAGCCAAGTACTTGATTGGCCAGGGAATTCCCTGGATGAAAATCCCATTGAGAATTTGTGGGCTATATGCAAAAGTCGCCTCCGTGCTGCAGACTGTACGGCTATGGAGCAGCTGATTCAGGTGTGGTGCAGGGATCCGAAAATCAACAGTGACTGTTCGAAACTAGTAGACTCCATGCCAAACCGTGTTCAAATACTGCTTAAAAATAGTGGAGGGCATATCCATTACTAATGTACATATACTTGAGTTTTGTACATGTGTATGTGAGTTTTGTACAATAAATTACACTGCTTGTTTCAATTAATTTGCACAAGGGTGTAGATGAAGCTAGACCTAGAACATGGGTAGGCAAACTAAGGCCCAGGGGCCGGATCCGGCCCAATCGCCTTCTCAATCTGGCCCGCGGAGGGTCCAGGAATCGTGTTTTTGCATGAGTAGAATGTTTGCTTTTATTTAAAATGCATCTCTGGGTTATTTGTGGGGCATAGGAATTCGTTCATTCCCCTCCCAAAAAAATATAGTCCGGCCCCCACACGGTCTGAGGGATGGTGGACCGGCCCCCTGCTGAAAAAGTTTGCTGATCCCTGACTTCTAGGTGCCTCCTCTTATGGAGCCGTCTAGAAAGGGCCACCTGCCCTCCCGCTTTGACCCAGGAACAGGGTCAGCCCAGTGGCTTGTGGCCTCCCCTTTGGGACCCTGGGACGCCCTCTGCCCTTCTTCCTAGAAGCAGCAGCTCCAAGCCCCAGCTGGTCTCTCGCCAACTGCCGAGATGTCCCCCCTTGCCAGGATGCAAGCGGGCCAAGGAGTCCGTAGTCCCCTTACCTAATACCCCAGTGCTGTTTGAGAAGCCTGTACCCCACAGAGCAGCTCTTGAGAACATCTCCGTTTCCCCATTTCCAAGCAGGGGAAGGGCCAAACTTCACCCTTCCACATCCAAACTGACCACTAGCCCACTCCAGGCCTGTTTCATCCTCACTACTGAAGGGGTCCCACCTCTGTCCTTCAAGAGCCTGCTGAACCACAGAATCATAGAGTTGGAAGGGACCCCAGGGGTCATCCAGTCCAACCCCCTGCAATGCAGGAATCTCAGCATCCATGACAGACGGACACCCAACCTCTGCTCAAAAACCTCCAAGGAAGGAGAGTCCACAACTTCCCATTCCAGTCAAACAGCTCTTACCATCGGAAAGGTCTTCCTGATGTTTAGTCGGAATCTCCTTTCTTGCAACTTGAAGCCATGGGTTTGAGTCCTACCCTCCGGAGCAGCAGAAAACAAGCTTGTCCATCTTCCACACGAAGCCCTTCAGCTATTTCAAGATAACTCATCTTGTCACCTCCCAATATCTGGATCAGTCCAATGGCCCATCTAGACCAGCAGGCCAGATGCCTGGCCATCTAGACCACCAGGCCAGATGCCTGGCCATTTTGCATTCCCGGAGGACATCGAGACGGGACTGGGCCTGAACACCTTGGCCTTGCGGGACAACAGTGTGGAGGCTTCAGGGGTCAGAATCCACCCCCCCACCCCCGAGAGCCTGCTGTCAAAACACTGTGCAGCCCTCTACCTCCCCAACCCTCAGAGCCAGGACAGTCTCAAGGCAGACGCAGCCCTGGCTTTGGGTGGGCAGGACTGTTGTGCGTCACTCAAGGGCCTGGGATGACCCCCCCACCCTTATGTTTTGACACCCGGCTGTGTTTTGCTCAAGGTGGAAGGGGCCGCAGCCCAGAACACAGGCCAGTGGGCTCAGGGAAAGTCCCTGGCCCCTCCAGCTAGAGCAGGCATAGGCAACCTTTGGCCCTCCAGATGTTTTGGACTACAATTCCCATCATCCCTGACCGCTGGTCCTGTTAGCTAGGGATCATGGGAGTTGTAGGCCAAAAGGTCTGGAGGGTCAAAGGTTGCCTATGCCTGAGCTAGAGCATCTCAGGCAAGCAGGACGAGGAAGACTCAAGACCCTCTGATCCCGACGGCACAGAGGATCAGTCGCAGCCCTGAGCAAAATGGTCCCAAGTGGTCCGACCGTGTCTGTAAGGAGGCTGCAGAAGCTTGGAGTATTTTGTGTGCCACAATTCAGCGTTATGGAAGGTGTGTCCGTCCTCAGCACTGACCTCTCCAAAGTCAGTCTTATAAGGGTAGGTTTGAACAATTTGGGGCAATTAAAATGTTAAAAGTTAAGTAAACATTGTGGAAGGAGGAGTGTTACGGTATATTGAAGTGTTAAGGTAAAGGTAAAGGGACCCCTGACCATTAGGTCCAGTTGTGGCGCTCATCTCGCTCTATAGGCCGAGGCAGCCGGCACTTGTCCACAGACAGCTTCTGGATCATGTGGCCAGCATGACTAAGCCGCTTCTGGCGAACCAGAGCAGCGCACGGAAACGCCGTTTACCTTCCCGCCGGAGCGGTGCCTATTTATCTACTTGCACTTTGACGTGCTTTCGAACTGCTAGGTTGGCAGGAGCAGGGACCGAGCAACGGGAGCTCACCCCGTCGCGGGGATTCGAACCGCCGACCTTCTGATTGGCAAGCCCTAGGTTCTGTGGTTTAACCCACAGTGCCACCCGCGTCCCCTATATATAAGTGTACATATGGTTAATTTGAATATGTTATTATTGCATAGGTATATTATTGGATATTGTATACCCAATGTATCAGCTGCCTGGGGGGTTTCACTGTTTGTGTTTTGGTGGTTGGTAAAAATAAAAAAATATTAAAAATAAAATAAAATAAGGGACACCCGAGGGCCATCTAGTCGAACTCCCTTGCAATGAAGGAAACACGGCTAGCAAATCCCTGACAGGCGGCCGTCCAACCCCTGCTTAAAGGCCTCCAAGGAAGGAGAGTCTGTTCCACCGTCCAACAGCTCTTACTGCCAGCAAGTGCTTCCTAATACTTGGTGGGACTCTCTTTCTGGGTAATTTGAGTCTGATCCCTGGAGCACCAAAGAAAAAAGCTTGTTCCATGATGACCTCCTTTTACACACACACACACACACACACACACACACACACACAACCAGGAACGAGTGTTTGGCCACACTGCCCTGTTAGGGACATAGAAAATAAATTTTATTCTCCCCTTAGGTGCCCCCACTGCGGCTGCATCCCTAACCACGACCCTCATGGGAAGAGCGCAGCCGGCATCCCTCGAGACAGACCTCCTCCGCCCGTTGCCAGAGTCCGTGCTCGTTGCCGCAGAGGGGGAGGAGGAGGAGGAGCGATGGCGGTGGCGGCAGCGGCCCAGGCTTGGCTCTTTGACATACTCAACAAAAACAAACGGGGGGAAATAATAATAATATCATATTCCAGAGACAGGACCCCCCCTCCGTGCACCTGCCCACCCCCACGCTGTCCCCCTCCTGCCTGCTGCGGGTGGGGGGCAACGGAGCCTTGCAGAGGCAGGCAGGCAGGCGGGCGGGGGGCAAGGCCGCGGGCTTGGCGGTGCTGGGAGCCAGAGGTGGCGCCGTTGAGGTCAAGGCTGCGCTCCAGCGGTGGCGGGCACCGGCGAGCCCAGAGTGTTCGGAGAGGAGATGACGGGGGAGGCTGCCAGGCTGCCGATGGGCTGAGAGGCGGACATGGAGGCGATCCCTGAAAGAGAGAGGGAGGAAGAGGGCAGAGAGTCAGGGCCCCATCGCGGCAGAAGGGGGTGGGGGAGCAGGGGCCCATCAGCCCTCCCTCAGGTCCCACGTGCCCCACGCCAGAGCAGTGTTACCGTCCTGAATGCAGTCAACACAGTTTCCTTCTTTTAGATAACTTGCTGCTCTGTTTGAATACATATTATTATTATTAATAATAATAATAATAATAATAATAATTTATTATTTATACCCCGCCCATCTGGCTGAGTTTCCCCAGCCACTCTGGGCAACTCCCAATCGAGTGTTAAAAACAATACAGCATAAAACTTCCCTAAACAGGGCTGCCTTCAGATGTCTTTTAAAGATAAGATAGCTGCTTATTTCCTTCACATCTGGTGGGAGGGCGTTCCACAGGGTGGGCACCACTACCGACAAGGCCCTCTGCCTGGTTCCCGGTAACCTCACTTCTCGCAACGAGGGAACCGCCAGAAGGCCCTCGGCGCTGGATACTTAGATTAGCTGCTGAAGATTCTGCTTTTCTCTGTATTACTTCCTTGTTTTCACTATTATTTTTGTCACTGCCCAGATAGCCATTTACTTCATTTTCAAAATCCCGTAAAGCCTTGGCTGTCTTTTTTTCAGGTCTGGAAAAAACAGTTCTACTTTGCTCCCTTCCACTGCAGCAACACTGAAAGCTGAAGGAAATGGATTATTTAAAAGCGGACAATTTGGAGAGGCTGTCCTCAGATACTCAGAAGCAATTGAAAATGTAATTAGTTCTGGAATCCAAAGTCCAGAGGATGTAAGTATTTTGTATTCAAACAGAGCAGCATGTTACCTAAAAGAAGGAAACTGTGTTGACTGCATTCAAGACGGTAACAGTGCACTAGAACTGCATCCATAGTCTCCAAAACCTCTTCTGCGTCGAGCCATGCCATAGCAGGGCAGACACGGGCACCCCTGGCTCTGGAAACCTACCTGCCAACATGCTGGAGGAGCTGACGGGCGTGTTAGCTGCCGAGAGCACCGTGGAGGAGCCCATCCTGGCCGGATCTTTCACTATTGGATCTGGACAGGAGAGCAGAGAATGAGAGGGGGCTGGAGTTGGAAGGGAACCCCCAGGGGAATCTAGTGTCAGGGGCTGGGTGGGTGTAGAGAAATGGTGGGGGGCACCAGGTGGGGAGCCCCCAAAGGAACCAAGAGAGGGAGAAGGTTTCAGAGCCTGGGGATTGGCAGTGGGGCGACTCTTGAGTGGTCAGAGGGGAAAGGGGGAGAGGACCGCAGGGAGATGGCGCCGGATGCTGGAGCAGCAACAGGGTTTAGTGAGCAGGAAGAGGCTGTGGCAGAGAGCAGTCCAGACTCAGAGGCAGGAGACAGAGGGGAGACCGGCTGCTGAAGAGTCCAGGGGGTCTCTCCCTCCTGCTGCAACCAGCTCCCTTCCATCTTGGTCTCCCAGAACACACAGAGAAATGAAAAGAGCGGAGCAGAGGTTGGCTGCATGCAGACACAGTCTCCGTTTGCTTGGGGGGAAACCCTGGAGAGGAGGGGACTGTGGGAAGGTGTGGGGGGGGTGACATTCAGTCCTCACAACTGCCTCATCGGGGGGAAACCAACTGGGAAGACTTGCTGTGATCACGAGGCCTGTGCTGGTCCCCACCGCCTGCCAACCCAAAGAGCACCCCAATAGCTACTGGAGCAGGAGGGAGAGCTTTGGGGTCCCCAGAGGGCAAGGGGCCCTGGGGAAAGGGGGAGGCACTGGTAGGGCCTGCAGAGTTTGGGCAGAGCCCGAGGCGAGACCAGGAGTGCACGTTGGGTGCTTGAAGACACCGCCGCAGGGTCGTGGGCAAAGGCCTGGGAGAAATGGCCTGGCACCCCTCATGGCAGAGTCGTGCGCTGGGCCACAGACCCTCAGGCAGGTAAGCAAAAGGACAACGGGCCGGGTGGAGCAGCTGGCCAGCTAGAACCTGGTGTCCGTGTGCCATTGTAGGGGGAGGCGGGGGGGTCCTCAGCTGGAGGGCTGCGGCCTGATCCGAGGTGGGGGGCAGCAGCAGTGTTCCACCAGGCAACCATTCAGCCATGGGTCCCCAGATGGATGGAAGCCCGGCGTGGCAGGTGGCCCTGGCTCTGAGAAGGCTGGGAGCCAGGGCCCAATAAGGAGGGGGGCAGGAGGGGAGAGTGGCGGGGGGGGCACGTACAGAAGTAAGGGTGCTCCATGGCCTCGCGGGCCGTGAGCCGGGTCTGGTGGTCGTAGCGCAGCAGCTTGTCCAGGAAGTCGAGGACCTCAGTGCTCACCAAGTGCTGGTTCTCGCTGTGCACAAAACGCTCCCATCGCTTGCGAGAGTGTCTGGGGGGGGAGAGACGGGCGGGGGGAGTCACAGGCCTGGCGCTCAAGGGCCCCAAAGCCACGCGCTGCAAGGCCAGGGCCCCGGGACCTTAACCCACACACCCCACGCACAAGGGAAAGGGGTTTTTCGGGCAGCGCAAGGTCTGATTGGAAGCCCCTCTCGCCAAGAGAGAGTGACTCTGGCCTGGCAAGGAACGGAATCACAGAAGGGTCCCCCAAAGGTCATCCAGCCCAACCCCCTGCAATGTCCTGGCAAGGCCTCCGGGTGCCCCGCGCTCACCTGCCAAGGATGTCGTTGAAGCGGGGGTCCAGTTCAATGTTGTACTTGTCAATGTAGTCATAGAGGTCCTCTGTGCCCAAGACCTTTGCGATCCGCACCAACTGGGGAGGGAGGGGGAGGAGACGGTGAGAAAGCACAGAATGGGCCGGGAGGAGAGCAGAGAGGAGACAGGATCCCACCCACGCACCGAGCGAGGGCAGCGGACAGGGCCCAGCCTGGCTAGAACTGAAGCAGGTGCAGAATTAGAAAATTCTTGGAAGTAATAAATAGGCTTAAGGGCAGAATATGTGCTAGTAAATATTAAGGATTAGAATATTAATAAAGGAGAAGAGCTTAGTAAATGTTAGGAGTCAATATTATTAGAAATATGAATTTGGAGAACTGTCATACAGGTGATAGAATGAAATTCAGTTAGAGGGGATGCGAGGAAGTCAGTTATTAATGTTATGAGAATTAGATAACTGAAGAAATAATTCTTTTTTTGTGTTTAGTTTACTGTATTGTAAAGTGTTTTTCTTTGTTGTGTGTTTTGTAATGTCTTTCTTTGTCATAAATGTTCAAAATCAATAAAAAAATGTGGGGGGAGGAATAGAACTGAAGCAGGTACAGCCTCACCTGAGCAGGTCTCCCACCACAGTCCTGCTGACACCACACCCCCCAGACAAACAGCCCATTTCCTCCTCCCCCTTGGGCAAAAGCCTCACCTGGTCGTAGTTGTCGTGTCCGTGGAAGAAGGGCTCCTTGCGGAATATCATACTGGCCAGCATGCAGCCCAAGCTCCACATGTCCAAACTGTAGTCATACATCTGCAGAAGGAAGGAGGGCCGGGGGGTGGTGGTGGAGAGAGCAGTGAAGCAACCGGGGGGCGCGCAGGGGGAGAGCCACCAAGAAAGAGGACACCTCCCCCCTCCCCTGCCCCAGAACCAAGCTTTCACAAGGCTACAAACACCTTCGCCCCTGCCCAGCCTTGCCCACCCCTCTGTTTCCGTCGGCTCAGACCATCTCCAGCTGAACCCACTGCCGTGGGCAGGCCCCCCAGGGACACCGACCCCCTGCCCCTCTGGAGAACCAGGTGGCACGGATGGTCCACCCATGCCTGCCCCAAGCAGCGTCTCCAGCAAACACCCTTGTTTTGAGGTGTCTGGGCAGCAGAGCGCCCTCTTCGCACGCAGGCAACCGCAGGCTCTCTCCCGAGGACGGAGAAAGGGCCCTGGGGTGCCCTCCTGCTCTCCCTCCGCCTGGAAGGGATGGGCTGGGCGCCAGGCAGCGCTGCGGAGCAAGGCCCTGGCCTCCAACCTACCTGGTAGTCCACCAGGAGCTCTGGACCCTTGAAGTACCGGGAGGCCACTCGCACGTTGTACTCTTGCCCCGGGTGGTAGAACTCAGCCAGGCCCCAGTCGATCAGGCGCAGCTGCAGGCAGGGAAGGGAGAGGCCGGGGGGCCCTGAGCGCCAGAGGAAGTCGGGAGGGAGGGGGGAGAGGACCCCCACCCTGGTCCCAGCAGCCACGAGCAGACAGGCTGCCCAAGGAAGCCTGCTTTCAAGGAAAGGGATCCGAAGAGTGCGCGGTTTATTACTATCTGCATTTCAACAGATGTGACAGATCGTTTAATAATTGTTGTTTTTAAAAGAACCCTTCTACATCTTTTTAGCTCTGTGTGATTTATCTGTATTTTAATTTTTTGCAAGCCGCCTTGAGCCCCGCTTCTGGCGGGTGGGATGGAGAAGGGGCATAAATACATACATAATCTTGGGCAGGTGGGGGACCTTTAAAGCCCTAAACGGCCTCGGTCCAGTATCCCTCAAGGAGCGTCTCTACCCCCATCATCCAGCCCGGACACTGAGGTCCAGCACCGAGGGCCTTCTGGCGGTTCCCTCATTGCGAGAAGCAAAGCTACAGGGAACCAGGCTGAGGGCCTTCTCGGTGGTGGTGCCCGCCCTGTGGAACGCCCTCCCACCAGATGTCAAAGAGAAGAACAACTACCAGATTTTTAGACGACATCTGAAGGCAGCCCTGTTTAGGGAAGCTCTTACTGTTTGATGCATTACTGTATTTTAATACTTTGTTGGAAGCTGCCCAGAGTGGGCGGGGTATAAATAATACATTCTATTCTATGCTATGCTATGCTATGCTATGCTATGCTATGCTATCCTATCCTATCCTATCCTATCCTATTCTATTCTACTGAGGTGCAGAGCTCGATGTGTCTCCAGACCGTGACAAACACTCCCTAGCTGGACACTGCTGGACAGGCTGACTGGCCTTGAGCCAGCTGGCTGTGCCAGGCGAGGAAACCTCCACTGCTCCTCGTGACACTCACCCCACGACGGCCTTACCTTCCGGTGCTCGTGGTCTATCATCACGTTGTGAGGCTTGACGTCCCGGTGCATGACGCCCATGCTGTGGCAGTAATCCAGCGCCTGCAGAGAAAGAGGGAAAGAGAGGTGGGCAGCGTCAAACAGGCCGTGTTTGGAAGAGCGTCCTTGCCTTGCCTCAAAAGCAGAGCCATGCAAGGGAGCAGCTCTGGGCTCAGGATCTGGCCCCTTGGCCAGCCTACTCCCCACGACCACACAAGTTCTCTCCCAACTCTGGCTGGAGTTGACAGGGAGCGGATCTGGGGCTTTCTGAAAGCCAGGGCAATGCTCTTCTACTGAGCCACAGGCAAAGGTGGGGAAGGACTGGACACCACCCATAGCGAGAAGCATGCACACAGCCTCTCTAGGGCTCCTGGGTCACAGGTCAGGAGCCCCTGCTCTGCCCCCCAACCCAGCATAGTCACTGTGTGGGGCTAACCAAAGCACAGATCGGCTCATCTCCCCCACCCAACACCCCTGCGCTCAGTTCCTTACCTTCAAGATTTCATACATGTAGAATCGGATGTCAAAGTCCGAGAGCGTCTGATACAATTGCTTGGAAGAAAAGAGATATTGCAGAAGTGCCATTAGCAAGACAACCCCCGGAGCTCTGGGCTTGATCCGTTTCCAGCAGCAAGGCTGTGCCCTGGCATCTGCAACGCGCTGCCAGCACAGCACCTCTCGACTTATGCTCAGAGCACCTCTCTGCGCATTGCCGAGGGATCACAACAACCTGCCTGGTCTGGAAGGATGCTGAAGGGCTTCAAGGGCTTAAAACAGAGACTCTGCAGCCCGCCCTGCTCACAGCAAAGCTGAAGGATGACTTTCACGCACGTCCCCTCCAAAGGGGATCACAGAATTGTGGAGTTGGAAGGGAGTCATCTAGTCCAGCCCCCCGCAATGCAGGAATTGCAGCTAAAGAATTCCTAATCCAGAAGGCCACCCAACTTCTCCAACCAAGGAGAACTCCGCCACCTCCCGAGGGAGTACGTTCCACAGACGAATGGCTCTTACTGTCAGAAAGTTCTTCCTAACGTTTAGCCATCATAATAATAATAATAATAAATTATTATTTATACCCCGCCCATCTGGCTGGGCTTCCTCAGCCACTCTGGGCGGCTTCCAACAAAATATTAAAATACAGTAACGCATCAAAGCTTCCCTAAACAGGGCTGCCTTCAGATGTCGTCTAAAAGTCTGGTAGTTGTTGTTCTCTTTGACATCTGGTGGGAGGGCGTTCGGCAGGGCGGGTACCACCACCAAGAAGGCCCTCTGCCTGGTTCCCTGTAACTCAGCGGTGGACCTCAGTGTCCGGGCAGAACGATGGGGGTGGAGACGCTTCTTCAGGTCTACTGGGCCAAGGCCGTTTAGGGCTTTAAAGGTCAACACCAACACTTTGAATTGTGCTCGGAATCTCCTCCCTTGCAATTTGTATCCATCGGTTTGGGTTCTGCACTCTGGAGCAGAAAACAAGCCTGCTCCATCTTCCACGTGGCAGCCCTTCAGATGTAATCTCTTCAAGAATGTTCTCTTTTTGCGACGTACTGCAGAACCATCAGGGAGGAGGCAGCCTTAAGGCTCCCTCTGGCTTTGTCTCACCACCTGAAACCCCAACACTTCCAGGGCCTGAGCCCAGGGCGAGGGATGGGTCTGTAGGAGAAGGGAGTAGCAGCGAATCCATCCAGGAGCCGCTGTCTCGCCTCATCTCCTGCAGGCTGCCTGTGCTGCCCCCTTCCCCTAACGGCACATCACCATCTCCTGCACTGAAACCATCTCCTCAAATGGGAGAAGAACCAGCCACTGCCCAGCTGAGAGACGGCTCTGCCATCCCTCTGCCTCCCTGGCATGTCCAGGAGAAGGAGAAGAAGCGTTTGGATTTGATATCCCACTTTATCACTACCCTAAGGAGTCTCAAAGCAGCTCACAATCTCCTTTGCTTTCCTCCCCCACAACAAACTCTCTGTGAGGTGAGTGAGGCTGAGAGACTTCAGAGAAGTGTGACTGGCCCAAGGTCACCCAGCAGCTGCAGGTGGAGGAGCAGGGAAGTGAACCCGGTTCACCAGCAGCTGCAAGTGGAGGAGCGGGGAAGCGAACCCGGTTCACCAGATTACGAGTCTACCGCTCTTAACCACTACACCACACTGGGAGGAAGTAGGCATCCTAGGACTAAGAGACCGAAGGAAGAGCGGACAGACAAATCCATTTGACTGCTCTCAGATGGGTTTTACGGTGGTGGCCTAGGAAAGAAAGCATCGCACACATGGCCCAGATAAGGACAGGGCTCTTTAATCTCTCCACACCTTTCAGGTGGTATTTGTCTCTCTCTGTGTGTGTGTGCGTGTGTTATGGGCAACGGATAGAAGGAGGGGCAACAGTGAGGAGCTGGAGGGGGGAGACCTGAATGAAGCTGACACCACATCCCTCCCCCAAGTCAGCCCACCACTGACTCCAAGTCAAAGACGGGTTTTCCAGCAGCCCTGGAACAGAAGGGTGACATTGCGCAGCCTCTCCAGGACTTTAGACCCATAGTTAAGCTCCACCCCACCCAATACACATACCCACACATCAGAAAGTGAGGAGGCCCCCAGAGGCATCGCATCACCCAACCGGCCTCCACTCACCTTAAAATCTGTATTGTTGACATGCTCAAAGACCAGGGCGGGTGTCCGGGACTGCAGAGCCAGCGCAGAGCGTTCCAGGGCAGGAGAGAGAAAAAACAGAGAATGACCAGAAGGGTTTAGTCTCAAAGCCCTGAGGGGGGACAGAGAGGAGCACAGCCTTCCTTCTCCCCTAGCCCCCCAAAAGCTACTGTAGCCACGCTGCATCTACGGAGCAGGTGAGCCAGGATGGGGGTGGGCCGAAGGCAGACAGCAGCCCCCTGGGAAGCCCCCCGACTCAGTTCTGGGGGATCACCAATGGCCAGGATTCTTGAAAAGGAAGCTGGGTGGGGAAGACTTGGTTTCTGAAGCAGAGAGGTGCCTGTTCCCCTCTCAAGCAGAACCGCAGGCTTAAGGTGGGCCACGGATGTAGCTGAGTGGCAGAACACCTGCTCTGCGGGCAGAAGGGCCCAGGGTCCACCCCAACGGCCTTTCCAGGTAGGGCTGGCAGAGATGCTTTGCCTGGAATCCTGGTCAGGGTAGACAATCCTGAGCTATGTTCCGAAGGGGTCCAGAAGCACACAATTAAACTGTCCTAAGCAGCTCGGGGCCTGGAAAGAACGGCTAGATTTCATTTCATTTCACTTTCGGTTTGTATACTGCTTTTCTATATTACAGTGGTACCTCGGGTTAAGTACTTAATTCATTCCGGAGGTCTGTACTTAATCTGAAACTGTTCTTAACCTGAAGCACCACTTTAGCTAATGGGGCCTCCTGCTGCTGCTGTGCCACCGGAGCATGATTTCTGTTCTCATCCTGAAGCAAAGTTCTTAACCTGAGGTAATATTTCTGGGTTAGCGGAGTCTGTAACCTGAAGCGTATGTAACCAGAGGTACCATGCACAAGGCAGTTTGCAGGCTGAAGAAACAACAAAGTAGATGGCAAAGGTCACACACCTAATAACCATCTTAGCCAATACAAGAAAGGCAGAATGGAAGCATAACTTTAAAATAAACAACTTATATCTGGATACCAGGGAGAGGCCCTGCAGAAGCTGCCCTGCCACACTCTGCTGGCCTGGAGCTTGGAACAAAGTAGGCTATGGGCTATGGATAAAAATAAATACCCCACATACCCTGATATATAATAATAATAATTTATTACTTATACCCCGCCCATCTGGCTGGGTTTCCCCAGCCACTCTGGGCGGCTTCCAACGGAATATTAAAATACAATAACCTATTAAACATTAAAAGCTTCCCTAAACAGGGCTGCCTTCAGATGTCTTCTAAAAGTCTGGTAGTTGTTGTTCTCTTTGACATCTGGTGGGAGGGCGTGCCACAGGGCGGGGGCCACCACTGAGAAGGCCCTCTGCCTGGTTCCCTGTAACTTGGCTTCTCGCAGCGAGGGAACCACCAGAAGGCCCTCGGTGCTGGACCTCAGTGTCCGGGCAGAACGATGGGGGTGGAGACGCTCTTTCAGGTATACTGGAACGAGGCCATTTAGGGCTTTAAAGGTCAGCACCAACATTTTGAATTGTGCTCGGAAACATACTGGATCAGGGAGCCAAGAGCTCACCTAGACCTGCCCTCTGGCCAAAAGACAGCCCCCTCCAGGCAGAGCCTGATCTAGGGTGGCCCACCAGGAGAGGGCAGGCTGGGGGTCCCAGAAGGGCGCAGGCTCAGCAGGCAGCTCCAGGTTCCAGGAGGAAGGAACATGGCGGAGAGGGGGAATGCTCTTCCCAGCCACAAAATGACAACTCCCGGTGTTGTTTTTTTGCCCAGCACGGCTGCCTTGTTGGAGGCAGGCCGCGTCTCTGGGATCCAGGTGGAGAGAAGCCAGGGAGGTTTCCATGCCCCACTTACAAGAACTTCCTGCCTCTTTTGAAAATCAGCTTGAAAGGGGACCAGCTGCCTTGCGCTTCATCGAGCGCCGTGCGCATGAATGCTGCCACACACACACACACACACCAGCCCTTACCACGGGGTCCTTGACTATGTCTAGAAGGCTGATAATGTTGGGGCCTCCTCGGAGATTTTCGAGGATCTTGATCTCACGCTTGATTTTCTTCTTTTTTACTGGCTGAAAAAGAGAGTGCAACACAGTCGTTGTCGCAAAGGAATCAAGGCAACGAGGAGCACAGAGCACTTTGCACACTCAAACGCACACTGAGCTCAGGTTTTGTTTTATGGTTCTTGGCTGAGGATCGCAGCACCTGCAATTCCACGGCAAAGGGGAGAGGATGGAGGAGGCGGGGGTCCAAAGGCCCCCCGAGGACACAAACTCCACCTGGGACTTCCTCAGGTTTCCTAGCCTTTAGGAGACGAGGCTGTTCAATGCAATTTCAAGCTTTGCTTTTGCAATTAAGATGCATAAACACAAAATCCTCCTCTTTCTTTTGAATCTGTTAGTAATTTATATTTAATTCTGGGCTTTTCCCCCCTGCCAGATAAATTTAGACAATGCTTTCCGCCATTCTTTAAAACATTCAATATTATCAATAATTGGTAAAGCTTGGAATAAAAACAACATCTTTGGCAAGACATTCATCTTACCCACCGATATTCAGCCCATTAATGACAATTTTAGACTTGACCAGATCTCAAGATCTCTCTTAATTTCATTCCATAATTTCTCATAATTATCTTTATATAAATTCACATTTTCACCGATAAATTCACACCCAAATATCTCACTTTCTTCACAAAAACAAGGCCTGTCTTTTCTTGAAGGATTTTTCTCTTCTCGTTATCTAAATTTTTTTGCAACACTTTGGTATTGCTCTTATTTAACTTGAATCCTGCTACTTGCCCAAACTCCTGAATCAGCTCCAGTGCTTTTCCTGCACTGGAGTCTGGATCTTGTAAAGTGAACACCAAATCATCAGCAAACAGAAACACCACCTTTCTAGAGGTTGTAGCACTTCACGTCTGCCCCCTCAGCAGCCTCTACAACACCCCTGCGAGGTAGGCAGCTGCTGTCCCCATGCAGGGGTTTACCCGCAGCTGCCTAGCAAGTGCCTGCCAGGGATGAGATTTGAACTGGAAACCTCCCAGCCCAACCCCTGGCCAAAGAGACACCACCACACACCCACCCCCGCCAGGAGAAAGGGGTCACAGGCAAGAAATTCAGGACCTCTTGCTCCCCACCCACCTTGAGGATTTTCACCACGACTTTCTCGTTGTTGGTGATGTTGATGGCTTCGAAGACCTCGCTGTATTTGCCACGGCCAAGCTTCCGAACAAGCTGGTAGTCATCTTGATTGCTGTTAGAGAAAAAGAAGGTTTTTTTTGAAAGCGGTTGGCATGCTCAGGTGGGCTGCCTGTGGGCTAATCCGGCAGGGCTCTGCGGTTCCCCTACCCCCATTCCACGACGTGCGACTCGTAGTCCCAATATTCACGGGGCCTCTGTGTGTTGACGTCCGCATAGACCCTCGCTCGGCTTGGCACCGGGCCCGACATGCTCTCCCAGCCTGGAGGTCAGCGCCTCAATTGCTCTGGGGAAAAGGGGAGGAGAGGATAAGCACAGGGGCATTAGAGAAAGGAACCGAAGGTCATTATTAGGCACTAAGATAAAAGAGAAGAGGGAGGGGAAAGGGGGTACAGCAGTTAGAGTGTCAGACTTGGAGCTGGGAGACAGGGGTTCGAATCTCCCCACTCGCTCAGCCATGAAGCTCGCTGTCTTTTGGCCCAGCCTGCCTCGCAGGGTTGCTGTGGAGCTTAAGTGAGCAAGAGGGAGAACCGTGTTTGCCACCTCAAGCTCCTTGGAGGGAAAAGACGGGGTGTAAATGCAGTAAGTAAATGATAAATGAAAGCTCTTCTCCCCAGCTCTTTTGCTCAGAACAACAAAGCAAACCCAGAAGCCGCCGAAATAGCTCTGAAGGGTCTCCTCTAAGTTGGGGCACTTGTGAAGCTTTGGTCAAGGGTTGGTGGCAAGAGAGAGCCCAGGAGAAGAGGAGGCAGCAAGAAGCACCAGCAATGGGAACCGGGAAGGCCCACGTGCCCATGCTCACACAGGGGCACACGCCTCGCTCCGTCTGCCAGCCTCGCCCTTTGGCTGCCCAAGCCCTCAGGATGAGACCTGAAACAGCCAGAGCAAGAGGCCTGCACACCTCATGTTCTCAAGGAGCCAGCACGGTGGATGGATGCGGAGATTGCATCCATAGTATCACGTCACAGGGGGTGAAGTTCTGGGGATGGCGTGCATATGCAAAAAAGCTCTCTACCTTCTGCACATTCAATTCGTGCAATTTCAACCGGCTGGCCTTCAACCACATAGCTGAAATCCTTCACACCCAACACATGTAATCTGTGATCGTAAACTGATCTGGGAGCAGGGGTGGGGTGCCTGATAGCGCCTCAGCTCATTGCCTGCTGGCAGGGAACTGCCATCAGCTCAGATGCGAGAGGTGGAAGGGCAGTTGTGTTATAGGGAACCTCCGAAAGTCTTGCAAAGCAGCTCCTCCTCTGGCCAGGAGGAAAGCCCCACCTCCAGTGGGGAGTAGGTGGTGGGACCAGGGGATGCTAGGGAGAGCCTCAACACCGACCCTGAGCAAGCCGGAGGGGAGGGAAGTACCCCTTTACCAGCACCCACGCTGCGCAGTAGGTTTTGGCGCAGGGAGGGGAGGAGAAGGTTGGGGGTCAAGCGACTGTTATGCTGGGGAAGGTACAAGGACCGGCCACTCCCAGATTCTGCTAGCAACTGTGCCAGACATGAACTTGCAATGCTCTTCACTGTAAACGGTTTTGCACTAAGAATAAAGCCTGGAAAAGACAGGTCGGAGTCTTGCCGGTTTGCTCTCGAGCAACCACACCACCACCTGACACCTGCCTTGCTCAATCTGAACAGCTCTCCAGGTTTCAAGTAGGAGTGTTTTCCCAACCCTGCATGGAGATGCTTGGACCGATCCTGCGGCCTTCTGCATGGAAAGCAGGAAACCACAGGTGGGGGGGGGTGAGAGCAGCAGGAGCAGACCGCTCTTTCAGAGCAGGGCTGGTGGAGACCTTGACATTTTCAACTGAGCTGAGGCTCCCGGACAGAACCAGGCCCAGCCCTGGAAGGCGGAGGGAAAGAGGAGCCTGCCTGTTTCCTGTGGTGCTGAGGAACTGGCCTTGGGCTCCAAGCAGGCTCTTAGGGATTCTGCCTCCGTTCAGATGCCAGGCTGCCATCGCCGGACAAAGCCCCTCAGGAACAGCCAGCAGGTCTCTTGTCAGGGAAAGGAGCCTGCCCTGCTGCCGCTGACTGCCTTCCAGGGAGGCCGGCCGATGCAGGAAGCGCTCGGGCTCTGCAGAGCCAACAGCCCTCCTGGCAGCATAAACCCTCCCTCCTCCTCCTCCTGGCACCAGATCCACACGCTCTCTGCCCCAGAGGCCAATTAAGCCAGCAAGAGGAACCTGCTCCCTCTGCGCTTTCCCCAGTGCCAAGAAGCAATGAAGAGCAGGCCCCAAAGAGCCCTAAATATCTGCTACTCCACGAAGTCCTTTCAGAGGACACTGTCTGACCCCACACCTGGGACCAAGCTGCCTCCTGCCGCTGCTGGGGCTCAGGCCCAGGAAGTGAGGGCACCATCCTGGTTTTAATGCCTATCCTGGGTGCAGGCCAGCTTCCCCTTGGCAGGCCAAGCCAGAGGACCAGCCTTCCTGGCCAGGACGTCCATCAGCCCTCAAGCCCAGTGATCCCCACGCGGACTTCCCAAGCCTCTCCTGGCTGTTTCACAGTCCGGCGGCAAACTCCAGAGTCTACGGAACTCGCTGCCTCAGGAGGCGGGAGTGGCCCCCATCCTGGATGGCTTTAAAAGAGGATTAGGCAAGTTCATGGAGGAGAAGAGGGCTACTGATGGCCAACAGCCCTGATGGCTGTGCTCTGCTCCAACAGCCAGAGGCATCCATGCTTCTGAGCCGCAGTTGATGGAAACCAGGCATCCGGTTGGCCACTATGAGAACAGGAGGCTGGACTAGATGGACCATTGGCCTGATCCAATAGGCTCTTCTTAGGTTCTTATGGCAGGTCAGCCTGGCTCCATGAGCAGGAAAGTGTACCTGCCTAGAGCCCCACAATGGAGGCCAATGCAGAAATCAGCAGAAATACATCTGTGGTTCCTACATTACAGGGCATTGGGCCACATGACCCTTTGGGTCCCTTCCCAACTGATGACTCCATTTTAATGCCTCCCAACCTGAGGGCCCTGCAGGAGCTCCAACCAACATCCCAGGGGGAGCAGAGAGGAAAGCAAAGCGCCTCAAGGGAGTTTTGTCCCCAGACCATGCCATTTTCCAGCTTCCCCAACAGCCAACTGCAAAAAGGGCTTCATCTGAGTCAGGTGAGGGCTTGCACATAGTGAGATGATAGCAATATGCGCACGCACACACACGCCCCCCCCCCCCAGCAACTTAGCCAGACTCTGCTGGTTGAATACTATCAGAGTGCCTGGAAATATCAGACTCAGGCTGCAGGTGGTCCCCACCTGTAGGCAGGGAGCTTAAGAGCACCCCCTGGCAGACTGTGCAACAAAAGGCTCACCCGGTCCACCTTCCTCCTTCCCGCAGACACCAACAAGAGACCTCCAGGAAGTTCACAAGCAGGACTAGAAGGCGTGCTTGTCCCCAGCACTGGGAATTTCAGCCTCCAGTTCACCACCCTGATTAACGCCGTCTGTGCAGACACTAAGAGCTGAGCGAGAGGGACCAAGCTCTGCCCATGGAAAACAGCTTCCTGTGGTATTTTATGTATGACTCTCTCCTGAGAAAGACGACGGAAAGCTCCCTCTGACAGCAGCAGCAACAGCAGACTAGGACGCTCTTTCTGCTTCAAAGGGGGTGATCCAAGCGAAGGAAGGCTCCAGAGCCACACCTGCTGTCGAGCGAGGCTCCTCCGAGTAATCCCAGCAAAACTCTGCTCTCCTGTGCACCCTGCGAATGGGCCACCTTGCCAGCAGGCGGAACGGCAGTTTCTAAACAGAGGCCAAGCTTGGGATGGCGGCCTGGGGGCCCAACACTGCCCCCTTTCCCAGGGGTCTCCTTTTCCTTGCAGCCCCGCTTGCCTCCGCACCCACCTTGGCAAATCAGCTGCACAGCTGTCCATAGGCACCGGTTTCAGCAGCTTCCCAGGAATAAAGGCTCTCTCGAATGAGTCTTAGCCACCCGGGACTTGGATTTGCATCCCTCAGAAGTCCTGCTGGGGGAAACCAGCAAGCGGGGGTGGGGTGGGAGGCAGCTGGATCCCTGGATTCTGCCTGCCTGGGCAGGGGCAGCGCCATCCCTCCTGGAGGCTGCAATGTGCAGCTTCAAAGGCGAGGCTCTGAGCAAGCGAAGGAGGGAAGGCTGGCTCAAAGGAAGGCGGCTGAGCGGTGTCTCTGGAGAGGCTCCCCCTCTCCGCCCGTTTGCTTCCAGGAGGAGGAAGAGAGAGAGCAGGCTGGCACACAGAGAAGAGGAGAAGCAAGCAGCAAAGGACTGCTCAGCAGGAAGAGGAGGAGGAGGAGGAGGCAGGGGCTGCCAGCGAAAGGGCTTGGCCAGGAGTCCCACTAAGGTCAGACCCTCCAAGTGTCCCTATTTTCCAGGGAGGTCCCTGATTTAGAGAAGCCACCCTGATTATTTGATCCCAGATTGTCCCACTTTTCCTTAAAGGTAAAGGGACCCCTGACCATGAGGTCCAGTCGTGGCCGACTCTGGGGTTGCGGCGCTCATCTCACTTTATTGGCCGAGGGAGCCAGCGTACAGCTTCCGGGTCATGTGGCCAGCAGGACTAAGCCGCTTCTGGCAAACCAGAGCAGCGCACGGAAACGCCGTTTACCTTCCCGCCTATGTCAAAAGCCTTGCTGAAATCAAGATACACTATGTCCACAGCATTTCCCTAATCCACTAAGTTTGTAATTCTATCAAAAAAAGAAATCAGGCCCTGGAGATTCGAATTCCTTTAAAGGAGCTAGTTGTTCCCTTACCCCCACTTTTCCTGTCTTGGGCTGCAGCTCCCTCCTTACATCATTTATCACCAGGTTGGGCACCGCTTTCCTTTTGGGTGAAGACAGAGGCAAAGGAATGTTGAGTAGTTCCGCCTTTTCTCCGATACCCAATAGCATTTCTCTGTGTTCCCCACACAGAGGACCTACTACTGCATGTTCAGATCTCTCCCCACCTTTAAAACAACAACAACAACTTTACAGCTGTTTTCATCCTCTGTATTTTAACATCTTTGGTTTTTTTATATTGTTTCCATTCTAATGTATTAAAGTTTAATTATTTTTTTAAATGGTGATCTTTTATCTGTTTTTAGCTTTTTGTATTTTATCTGTCTTGTTTTAATTTGTGCAAGCAGCCACGAGCCCCAGTTCAGGAAAAGGATGTAAATATTAGAATCACAGAATTGGAAGAGACCCTGAAGGATAGTCAGTTGTCTCGGTTATGACAAACATTCTTCCCTTTAACATGCTACCTTCTCAGAATCACTTCGCGAAAACAACGGAGGAATCCACTTACTCCTAAGCCACAGGCTGCTTTGGGCACTAAGCCAGTGGATTATGAACGCAGCCATAGGAATGCACTTCTCCACAGCCTCCGTCCCGTCCGGCTCCAGCCCATTCCAGACACAACAAGGAACCCGGAAAGCAGTGCAAGGAAACTGAGCCGGGCCACTAATATCCCCAGCTGACCTCTGTTGACTGGCAAATGAGCACAACACTGATCTAGCAGAGATTGCCAGAGCCGAGGCTGCCTTTCACTTGGAAGCAGCGGCCTCGCTGGGTAACCCGCAGGTCAAAGATATCCTCTGGAGCCGCAGCAGGGGCCTGAGGAAAACGCAGCCCGCTCTGCTGGAAGCCCCAAGTCAGAGCGGCTTCGATGCTTGGCTCCAGGAAATGGCACAGCCGTCCCGCCTCCCACAAGCATGGGAGTTGCAAGGGGCCCAAAGGCTCATCTAGGGCAGCCCCCTGCAATGACCAGGAAAAGGGAACCCCGGAAGCTGCTCAACACATAGTCAGACTGTTACTCCACACTGAGCGACAGCAGCTCTCTGAGGTTTCAGGCAGGGGTCCTTTCCAGCCCTGCCTGGAGGTGCAGCAGACTTGGGGCTGCTTCTTTCTGTGTTCAAAGCACCCCTGTGGGATACGCCCCTGAGCCACGGCCCTTCCTCAAACCGGCCGCAAATGGCCCCAGGATGCAGCAGAGGGTGCAAATCAGCTGCCAAAGCAGTCCTGTCAGTCCAGTATACCTGAAGGAGGGTCTCCACCCCCATTGTTCAGCCCAGACACTGAGATCCAGCGCCAAGGGCCTTTTGGCATTTCCCTCATTGTGAGAAGTGAGGTTACAGGGAACGCCCTCCCATCAGATGTCAAGGAAATAAGCAGCTATCTTATATTTAAAAGACATCTGAAGGCAGCCCTGTTTAGAGAAGTTTTTAATATTTAATGCTGTATTGTTTTTAACACTCAATTGGGAGCCGCCCAGAGTGGCTGGGGAAACTCAGACAGATGGGCGGGGTATAAATAAATTATTATTATTATTATTATTAGTGTCCACATGGATCTGTGGAACTTGTACCTTTGCAAGTACCCTATGAAGTTTGTTCCACGTCTATGAGGAGCAGATCTTTCAGTGTGGCAGCCCCTGTGAACTGGAAATCTGCCTAGTAACATTCAGCAGACAGCCTTGTTGCGCTCAAAGTGTTGGTGCTGACCTTAAAAGCCCTAAACGGCCTTGGCCCAGTATAACTGAAGGAACGTCTCCACCCCCATCATCCATCCTGGACACTGAGGTCCAGCTCCGAGGGCCTTCTGGTGGTTCCCCTCATTGCAAGAAGTAAAGCTACAGGGAACCAGACAAAGGGCCTTCTCGGTAGTGGCGCCCACCCTGTGGAACGCCCTCCCATCAGATGTCAAGGAAATAAACAACTATCTGACTTTTAGAAGACACCTGAAGGCAGCTCTGTTTAGGGAAATTTTAAATGTTTGATATTTTATTGCTTTTTTATCATTATTAATATTCTGTTGGGAGCCACCCAGGGTATAAATAATAAATTGTTGTTGTTGTTGTTGTTGTTGTTGTTCTCTTTCAGACACCTGGTCAAAACTTTTCTGTTTTGACAAACCTACCTGGAAACGTTTGCAAGTTTTACTTGGGCTAATAATGATGATGATGATGATGATGATGATGATGATGTGGCTGACTATATTTGTATATTGACAATTCCTTTATATAACTGCCTAGGGACTCTTTGACTAAGTGGCTGACAAATTCTTATAACTAAATAAAAATAAATAAATAAGTAGAGCACTGATTAGATTTTTCTCATGTTCACCTGCACACCTGAATGCTCATTCTCTGCCCCTACACGTCCTGAATACTCTTTGTCACATAGGACAGCCGAAGCTCCAGAGCAGAATTTGGCTCACCAAGAATCTCAGCATGTTTGCAATCCTCATTATTGCAGGAGAAAACACAAGTGCTTGCAATTCAGACAGCATCCACTGAAATCTTGAGCAAAAGAGAGCTTTTCCCACCCACCCCTCCCTGACCACAGTAATCCCTCCCAAAATATTTCAAAGTCTCTATATAGGCAGAACCCAGCAGAAAAGGTCACACAAGCACAACACCCAAATTTGCATAACCTGCCTTGGTTGACCAGCAATTCTGTACGACAGGGTGGTTTTAAACATGTAACTCGAGGCCTGTGTTTACTGTGCTTCGGTGCGTTAAGAAACAGAGTGGAGCCTGAGGTAAGCCTCGCACCATGGTTGTGTGCATTTAAGTCAACACAGCACCTATTTCTGGAAGTGGAGTTCAGATGGAACTCTGAGAAAGGTCTCCTGTCTGAGGCTCCTGCACGTGATAAATCACTGCATTTCCTCCCCTTCTCCATGCGCAGGCCAAGTGCGGCGAGCAACCTCAGCGCCAGGCCCTGTCTGCGCATGGCAAAAGAGATGCAGGTTGCCACCTTGGTTCCCCATGTACGCTGCGCAGACTCTCTGAACTGGGAGCCAGTGTAGCAGTCAAAGAGTCAGACCAGGACCTGGAAGCCTGGGATCGTGTCCCCACTCGAACACGAAGCTCACTGGGCTAGTCACTCTCTCTGCCTAGCCTACCTCACAGGGTGGTTGTGAGGATAAAATGGGCCAGGGGAGGGACTTATGTACACCACCTTGAGCTCCTTGGAGGAAAAGGTGGGCTATAGATGCTAGAAATGAATGAATCTAGGACCCGAGAACCAGAATGCAATGCTTGACAACAGCCAGACAGAAACAGTCAAACACAGGGTGCAAACAGGGAGCAGGGACAGCAGCAGAGCAAGGTCTCCGTTCGCACCAGAACCCAAGCTTGCCTCCGCACCAGCTCAAGCTTTCCCTCTCGCCCCGAGAAAAGAGAGGGTGAGCTCCAGATCACCGGCAGAGAGTTCGGCTCCCTCGTAGCCAGAGCCGCCTCCTACCTTGAGCCTTGGTTAATCTGCAGCTCCACCGCAGCCTCCGGGAGCCGTCCTGCGAGACGCAGAGCAAGGCACGTGCAGCATTCCAGGCAGGCGGGAGTTTTGGGGGGAGGAAGGGGGTGGGCAGCCGGGCAGAGCTCAGGAGGTGCGGTCAGACGCTTCCACGTGGTCAGCAGGTCTCCATCGGGCCCAGGAGGACAAAACGCAAAGGAGATTCCCGAAAACCCAGGTGCCTCTTCACAGCATCGCCCTGTGCCTGGAAGAACAGCAAAGGCTTAGGCAGCTCATCTTCATCTCCACACACACTTCACCATCAACACAAGCAACAATTCAAAACCTCAGCCGTTGTGAACGGTGTGCTAAACTGAAAGAGTATGGACCTGTCTTCCTCAGCCTGGTGCCCTCCAGGTGTTTTGGACTGCCATTCCCCATAATCCCCTGCCAGCATGGCCGCAGGAAGCGAGGGCTGATGGGAGTCGTAGTTCAAAGCGTCTGGAGGATGCCAAGTTGGGGTAGAGGCAAACTCCCAGCAGATACTGGTAGAGGCAAAATCCCAGCAGATAGGCCAGCAACCATCAACTCGGTCCTACTCAGAGGAGACCTCACTTCATTCATTTCAGCAGGTCTACTCTGAGTAACAGTGAGCTGCTGTATTACCTGCAGTGGAGGAGGGAAAGGGTTATATTAGAAACTAGAAGAACAATTTCCTAAAGAAAAAACATGCAGGGTTCATAAAAGGTTTTGATAATAGACTCATAGAACTGTAGAATCATAGAATCTTACAGTAGGAGGGGACCCAATGGTAATCTAGTCCAACCTCTTGCAATGTAGGAATCCCTGGGTGGGCTGAAATCAGCGATCTTCTCGTTAACAAGCAGCCCTGACCCACTGCGCCAGAGAGAGCATTGACTGGAAATACTCCCGTCTGCTTCAGTGCCAAGGAATCAAATTCCACTTGGAGAACAGCACCTTCTACTGAGCAGTAATGGGCGAGATATACTTTTCTAAATAAGCAAAATAAATATTGATGGGGTGAGCAGAAAGCAGAGACACACAAAGCAACCGGCCCAGGCTGACTGTCAGCTGCTGGGGGCGATTTCTGCAAAGATTGCCTGGGCCTGGTTTGATCCAGCCATTTTTACAGGATCAAGAGAGAGTGTGCAAAGATGGCTCGTCACAGATCAGTTATGCCTTGATTCAGGCCTAGCCAGCATGGGGGTGACCTCCAGACTCCCGCCAGCCTCAGGAAACAGGGCCAGTGGACAAGGATGGTGGGAACCATATTTGAGACCCCTGCCTGAATTGTCCAGCCATCCAAACCAGGCTTGCTTGCTCTGAAAGTTCAGCACATTCTTACAGATCTTGCACATATATATCAGGCTCCCAAGCACAACGCAAACCAGCACAGCAATGGGAAGGGCCGCAAAACATCTCTTTTTGAAGCAAAAGGTCCCAGGTTCAGTCTCTGCAAATAGGGCAAGTAACTCGAAATCCTGAAAAGCCAAAAGTCAGTGCAGACAATGCTGAGTGAGATGGACCAACGGTCTGAGTCATAGAGTTGGAAGGGAGCCTCTGGGGTCATCTAGCCCAACCCCCCGCAAAGCAGGAATCTCAACCAAAGCTTCCCTGACAGAGGGCCATCCAATCTCTGCTTAAAAACTTCCAAGGAAGGAGAGTCCACCACCTCCCACGGAAGATCGTTTCAGCATAAAGCAATTTCCTGTGTTCACACCTTAGCAACCCTAGGGGTGGGGAGGGATGGAAGAGAAGAGCGAGCTCCAACACGGAGAGCCCAAAATGCTGCAGCGCCATCACTAGACTCCCCGCCTGCCTGCACCCCAGTACCGGCCAGGCTCACTCACAGAGGCAAGAGGCCCATGCACAAAGATCTCCCACTTGGACTACTGCAATGCACTCTACAGGGGCTACTGGAGCTACGTGACCTGGAAACTACAACTAATCCAGAATGCAGCAGCTAGAATGGTGACTGGGAGTGGCCGCCAAGACCACATAACACCGGTCCTGAGAGATCTGCATTGGCTCCCAGTAGGTTTCCGAGCACAATTCAAAGTGTTGGTGCTGACCTTGAAAGCCCTAAATGGCCTCAGTCCAGTATATCTGAAGGAGCGTCTCCACCCCCATCATTCTGCCCGGACACTGAGGTCCAGCGCCGAGGGCCTTCTGGCGGTTCCCTCATTGCGAGAAGTGAGGTTACAGGGAACCAGGCAGAGGGCCTTCTTGGTAGTGGCACCCGCCCTGTGGAAGGCCCTCCCAGCAGATGGGAATGAAATAAGCAGCTATCTTATCTTTAAAAGACATCTGAAGGCAGCCCTGTTTAGGGACGTTTTTTTAATGCTGTATTGTTTTTAACACTCAATTGCGAGCCGCCCAGAGTGCCTGGGGAAACTCAGCCAGATGGGCAGGGTACAAACATATTATTATTATTATTATTATTATTATTTTGCAAAGGGCAGAGTGCAGAAGGCCGTCAAAAGAAGGCCTGCAGCTCAGCGACTGAGAGCAAGACGCCCCTGGTTCAATCCCCAGTTCTACATAAGGCAGAACATCAGATCCAAGGTGGTCTAACAAGAACGGTTTCCCAAAAGTCATGGGTCCTTCCCGATTAATTTCAGCTAAACATTACGAGAAACTTCCTTATGGCCAGAGCTTCTGGACAGCCGAGCAGACTGTCTCCAGAGGGGATATTTCAGCAGAGGCCAGGCGTTCATCCGCAGGGATGCTATAGAGCTGAATCAGGCACTTGTCATCAGAAGGAACCTCAAGGGGTCATGTAGTCCAACCCTCTGCAATGCGGCAAAGTCTGGCTCCTGGTACTGGCCAGGGGACCAAAGCCGCACCCCAATGGCTGCTCCCGCTGTCCCCAGGAAAAATGTCAAGTCAAGGGGGAGGCCAGTCTGGCCCCACCCATTGGTCAGAGGAGGAGGAGGAGAAGCAGCTGCAGCAGCAAGGGGCTTGTTCCTTCATCCCCTGATGGAAAGAACCCTTGACTCCAACTGCCACTTCTCTGCCCCAGGACAGCAGAAGCAAAGGGAGAAGCCACTCTGCCCACTCACCCACCCCACCCTGTACAGGGAAAGCTGCCGTGGGCTGCTGTTTAAGCAAGAGCAACAACAGGGGAAGTTTGGCCTGGCCAGAACTGGGCATAAACGCCCACTTCTGGCTCACCACTTTGGCTTGCCTTTCACAGAACTGAAGGGATCCCAAGACCCTGCAAATTGCAAGAGTCACAACTTGGAAGAAGGGGCCTCTCCTCCATCTTTCCCCTCTGCTTCCCTTGCCTTGCGTGAGCTGCTTTGGGAGGCCAGAGTTGTCGGAGAACAACTCCAGGAAATAAACCCCGGATCTTGCACTGAGAAGGAGGCGGCTGGAGGAGAGGACCTTCCCAAGGTCCTTTCCAACCCAGCGACTCCCATTAAGTGCTCAAAGTAGCGCTCAAACACACACACAAAGGGGACAGGCCTTTCCGGATCACCTGGTTGGGCTGTTGGAAGAGCGCCGTTCCAGGACTGGGCTGTTTGTGCTGAGGGCTCTATATCCGCAAAGGCAGAGCTGCTTAAATCAATGTGCTCCTCCCATGTCACCCAGGCGGCTTATCCTGGGGCATGATCTTGCGCTTAGGGGGCAACAGCCTCTAGCCTGATCCTAAACCGATTAGAGCCGCATTTTCCAAATTCCAGCTGGTTTTGGACTACAACTCCCATCATCCCTAGCTAGCAGGACCAGCGGTCAGGAATGATGGGAACTGTAGTCCAAAAAACACACGAAGACCCAAGTTTGGACACTGGATTAGAGGAACGCAGGAAGAAGCTGTCAAACCATTGCTCCATTTAGCTCAGTATTGTCCACACTGACAGGCAGCACCTCCCCAGGGTTTCAGGCAGGGAGTTTGGCCCCGTTCTCGCAGGAGACGCCCCTGGGGTTTCAACCCGGGACCTTCGGCATGCAAATCAGGTGATCCGCAACTGAGCTCCGGCCCTAAAATAAAAATGCATCTATGCAAACGGAAGAGGTGAGAGTTAAGCAAAGAATTGATTCCGCTCTCGGAGTGTGTCTTGTGCGTCTCAGAACTTGTCGTTCTTTGATGGGGGGTTATAGTCTGCCCTCGGGATGCGGGGACCAGCGCTGGGGATGGGGCAGCTACGGAGACAACCGGGAAGGTTGGGGTGGGGAATTTGTGGGTGCCAAAGCCCCCCACCACCGTGCCCACCTCTCTCTGCAGGCTGCAAGACCCCCAGGGGGAATCTGAGGTGCAGGCACCCTCCCCACGCACCCCCTACCAGACAGGCACCCTACTCCAAGGGGGGCCAGTCACAGCTGCTCAGTGCCTGGGGCCCCATTTCACTGGGGGAGTGGGGGAAAGGAGAGAGAGATGACAGGAAGGGCCTCCCCATCCAGAAGAGACCCTTTGCCACCCAAACCTATCCTGACCCCACCCCCAAGCCCACAGATCGTATCCCCACCCCCCACAACTGCCCCACACACTTGACAGGCGGGCAGAGGAGCCAGCTCACTCCTGGGGGAAGAGGTCTCTTTGCCCGCCCCCCCAACTGATGGGCATTCCTGTGTGTGTGCCATGTCATGTGATCGATTATGTGGGGCAGAGCTTACCTGGAACACCCCCCCTCTTATTTGATTCAAGTTCGCACCTCTGGAAGGGGGGGAGGCTCTCTCTTTTTCTCTCTCTTTCACCCCCTCACTCCACGTCCAGGTAGGAAGGCCTCTGTCTCCCCCCCCCCAATTTCCCTCACCCCCCCCCCCGCAAGCCGCCCCCCCTGCCCTGCTACAAGGGCCCCCCCCATATCCTCCACCAACACCCCCCAGGTCCGCCGCAGACACGCAGCCTGGCCCCTTCCCCACCCCCAAATGAAGGACCCCCCCCCTCAGAAGAGGGTCCCCCTCCGCCCCCCCAATTTTCGCTTCCCGGCGGCGAAGGGGCTTCTCTCTCCCCCCCCCCCGCTTCATTACCTCGCCGGGCCGCTGAGGCGGCGGCGGCGGCGACCGGGTCGAGCAGGTCTCTCCCGGGTCGGCTCCTGGTGGGAGGAGGGGGGCAGGGAGGGGGCTGGCCTCTCCCGGGTCCGCTGGGGGGGTGACAATATGGCGGCGGCGGGAGGAGGAGGAGGGAGGGAGGGGCGAGAGGGGGTTTTTTCACCGCCGGGCCGACAGGGGGCGCTCGGCCAGGACTCGCCACTTCCGGCGCAGGGCCATAGAGAGCGCGGGAGGGAAGGGCCGATCGGGGGAGACGCCGCTCTGGCACGAGGGCCGCACCACAGAGGCCCGCCCGAGTTCTCCTGCCGCAGCCGGCCTCCGCGCGCACGTGTGAATGGAGGGCGTTTTCACGTGTACGACCCGAGGATGGGGCCCTGCTTCAAGGCACCCAGGCGTGTCCCGCTCGCCTGAACTCCCTGGGAGGGCGTCGGAAGAAAACACGTGTATGCCCGAACGTGGAGGTGAAGGAAGCACGTGTGTGTGTGTGTCCCGGCCTCCCCTTTGGTTCGAGGAGCAGCGTGGTTAACCTACGGAACTCCCTCCCCCAGAAGTGGCTTGAAAAGCCTTTTTGTTAGGCATTTGTTGTTGTTTAGTCTTGTCCGCCTCTTCGTGACCCCCTGGACCAGAGCACGCCCGGCACTCCTGTCTTCCACTGCCTCCCGCAGTTTGGTCAAACTCATGCTGGTCGCTTCGAGAACACTATCCAACCATCTCGTCCTCTGTCATCCCCTTCTCCTTGTGCCTCCATCTTCCCAACATCAGGGTCTTTCCAGAGTCTTCTCTCATGAGGTGGCCAAAGTCTTGGAGCCTCAGCTTCAGGATCTGTCCTTCCAGGGAGCACTCAGGGCTGATTTCCTTCAGAATGGAGAGGTTTGATCTTCTTGCAGTCCATGGGACTCTCAAGAGTCTCCTCCAGCACCAGAATTCAAAAGCATCCATTCTTCGGCGATCAGCCTTCTTGATGGTCCAGCTCTCACTTCCATACATCACTACTGGGATAACCATGGCTTTAACTATACGGACCTTTGTTGGCAAGGTGATGTCTCTGCCTTTTAAGATGCTGTCTAGGTTTGCCATCGCCTTTCTCCCAAGAAGCAGGCGTCTTTTAATTTCGCAACTGCTGTCACCATCTACAATGATCATGGAGCCCAAGAAAGTAAAATCTCTCACTGCCTCCATTTCTTCCCCTTCTATTTGCCAGGAGGTGATGGAACCAGTGGCCATGATCTTCGTTTTTTGATGTTGAGCTTCAGACCATATTTTGCGCTCTCCTCTTTCACTCTCATTAAAAGGTTCTTTAATTCCTCCTCACTTTCTGCCATCAAGGTTGTGTCATCTGCATATCTTAGGTTGTTGATATTTCTTCCGGCGATCTTAATCTAGGGATTCATCCAGCCCAGCCTTTCGCATGATGAATTCTGCATATAAGTTAAATAAGCAGGGAGACAATATACAAAAAACATGGAAATGTAACTCAATTCTTACAAAGCTTGACTGGCAGGTGAAGATGGTGGAAAATGTGGAACTTGCGAAAATGACTGGGAGAATAAGAGGAAACTCAAAACCAGAAAGTGTGTAAAGAATGGATAACATTTACCAGTAAATATCTAAAGCAATATTGTGAAAATGTAAATCTTTGGATTCTAGATTGAATCTTGAATATTCAGGAAAACTATAAACGTTGGAATTTTTCTGGATATGTGACAAATATAACAGGAAATGCATAAAGGTTAAGAATATGTAGAAAGCTCAGTGAGTCAACATATGTGCGATGTTTGACAATGTGTTGTTAATGTTTAGTTGTCATTGAGGCATTGTCTGTTATATGTAATTTGTTTTGCAATAAAGTTACCGTATTTTTCGCCCTATAGGACGCACCGTCCCATAAGGCGCACCTAGTTTTGTTTTGTTTTAAAAGAATATTTATTCCAGTTTTAAAGTTACAAAAAATATAGAAAAAACAAACCACACACATCTTACAAAAAACAAACAATAAAAAAGAAATAAGAAAGACAAAAAATCACAGTAAAAATAACAAAATTCAAATTAGACCATTACAACCTTTTTCCCTTTTACTTGTTTCCATGACTTCCTCTCACCTCCCTGCTTTGTATTCTAGTTTAAATCAGTATCTCCAGCAAATCCTTCAAACCTTCTTTCTTTTACTTATTTGAACATTCGAAAGTATTTAATTCTCCTCTATCCTCATTTTACACTTCATATTTACTTATTCCATTATACCCTGTCTGCCAATACGGTCTAATATTCTTCTCCAACCTTTTTCTAACATTCTTTTATATTACAGTGTTTCTGAAGATATATTTTAAATTTTTTCCAGTCTTCTTCCATCAACCCTTCTTCCTGATCTCGAATTCTGCCGGTCATCTCAGCCAGTTCCATATAGTCCATCACTTTCCTCTGCCATTCTTCTCGGGTAGGCAATTCTTGTGTCTTCCAGTATTTCCCAATAAGTATTCTTGCCGCTGCTGTCGCATACATAAAAAAATTCCTATCTTCCCTTCGCACCAATTGGCCGACCATGCCCAGGAGGAAGGCCTCTGGTTTCTTCACTAAAGTGTATTTCAATACCTTTTTTAGTTCATTATATATCATTTCCCAGAAGGCCTTGGTCTTTGGACACGTCCACCAAAGGTGGAAAAAGGTTCCTTCATTTTCTTTGCATTTCCAACATTTATTATCGGGCAGATGATAAATTTTAGCTAGCTTGACTGGGGTTAAGTACCACCTATAAATCATTTTCATTATATTTTCTCTTAATACATTGCAAGCCGTAAACTTCATAAAGGCGCACCTAGTTTTTTGGGGGGGAAATAAAGGGGGGGAAATTATTCCCCCCCCAGGCGCGGGGCTGGGGCGGGGGGAGCCCGAGCTTCCCCCGACCCCAGCCCCCAAACAGGAAGCTCTCTGCAAGCCGTGGGAGCCCAGCGCTGGGCTCCCGCTGCTTGCGGAGAGGTGCGCGAATCCTGCATTCGCCCCATAGGACGCACACACATTTCCCCTTCATTTTTGGAGGGGAAAAAGTGCGTCCTATAGGGCGAAAAATATGGTAAATAAAATAAAAGATGGGGCAAATTCATGGAGGGCCCTTGGGGGCTTCTAACCAGGATGAGGCAGCAATGGACCCCTTGCAGAAAGCCTTCAGGCCTCCCAGGGCAGGGCGGGGGCAGCTCCTGCCTCTTGGGCTGCTTCTTTTATGCTGGACACGGGTGCGAATCTCTCCCACATCAGCCACAGCAGGTGCTGCAAGTCTCCCAAGGTTTGGCCACTCCCCGAGGTGCATGCTTCACTTGGTCTCCCAAGACAGGCAGGTGCCAATCAAAACTAGATACTGGTACACGCTGGGACTCCCGCAGTTCTTCCAACCACAATCCCCCTTGAGCTGGCGATGAATCACAGGATGGCAGAGTTGGCAGGGATCCGAAGGAGTCATCTAGTCCAACCCCTGCAACGCAGGAATCTCAGGTAGATCAAACATGATGAGACTGGATCTGCAAATGGTGACCCAGTGGGCGACATGCGAAGAGCAGGGGGGCACAACCACCACCCGCTCTCCCGTGAATATATTCTGGGTATTAGGGTCTTCCTCAGAGGCCTTACTAGAGATTCCCCACAAAGTTGCCCAGGATTTCAGGCAGCGAATATTCAGAGATTCCAGATTCTACTTGGGTCTTTCCTCTGGGGCCCTAGGTGTTGCAGGAATTTATGTATAGGTTGGGAGGGGTTGCCCCTCCAGCAGATATTATGCACATGCAGCCCACTACCAAAACCAGCACAATCACTTTTGTGATTTGTCCCCACAAAACACTTCATCACAGTTTCTTCCTATCTATGCAAAGGGCCTCTGCTGCACAATACCAAATGTAAGAATTCACTGATAAATGTTATCTATGTACTGGCTCACTGGGAAAACTTCAGAAATTCCTATAGACATGTGAGCTCAGCTACTCAGCAGCCCCTCTGCCTGAGTGATAATCCCTGGCATCCTGGTACCTGAGGGCCAGACAGGTAGCCATTCCAGAAATAACAAACCCAGATGAAGACAAAAGGATGTGATTAACTTGGCTGGGAAACAGGGAAATGTAAATGTCTCTTTTGTTACACTTGATGGGTGTTTGGTGGAGGGCAAGGAGAACCATGGGGCAGGGTCCAGGATGCTCAGATTACTGCTCCCAGACCTTCCCTTTCCTGATGTAACCGTGATGTATGAGTGATGTAGTTTGGGGAGGGTGTAATATGGGGATTAGCAGCTAATAAAAGTTGGGGTTCTCTTTTGTTCGGGGCTTCCATCTTGTTCCACCTGGTGGCAGGTGGGAGTCCTGTCACGACAGTCTTCAATCAAGACCAAGCCTACTGGCTGCTGTTTTGCTCTGGTATTCCTAGCTCGTGTCCTTGTTTTTTGTCCAAGGGAGCCCTCAGATTTCTCCGTTAACAGTGGCAAAAACCTTCATCTGCCCAGGCCTTTTGTGATCTGGACTTGCCACCCTGGCAGTGCGCTGAAGGTAAAATTATCTCGCCACCCCAGAATTTGGGCTCCCTCTGCATGGCTCTAAGATGCCAACTGCACCTTAAAGGTGGGGGTGATGCTTTCTATATTTTTTTAAATGAAAAACAAAAGGCAAATTTAGAAGCAACCCTTTTGAATAGGAGAGGAAAGTTCTGGATGACTTCCAGGACAGAGGAGCACTTCAGGAATATATTCTTGCCGCAGGTGTGAAGAAACGATTGCCAGAAATCAGTGTAATCCACTTGGTCATGTCAACAAGGTACAGTTCTGTGGACCCTTTAGCGCCCACCCCCAACCTTTTGTCAACACAGATTTTTGAAAATATGCTTTAATCATTTTTTGTATGAGACAGATACATTCTGCAAACTCTTTAAAAAGTTGCTGGGTTGTCAAAACACGGGAATGACCACACACAGCCAAGAACCACCTTGGCTGAAAAAGAGAGGTGGGCAGCAGCAGTCGCCAACACAGCCACCTCCGCAGGGAGCAGGGGTGCTGTGGAATTGGAGCAAACCCCCCCCCCCCCCAAGTCGCTGCTCCCCTGCTCCGAGGACGGATCCTGGGGAAGGGGACGGAAGAGAACCGAGGCAGCTCTAGGGGCAGAAACTGCCACGAACCCAAACCAGCCCCCCCCCAGGAGAAAAAAGCTTCCAATCACCCGTGCAGCCACAGGCAGTAGTACCAAAATCCGGCCGCAGGAGCCCCTGCTGACCAGCATTCCTTATTCCCATAAGGCCTTGGGCTCAAGGCCGGCGAAAGGGGACGCTGCGCCCCTTTCGTTACAGAAGAGCTGCCGGTAGCCAAAAGCTAGGACGGAACTGAATGCCCAATGCCTTCGGGCTGGATGGAAGAGGACCCCCCCCCCCAGTGAGGGACAGTCCTTTAAAGCGCCCTGAAGGTCAGCACCAAAGGGAGGGAGCTGCCTCTGCCTACCCAGATGGGGGGGCCCTCCAGGCTCTGGGCAAAGCTCAGACCCCCCCAACTCCCAGCCACACCCTCGGGCACAGCAGGATTCGAACCGTATTCCCATTGGACGGGGGACCACACCTCCCTCCTCCCTCATTGAGCCACGGCAGGATTCACCTGGAAAATTCCCAGCCCAGGTGCCAGCCCCAAGCGTCAATCCGGAGTAGGCGGCCCCCACTGACAGTTATTGCATTGATCCAGACTTTGGACTCAAAAAACGAGTACCTGGCGAGCAGCCGTTACAGACAGACACACACAGAGAAAAAGATCACACAAGGCAACTTTCCAGGGCAAAGATGACGGCAGCAACATCTCTGCCCCTGCTGGTGCTGCGGAGAGTCGTGGGGCGCCCAGGAAACGGCAGGAAGAGGCTGCTCTGCCCTCGCCAGGTGTCCCTCTGCTGGTGGGAAGGCAGGAGGGGGCCTTGCCGTGGGGGGGGGGTCACTGGCTGCCCTCGTAGTTGAGCACGTAGTAGTCGTGGACGTACATGAGGACGGCAATGGGCTGCCCAATGATCAAGGAGATCCACACGGCCGCGTTCCCATAGTTGCCCCGAAGGAACCGGCCCACAAACCAGGCCAGAGGAATCTGCGGAGGAGGAGGGAAGAGGGAGGAAAGATGGCGGAGGGAGATGGGTCATTTTAGCCTGGAGAACAGGCGACACAACAGCCATCTTCAGATATCTCAAAAGGTGGAAGAGGGAGCAAGCTTGCTTTCTCCTGCTCTGGAGGGGAGGACTTGAACCCATGGCTTCAAGTTACAAGGAGGAGATTCAACATCAGGAAAAACTTTCTGGTGGTAAGAGCTGTTTGGCAGTGGAATGGACTCCCTTGGAAGGTGATGGACTCTCCTTCCCTGGAAGTTTTTAAGCAGAGCTTGGGTGGCCATCTGTCATGGATGCTTTAGCTGAGATCCCTGCATTGCCGGGGGTTGGAGTGGATGACCCTAGGGTCCCTTCCAGCTCTACAGTTCTGTGGTTCTCTGATTCTCCACCCTAGGGCCAAAGTGCAAGTCCTGCCCCAAGGCTCACAGGAAAGAAGACAGAACTCTCTGGGGTGGTGGCAACAGCAGCATCCTGGACTCTGCTTGACCCTCACCCCTTTGCCAAGACACCACATACCGGGAGCCCCTGGCAAGGCTGAGCTGGTGGCAAGTGGCCTTTGCCAAGCCACTCATGCAAAATAATAATAATAATAATTTTATATATATCCCACCCCACCCCCCAGCTGAAGCCAGGCTCAGAGCAGCTAACAACAGTAAAAGTAACACAGCATTCTAAAATCAATTCATTCTAAAATCAATTCAGAATCAAATTAATGGCAACCATTGGGCTACAGTTCTGTGAGGATTACCAAAGGAGGGGGTCAAACTGTGCCTTGGCCAAAGGCCCGGTGGAACAGCTCTGTCTTGCAGGCCCTGCGGAAAGATGTCAAGTCCCGCAGGGCCCTGGTCTCTTGGAACAGAGCGTTCCACCAGATCGGGGCCACGGCCGAAAAAGCCCTGCCTCTGGTTGAGGCCAGCCTAATCTCCCTGTGGCCCGGGACCTCCAAGATGTTTTTGTCTGAAGACCGTAAGGTCCTCTGTGGGACATACCAGGAGAGGCGGTCCCGTAGGGACGAGGGTCCTAGGCCGTATAGGGCTTTAAAGGTTAAAACCAGCACCTTAAACCTGTTCCTGTACTCCACCGAGAGCCAGTGCAGCTGGTATAGCACTGGGTGAATGTGATCCCATGGTGAGGACCCGACCCTTACCTGAGCCATCATCCCTATGAACGCCCAGGGCCGGAACATCTTCAAGGGCACGCTGACCAGGTACTGGGTGGGGACAGAAACCCACAAAGACATCAGTCCAGACAGGAGAGGGCGCAAAGGAAGCTTGGCTGGCAAGCCTGGCTACCTCCCATGCCACCCTCTGAAGCCCAGCAAGCAGCTCGCGAGTCTCTCCTTGATTCCAGTCCCTCCAGAGGAAAGAGAACGAAGGGCGCTCTCTTGCCTCCTGAGCTCTCAGGTGTGAGCCCATGGAATGACCCACACTGGGCCGGGGAAGCAAGTCAAGGGAGGGAGCTCCAGCCAGGATAGCCCCACCCACTCCACGTTCAGGAGTTTGAGCCACTTTGCCCTGTTCAAACCTTATGCTGAGAACGGAAGGCAAGACACTATCGCGCCCCCTGCCCCTTCTCTGCTTTCAGAGAGGACGGTCCCTCGCCAGCCCTTGAAAGATGCTTATCCATCGTTCTTCAGAGGAGGGGGAGCCATAATGTTCCTCAGCTGCATCTAACTTGCTCAAATACACCTTAGCATTTGTCTCCAAATTCCTCCAAAAGATGCAGTGCAACTTGGGAGTTTTCTTTTTTTAATCATTTTTATTAAGTTTCCCATTTTAACAATCCAATCCAATCACATTGAATGTTCCAATACAAATACAAATTTGATACAAATATCAAATACAGTGGTACCTCGGGTTAAGTACTTACCGTATTTTTTGCTCTATAAGACTCACCTTTTCCCTCCTAAAAAGTAAGGGGAAATGTGTGTGCGTCTTATGGAGCGAATGCAGGCTGCACAGCTATCCCAGAAGCCAGAACAGCAAGAGGGATTGCGGCTTTCACTGTGCAGCGATCCCTCTTGCTGTTCTGGCTTCTGAGATTTAGAATTTTTTTTTCTTGTTTTCCTCCTCCAAAAACTAGGTGCGTCTTGTGGTCTGGTGCGTCTTATAGAGCGGAAAATACAGTAATTCGTTCCAGAGGTCCGTACTTAACCTGAAACTGTTCTTAACCTGAAGCATCACTTTAGCTAATGGGGCCTCCTGCTGCTGCTGCACCACTGGAGCACGATTTCTGTTCTCATCCTGAAGCAAAGTTCTTAACCTGAAGCACTATTTCTAGGTTAGCAGAGTCTGTGACCTGAAGCGTATGTAACCCAAGGTACCACTGTAGTCCAAATATTCTGCCTAAATTATAAATTTTAGTTGGGACTTCCCATGCTTCAAGTTTGGGGGGGCTCTGATCATTGCAACTTGGGAGTTTTCAGGTGGATTCTTAGAGGTGAGAACTACTCCCTTTACCTCTGCCCAACACACACACTTTTTTGCCATTAGCAAAATTTAGGAGTAAGCAATTGTCTCCCAAGCCTTTTCCTTACTGGTCTTTGCAGAGATGGTCTCCAGCAGAAAGCTCTGCCTGCCGCCATGTCCGCCTGGACTGGGAAGCTCAGTTTCAGGAGGCCCAGACACCCCCCCCCCCAATCAGATGCTGCTTCCCTCTCTCGCACCCGTGCAGAGAAAGGCTGGCTGAGCAGCAGCAAGGATGCTTTGTGGTATGAAATCCACAGCCTTTAAGAAGAGGGTTGAGATTGCAAGCCAGTAAAAGGGGGGGGGGAGTCCCTTTGGGCTCTCCTGTCGACATTCATGCACACGGATTTGTGGAGCAGGTACTAACCTCGTGGAAGAAAGCAGAAGCGAAGAAGACGCCTGTCTGAGCCACCCATTTGCCAGCCCCCTTCTTCATCAGGGGCTTGTAGAAATGCCTAAAAAGCAAAGGAGAGAGAGAGAGAGAGATTAAGAAGAGCCTGCAGGATCTGACCGTAGAGGCAGAGCAGAGCCACTGTGGCTACGAGCTGTTGCTAGAAATATTCCTAGAGAAGGCTCTTTCAAAGCCGTCTAAGTTGAGGGCCACAGCGGCCTCCTGCAGAAGCGAGTTCCACAGTTTAAATACGTGCTGCACGAAGGAGGACTCCCTTTCACCTGCCCCAAATGGACTATGAGCAGAATTCGCCTAGCTATCCCCCACTGACAGCTACAGCACCCCACCCCACCCTGCTTGACCCCAGGATTGTCACAACTCAGCCTATGTGTACCTCAAGCACCATTTGTGGACAGGGATGTTCCAGTTCTGCCAGAAATAGGTCACGGTCTCCGAGTTCCTGAGGGAAGAAAAGGGACATGTGTTGCTGCGTGTCAACCCTTGACATTGAGAGAAACCCTTAACAGAACAAAATAGGTTTCCTCCCCCCTCTTTCGGACAGGGGGTCCAATTCCTGCAGGGTCAAATGTGAGCGGTCTGGCTGCGCACAGGATTCAGTCACTGAGTTTCACCAGCGAAGGCTGAGCCCAGCCTTCATCATCCCTTATCAGATGCCTCGAAGGCTTTTCCTACAACACACATGGAAGGGAGGCATCTGCATCATTCGCCATCATCTTAAGTGATGGGGATCCACCCACTGCACCCCCACACCTGTTAGGGCTGGGGAAAACCCTCCCAGTCCTCGCCCACAGTGAGGAAGTCTCCAAAACCAAAACCTTGGCTGTTCTGCAGGGTGCTTTGAATGCCCAAAGCAGATCTTTTGAGTGCCATTTACAGATGTTTTGATTTTTTTATTATTGCAGCCACCTGCCATTCTTTCTGCGGTCCTAGGGCAGGTTATAACAATCTGAGACACAGCTTAAAAACCTGAAAATTGAAAAAAAGAACGCAAGTCACAAAACACACAGGCCCTTCCTGCAGAGCTGACTCACCACCAGTCCCTGTAGAACTCCCGGTCTCCAAACTGCATGATTTCCGCAATGACATTCAGGCTGGAGTGGAAGAACCAGTAGAAGAAGATGAGCCAGATCAGGTGGTTGGGGACCTGTCAGGGACCGCAAGGCAGAGGACAGCATTAGTGCAGGGGTCAGCAAACTATGGCCCGGGGGCCGGATGCGGCCCACCAGGCTCGTAAATCCAGCCAGCGGACCCTGCCGCCCGCTCGGTCAGTCGCTGCGCGGGGACTGACTTCTGTGACCCTGGCACAACTTTGGATTGGCTGCAGGAAGTTCCTGCAGCCAATCCAAAGCCTCGCCGCCCGCGTGCTCAGGTAAACCCAGTGTGGCCATGGACGGAGAGGCGGGTGGGCAGCGGGCATCATGATGGGCACATCACAGGGCTTCAGCCAGAGCTTGGCATGCCTACTGGCCTCATGCCTGGCAGCTGGCTCGGTGCCCCACTGGAGCAGCAGGAGGGCGAGCTGCGGGCAGCCTACCCACCGACCTGGCCTCGGACGACAGGCCACAGCACATGGTGCATGCCGCGGGGACCGGCCGATGGAGCAGCTGCTGTGCGTCAACAACGCCGGTGAGCAGGCATGCCGAGAAGAGCTCCTGAGCGTGTGCAGAGTGCGTTCCTCCTCCAGGTCCAGAGGCAGCTGCGGGACCGGCTTACAGGGTATTTATATTTTTCAAAATATAGTCCGGCCCCCCACTACAACTCCCACCATCTTGTCCGTTTGATGCTGGGAGTGATTGGAACCGTAGTCCAAAGGACCTGGACAGCCCCCAGTTGTGACTCGCCTTGCGGGATCCAACCCCAGAGGCCTGCTCCCATCCCCATCCCAACCCTCTGGGCTTCCTTTCCAGGACACCTGGGCACAGTTTGTGGTACGTACAGCGAGTTTCAGAAGGCGCTCGATGATTCTGGAATAGTCCATGTCCTGCAAGGGAGAGGAGAGCAAGAGTCAGCTGCAAAATGTCATTGACCCATCCGGGGTGTGGATGGCAGAAAGCACCAAGCCCCTGTGTCTTCTTGGGGGGTGAGCTGTCTGGGCAGCTCTCCTCTGGGACGCTGGCACCCAACACACCTTGCAGACCCCTCCCTTAGTTGCAGGTGCTGAGCACCTAAGAGGCCACCAGGCCAGCCATAAGCTAAGCTGTGGTTTTTTAAAACTCAGAAGCGTATCATTTCTCCCTGCCCACTCTTCCCATTACAGCTCTAAGGGCACGTTGTGGGCCAGTCCTGCTTTCTTGGGGGTGGGGGTGTCCACAAGCAGTTCCCCAGCACCATGGTGGAGAAGGGGGTCCCCAGGGCATGGCTTACCCGAAAAGGCTTCATGGAGTTCTGGATTGTGGGGACCATCCACTGCAACAAGCACACATTAAAATCAGGTTAATAGGGCCCGGGGGCGGGTAAAACCCAGGGGTCATCTAGCCTAGCCCCATAAGATACAACCCAGCTTAGCCTCCTTGGTTTGAGGGAATGTTCTCTGGCCCTGTGGCACAGAAGTCATCATCATGATCTTATTTTTTGTATGCCGCCTTTCCACAGTTTAAAAAACAATGTTCAAGGCAGCTTACAGCATAGCAAGATTTACTTAATTAAAAAAGTCATAAACAATAAATAAGTAAAGGGACCCCTGACCATTAGGTCCAGACTCTGGGGTTGCAGCGCTCATCTCGCTTTATTGGCCGAGGGAGCCGGCGTACAGCTTCTGGGTCATGTGGCCAGCAGGACTAAGCCACTTCTGGCGAACCAGAGCAGCGCACGGAAACGCCGTTCACCTTCCCACCGGAGTGGTACCTATTTATCTACTTGCACTTTGACATGCTTTCGAAATGCTAGGTTGGCAGGAGCAGGGATCGAGCAACGGGAGCTCCCCCCATCGCGGGGATTTGAACTGCTGACCTTCTGATCGGCAAGTCCTAGGCTCTGCGGTTTAACCCACAGCGCCACCCGCATCCCAACAAACAATAAGTAAACTGCATAAAAATAATACACAACCAAATAGGAAACAATTTCCAAACTGGAGGAAAGAAAAGTCACCCTTGTGCAGTATAGAGAACCAACCCCAACTCTGATCACAAGGCAAGGCTGCCCCAACTCCTCCAGCTACTGGGACCCAAAACATACCACCAAGCTCTGAAAAGTCCCTGCTCTGACCCCTACCTAGACAGAAAGGTCTCAGAGCCTCTGAACAGACCCCTCTTCCAACCACCAGCACTATCACCCTTCTTCAGTTCCTGCTCCCCTCTTGGACTTCCAGCACTCGCTGAAGAATTTGTCTTTTTATTCCAACAGGAATTTCCACCAAAGTCTGATCTTAGGTTTAACCATTTTTTACTTTTTCTGCACACCACTCGGGAAGACAATTCCAGCGAAGCGGTATGTCAAATGTTTAAATAAATACCGTATTTTTCGCTCTATAAGACTGACCAGACCATAAGACGCACCTATGTTTTGGATGAGGAAAATAAGAAAAACAAATTCTGAATCCCAGAAGCCAGAACAGCAAGAGGGATCTGGCTTCTGGGATAGCCTCTTGCTGTTCTGGCTTCTGGGACAGCAGCGCGCAGCCTCTCCCGGGCAGCAGGATGAAGGCTCCCCCTGCCCGGAAGAGGCTGCGAGTGGCTAAGCCAGAAGCCAGGACAGCGAGCGGGAAGCCTCAACGCAAAGCCTCCTGAGCGAAGAGGCAGGAGTGCTCCCGCTGTGCTCAAGAGGCTTTGTGTGGCTATCCCTGAAGCCAGGAGAGCAAGAGGGATCAGTGCACACCGATCCCTCTTGCTCTCCTGGCTTCAGCGATAGCTGCGCAGCCTGCATTCGCTCCATAAGACGAACACACATTTCCCCTTACTTTTTAGGAGGGGAAAAGTGCGTCTTATAGAGCAAAAAATACAGTAATAACGTAACAAGCTTCCATCTAGGCAGATCAGCTTCAGCCCACATGCAGCATCCCTGCAGAACTGCCAAGTCAGGCAGATGTTCAATGGGAGTGTTCCAGTACCTCCAAACGGTTTTAGCAGTTGAATCAGGGAAGGTGGCAACCATCTCTGCACCCCTTCCCGTCCTTGGCCTCCCGTGTCTGCTGCAGCATCTTGTTTGCCCCCCAACTCTGCACCAGACACTCCAGAAGGGGGCACAGGGCAGCTCCTGGCCACTTCTAGACTGGAACCAGAGAGAGCCTGTGGTCTCCTTTAGGCACCCTGCCCAGGTGGTGCTCTCTGGCCAGACCCCCTGCCATGCCCTGTGCTTCAAAGGTGCCAGCAGCAGGTACAGAGTAAGCCCCACCTGCCCCCACTTACCTGCTGAATCAGCCCCACCATCAGCTGGAGGAAGAAGAGCTGGAAAAGGGGGGAGAAAAAGAAGAGGCCAGGAGTGAGACACCATCAACACGAGAACTCATGAATGTCCAAGGAAGCGGGAGGCTGGAAGGTTCGGGTCAGGTGCAGGAAAGTCCTTTTCTCTCTCGTTAATCTATGGAACTTACGCCTGCAGGCGGCAGGACGGCCACCAAACTGGAAGACTTTAAAAGCCGGATCGGACACATGGATGGAAGAGGGAGACAGTCGATGGCTGCTAGCCAGGAGGGGACAGTGGCATATTTTTTAAAAAATCATTTTTATTGATTTTCCAATAAAAAACATCCAATTAAATATCTAATCATAATACTTCAATTAAAAAACTAAAAAAAAAGATGAAATTATAGTTCAAATTATATTTATTAATTTCTTGGGGCACCCCACGGTCTGGATCTCTGGAGCATATCTCCACATCTTAGTCCTGCTTCTCCGTGGCATAATAAATAATAATAATAATGCCAGGAGGGAACAGTGGCATAATATTTATTTATTTATTTATTTATTTATTTATTTATTTATTAATTATACCCCGCCCATCTGGCTGGGTTTCCCCAGCCACTCTGGGAGGCTTCCAAGAGAATATCAAAAGCACAATAAAACATCAAACATTAAAAACTTCCCTAAACAGGGCTTCCCAAAACAGGGTGTTGCGCTCATGTTGTGCTTGCAGGTTTCCCATAATAATTCGAACTGCCGACCTTCTGATCGGCAAGTCCTAGGCTCTGTGGTTTAACCCACAGCGCAGATGAGCCATTAACCTGATCCAGCAGGGGTCTCTTTATGTTCCTATCGGCAGCTCCGCCGGCAGCCAGGCAGGATGGGCCCTACACCCAGCCTCCAGGCCAAAACTCTTTCCCACAACCTTGCAGGCCTTCCAAGACCCTGAGCCTTCCTTGCTAGAGGTTCCCACCCCCTCCCTACGGCCCCAACACTTCACTGGGTGCGTTCCCGACCCCTCCAATATGACAGGGGAGGCAGGCAGAGTCTTCTTGGCGTGGGGGGGGGGTCCTTAGGTGTGCGCAACTTGCGCTAAATATTCAGCCACCGTCACGGGGACTCGCAGCCGGCTTCCCCCATGTTCGACTCAAAGGGAAGATTCCCCAAATTTGAAAGTACAGTGGTACCTCTGGATGCGAACGGGATCCATTCCAGAGCCCTGTTCGCATCCTGAGTAAAATGTAAGACGCGACTGCGCATGCACAAGTTTTACCGCTTCCGTGCATGCACATGACATCATTTTTAGCATCTGTGCATGCGCAAGCGGCAAAACCCAGAAGTAACGCGCTCCGTTACTTCCAGGTCGCCGCGGAGCGTAACTTGAAAATGCTCAGCCTGAAGCACATTTAACCCAAGGTATGACTGTATTATAGCCTTCATTGCCTTGCAAAGGGGGTGGGGAGCTGGGGGTGGGCAGGGGGCAACGAAGACGGGTCGCCTCCAGACCCAGGGCAGGGGGGTCTCACCATCTCAGCCAGCCTGCGCAGCAGAAAGCGCTTGCGGACGCGAGGAGAGCGCGGGAAGTTCAGCTCGTAGCACAAGGTCGGTGCGAAGAGGAAGTAGTAAAGGTCTGCCGTGGAAATAGAAGGAGAGGCGCGTTAAGGGCAGGGGCATCAAACAGGAGCTGGCCTCTCCCTTTGGGAAAAGGACTGCAGCTCAGGCACAGAGAAAGCGTGTTGCGTGCAGAATACCCCGGCCCCAACCCACCCACCCCCTCCAACAGCATCTCCCCAGGCAAGCAAGGCTGGGGGAAGTTGGATGCCTGAAATCCTGGAGAGCCGCTGCTGCCGGTCAGTGCAGGGAACACTGCCCTAGATGGGCCAATGGTCTGACTCCAAACAAGGCAGCTTCCCCTGTTCCCCAATGTGGGGGGTAGGGAGCAGAAGAATCCCAGGGGACCTTTGACCTCGGAGCCATCACACTCCATAGAATCATAGAATCATAGAGTTGGAAGAGACCACAAGGGCCATCGAGTCCAACCCTCCAGGGGAAGGCAAGTGCCACAAAGCCTCCCAGAGGAAGGGGGGGTGTCAGGAGTGTCAGCCCCAGGATGGCGTCGCCGCAGATCCCCCCAACCCTGCCAGAGCTACAGGGAACCGCCCGCCAACCAGGTCTTGCCTGGCCACGTTACCTCTATAGGTCAGGTTCGCTGGGTAAGCCACGGCCCCCGAGGCCACGTTCCCATTGGCCTTCTGCGACCCGGCAGCTGGAATAGACAATGAAGGGCATCAGTCAGAGGACACAGGTCAGAGAATGGCAGCGTTGGAAGGAACCCCAAAGGTCATCCAGAACAACCCCCTGCGAGGCAGGAATCTTGGGCCCAACATGGGACTTGAACCCACGACCCCGAGATTCAGAGTCTCCTGCTCTACCAGCTGAGCTACCCACAGTCGTTGCCTTATTCCTGCATTGGGGGGAGCGGGTTGGACTAGATGACCCTTGGGGTCCCTCAGACCAGAAGTCAACTCAGACCATAAAGATGCACATAAAAGGACATTAGAATGGAAGAGGAGCCAGCTGGATGAGGTCAAAAGGGGCCCAACCAGTCCAGCATCCTCTTCTATACAAAACAACAAACCCGTGTTGCAAACTTAACACAACAAACGATACAAGCAACACAAAGACCAGTATACTAGATGGCACTGCAATTCTTATTGCATGATATACATGATTTAGTACAACAACAACAAAAAATGTGTACACTTGTAAATTCTCTAATACAGGTGAAACTCGGAAAATTAGAATATAGCAGAAAATTCATTTATTTCAGTAATTCAACTTAAAAGGTGAAACTAATATATGAGACAGACTCATGACATGCAAAGCGAGATATGTCGAGCCTTTATTTGTTATCATTGTGATGATCATGGCGTACAGCTGATGAAAAACCCCAATTAACAATCTCAGAAAATTAGAATATGAAATCAAATCAGCAAAACAAGGATTGCAAATAGAGCAATATTGGACCTCTGAGAAGCATGGGCATTGAACCAGGTTTTGGTACTTTTGGCAGTGTGGGCAGGTGCCGGATAACATACATACATATCCTCATGACCACTGCTCTATGTGCATTTTTCTAATCTATGGGTTGTGCTAAGAAGATTCCAGCAAACAATCAGATTATCCGGGATCACTGTCCTACGTTGTTATTCACTTACTACTTTGGCACCATGAACGCCTAAATTTTTTTTACCCCTTAGCCCACAGGATAGCATCTATTACTTTGTTTCAACTATAGACTTCTTATACTTCTACAGACTTTCAAAGATTTACAGACGTGTGTTCATTTGATTTCAAATATATAAGAGAATTTACAAGTGTACACATTTTTTTGTTGTACTAAATCATGTATATCATGCAATAAGAATTGCAGTGCTATCTAGCGTTCTGGTCTTCGTGTTGCCAGCATCCTCTTCTGGCAGCGGCCAACCAGATGCCCCCATGGGAAACTGGCGCACAGGACCCGAGTCCCTCCTGTGGCTTCCAGAAGCTTGTATCAGGAGCCTTGTGGCCTCCAAGAGAGGAGGAACAGCCTAGCCAGCCTGGCTTGTAGCCACGGACACTCCTCTCCTCCTCCATGAATTTGTCCAACCCTCTTTCAAAGCCCCAGTTGGCACTCGGGGGCAGGAAGGGTCTCAGGTACCCCCACCAGGCCTGGCTCCCCCCCCCCCATATCCCCAAAGTCAGAGCTCACCGGAGCGGGTTCGGGCGGCCTTGGCTTGCCTCTTCTCCCGGCACCACATGTTGACATCCTTGAAGGAGAAGAGCTTGAGGAAAAGGATGGTGTGGACGCTCAGAGCAAAGACGGCCCCAACTGCGGAGGGAGGAGAGAAGCAGGTGAGTGAGAGACGCAGCACGCAGCCCCAGAGGAGACAGGAAGGGGGTGAAGCCAGCCTGACTCCCTGATGTTGCAGGAATTTATGTATAGGTTCGGGGGGGGGGGTTGCCCCTCCATCAGATATCGTGCACATGCAGCCCACTACCAAAATCAGCACAATCGCTTTTGTGATTTGTCCCCAAAACACTTCATCACAGTTCCTTCCTATCTATGCAAAGGGCCTTTGCGGCACAACACCAAATGTAAGAATTCACTGATAAATGTATCTCTGTACTGGCTCCCTGGGAAAACTTCAGAAATTCATACAGACATGTGAGCTCAGCTACCCAGCAGCCCCTCTGCCTGAGTGATAATCCCTGGCATCCTGGTACCTGAGGGCCAAGACAGGTAGCCATTCCAGAAATACCAAACCCAGATGAAGACAAAAGGGTGTGATTAACTTGGCTGGGAAACAGGGAAATGTAAATATCTATTTTGTTTCACTTGATGGGTGTTTGGTGGAGGGCAAGGAGAACCATGGGGCAGGGTCCAGGATGCTCAGATTACTGCCACCAGACCTCCCCTTTCATGATGTAACCGGGATGTATGAGTGATGTAGTTTGGGGGGGTGTAACATGGGAATTAGCAGGTAATAAAATTTTGGGTCCTCTTTTGTTTGGGGCTTCCATCTTATTCCACGTTGTGGCAGGTGGGAGTCCTGTCGCGACAGTCTTCAATCAAGACCAAGCCTACTGGCTGCTGTTTTGCCCTGGTATTCCTGGGCTGGTGTCCTTGTTTTTTTGTCCAAGAGAGCCCTCAGATTTCTCCGTTAACACTGACCAATGCCCATGGAAAAGAGGTAGCTCTTCTCAAAGGCTACTTTGAGGGGGGAGACAGGACAAGGTGACTTTGTGCGCCAGCATCTTCTTAGCAAGGAGAGATCAGAAACCTCCCAGCTCACCGCCCACCTCTGCCTGGACAGCAAGCGGTAGGGCGGGGCAAGAGAGCGATACATCACCCCAAACCAGTTTGAAGCCCGTTTTGTGATATCGGTTCCATAATTTTTGACCTGGTGATATATCGCGAATCATGACATGTGTGTGTCTGCGCGTGCGCTATCCAAAATCACGATGTGGAGAAAATTGTGAAGCCAGGCAATGCCTCTCTGTAGCTCCAACCTTATTTCAGACATGTGGGAAAGCTGCTTTTCAAATCAAGGGCCGCATTCCCTTCAAAGCAACCTCCTGGGGGCCAGATGTGAGAGGCGGGTGGGACGGACCAGGCAAAAGGGGGTGGGACGTCAAATTCAGATGCTGATTCTGCACAATAGGCTAGTTACGCAGAGAGAGAGAAGAAACGTACGCCTCTCCTGCATCCGGCCCCCCAGGCCTGAGGCTTCCCACCCCCAATCTAGGGGCCCTGCCACCCAGGAACCCACACCAGAAAGCCGCCTTTTCAGAGCAAGTGGACAACTCACCTGGCGTGATGGAGGTGACAGCAAGAGTCACCAGCGCAGGGAAGCATAAGATTGTCAGGAGGTTAACGGTGTGCAGGACGGCCCCAAGGTGCTCCGACATAGAGCCCTGCGGAAGGAAGGGAAACAGGGGGAATGCTCTATGGCCACCTTAAGCGCTACCTGCCCACCCCTAAAAGGGGGGCCTGTTGTTGTTATTATTATTTCAATTTATATACCTCCCATTATCAAGAGATATCAGGGTGTTGTAAACCAGGACTCAAGGCAGCTTAAACAAATTAATATGATGCAGATACAAAGCTGAAAGCATTATCAGCTGTAACAGTCAAAAGGGGAATTAAACTCTAATAGCATTAAAACAGTATATATATATATACACACATATATATAATATTTTATATATATATGTATACACACACACACACACAAAAATTATATATATGTGAATGTATATGTGTATATATATACGTACTGGTAATAAAAACAGCGCAGCACTATGACAAGCGCTTCCTTAAAAAGAAGAACAGTCAGTTCCCAAAGGAAAACACGGTCTTCACCGGCCAGCAGGAGGACAAGGAGGGAGCCAGTCTGGCTTCTCTAGGAAAGGACTTCCAAAGTTGTCTTGGAGGAGCCACCACCGAGAAGGCCCTCTCCTGCGCCCCCACCCAGCATGCCCGTGAGGGTGGCAGAACAGAGAAGGGCCTCCCCTGAAGATCTCAGAGCCCGGGCAGGTCGGTGTGGCTGAACACGATCCTTCAGATAGCCTGAGCCTAAGCCCTAAAGAGAGCCCGCTTCGCAAGGGATCCCAGCCTGCCCCCCCAAAGCACACTTACCGCCGCCAGCCTCTTCTCAATGTGCAGAGCTGCCAGAGCGAACACATTGGCCACTGGGGGGAAAGCAGATGTTGGCAATCATTGCTGGGCAGTGCAGGCAACCAGGAACAAGGATTTGGGTCCCTGTTCTCAGCCAGCCCAGGAATTTGCAAGCCTGCAGGTTGGAAGGGACCCAAGGCTCATCTAGCAGAACCCCAGAAAGGCACTCCCACCCATTCATCCCCCGGCACCTCCAACCCCTCTTTCTCTCTCATGCACACGCATTGCCTCACTCAAGAGCCCTGATCTGAACGGTGCAGGAGACCGGCAGCACCAGGGACCCAAAAGCTGCAGGACACAGAGGCCGCGAGGAGTATTGTAAGCAAGAAGCTCTTCAAGAGGTGCAAGTGGAAGGAGCCAAGCGGAGACCAGGCGTCTGCTGGGTGTGCAGAGAAATTCAAGACAAATGCCAAGATCACTTGACTCACCGATAATAAGGCACAGGGCAGGCCAGCTGTAGGGGTCTTTCAGGAACAGGGAGATGACCTGGATGGGGTCCACCAAGATGCCGTACCTGAGGAGGGAAGGAGCACATGGTCAGAGGCACGCTCTCCTCCATCCCAGTCGGACAATGCAGACCCAGGAAGGAGGCAGCTTGGGTGAGAAAGCTGCAGCCCTTTGTTCCACACCCCTATGGGAGGACTTGCTTGATGCAGAAGGCCTTCTCCTGTCTGCTGGCTCCATGTCCTTTGGGAGAAGGGCAGGACGACGGGAGGCATTTGGCTTCCCAGTGTTAACGGAGGAATCTGAGGGCTCCCTTGGGCAAAAAACAAAGACACCAACCAGGACAATTTGAAGCAAAACAGCAGCCTGTAGGCTTGGTCTTGATTGAAGACTGTCGCGACAGGACTTCCACCTGCCACCAGGTGGAACAAGATGGAAGCCCCGAACAAAAGAAGACCCCAACTTTTATTAGCTACTAATCCCCCAAGCTACACCCCTAGAACTACATCACAACTACATCATGACCACATCATTGACACATCACAAAAAGGAGGGGTTGAGGGAGGGGTTGTGGAAATAACCTGAGTATTTTGTCACCTGGCTTGTTCCTCCTTTTCCCCTCCCCATGAGTCATTTCCATAGGACAAAGGGGAGTTGGCAGTTTCCTGCCCCCAGAGGGAAGAGCTGATCATTGTCCTTTGTTCCAGTCTGTGTTGAATCCACTCCCATATGCAAGTCCCTTGTGTCCTTGATGGTCTTCTGTCTGGGACCCTCAAGGTTGCCATGCCAACTGGGCAGGGCTCCTGAGTACGTGTTGGTAGGGTTAAGGGATTATGGCTGTCCTGTATCAAACCATCCCCCTTTGATAGTCCTTCCTTCATGGAGCAAAATAAAAGTGGACTGGTGTAAATCCAATGTACGGTTGATTTACTATGAATTTATAACAGAAACGCCGCATATGTCGTGTGTGAGTGTGTGTGTGTGTCGTGTTTGTACAAACTGAATGATGGGGGGGCGGGTTTCCTGCAACACCAGGGGATGTGCTGGGCAGTCAAGCTGCGCATTGACAAGGAGGCACTCTCAGGATCAAGCCACCCCAGGCCCAGGGATACCCCACTTGGGGAGGGAGAAACTAGAAGCTCTATTTGCAGTTCTTGTTTTGCTGATTTCATTTAATATTCTAATTTTCTGAGATTGTTAATTTGGGGTTTTCATCAGCTGTATGAAATAATCATCACAATTATAACAAATAAAGGCTTGACATATCTCACTTTGCATGTCATGAGTCTATCTCATATATTAGTTTCACCTTTTAAGTTGAATTACTGAAATAAATGAACTTTTCCACGATATTCTTATTTTCCGAGTTTCACCTGTAAATGATCTCTGGCAGATGGTCACCCAAGCTCTGCTTAAAAACCTCCAAGGGAGGAGAGTCAGCCATCTCTCCCAAGGTCATCTTCTGCGCTGCTGAATGGCTCTTGCCCTCATAAAGTTCCTCCTAATGTTTAGTTGGCACCTCCTTGTCCCTTGAAGGTCCGACTCACAGAGGGTGCCTTCCTATGTCCCTGCACTGTCTGGCAACCATGGCTCTCTCCCAGTCCTGCCTGGAGATGCTGAGGATTGAAGCAGCGACCTTCTGCAAGCCAAGCAGGTGCTCTGCCCTTGAGCTGCAGCCCTCCCCTCCTCTCCCCCCCCCAAGGCCCCAGGATCTGCCCTCCTCCTTGCTGCTTCTGAGAGCAACAAGAGACAGGTCCCCAAAGCAGGCGTAGGCAAACTCTGGCCCTCCAGATGTTTGGGACTAATAATAATAATAATACTTTTTATTTATACCCCGCCCTCCCCAGCCAAGGTCGGGCTCAGGGCAGCTAACAAGCAAAGTTGAATGACTACAACTTAAAAACAAGATTAAAATACAAGAATTAAAATATTGAAACATTAAAATATTAAAATGCAGCCTCATCACAGGAGGAGAAAGGAAAAAGAAAAGAGGGGGAGGGAATCAAATTGGCTTCAAGCCAAAGGCCAGGCGGAATATCTCTGTCTTACAGGCCCTGCGGAAGGAAATCAGATCCTGCAGGGCCCTGGTTTCATGAGGCAGAGTGTTCCACCAGGCCAGGGCCAGTGCCGAAAAGGCCCTGGCTCTGGTTGAAGCCAATCTAACGTCCTTAGGACCCGGGACCACTAGGGTGTTGCTAATTATGGACCTTGAGGCTCTCCATGGGGCATACCGGGAGAGGCGGTCCCATAGGTACGAGGGTCCTAGGCCGTGAAGGGCTTTAAAGGTCAAAAGCAGCACCTTGAACCTGACCCTGTACTCCACCGGGAGCCAGTGCGGCTGGAAAAGCACTGGGTGAATATGCTCCCATGGCAGAGACCCCGTGAGGAGCCTCGCTGCAGCATTCTGCACCCGCTGGAGTTTCTGGGACAGCTTCAAGGGCAGCCCCGCGCGGAGCATAACCACTGGTCCTGTTAGCTAGGGATGATGGGAATTGTAGTCCCAAACATCTGGTGGACCGGAGCTTGCCTATGCCTGCCCCCAAAGGCAGCCTGTCACATCCACTCTGATCTGCTATGGTAGAATTGTGGCATCCCAGGTGAGGTCTCTCCACTGCTGCCAGCCCCCCACCCCAACCGAAGAGGAGCGCAAGACTTACTTGATGAGGTTCTCTAGGAAGAGGCGAGCATTGCTCAAGACCTGGAAGACAAGAAAGGGTAGAAGTGAGCAGCAGCTCCCGCAGGAAATGCCAACCCCAACCCCTTTCCTTCCAATCCCAATCTCAAAAACCAGCCATAACTGTCTCTCGATAGCCAGCAGGCGCCTTCAGCGCAGAATTTCTGCTAAAACTTTCCTGTTCAGACAAGCCTGCCCACATGCTTAGAAATGCTGGAGGGAATTATAATCTGATTTAGTGTTTTAACTTATTGCACGTGTTGTTTTTTTTTATAAGATATTTATTCCAATTTTAAAATTACAAAGAAAGAAAAAACCATACAAAATAGAATAAGCATATAACAAAAAACAGACAATAAGAAAAACTCAACAAAAAGTATACAAATACATTACAATAAAATAAAACAAAAATCAAGTTAAACCTTTACAGCCTTTTTTCCTTTACTTATTTCCGTGACCTCCTCTCGCCTCCCTGCTTTGTATTCTAGTTTAATTTGTATTTCCAGCAAATCCTTCTAGCCTTCTTTTCATTTACTTATTTTAACGTTCAATAATATAGTTAAACCTCCTCTGTCCTCAATTTCTATACTTCATTTTTACTTAATCCATTATATCATGTCTGCCAAAACGGCCTAATATTCTTTTTCCAACCTCTTTCTAACATTCTTTTATGTTACAGTCTTTCTGAAGATATATTTTAAATTTTTTCCAATCTTCTTCCATCGACCCTTCTCCCTGGTCTCGAATTCTGCCGGTCATCTCAGCCAGTTCCATATAGTCCATCACTTTCATCTGCCATTCTTCTCGGGTAGGCAATTCTTGTGTCTTCCAGTATTTCCCAATGAGTATTCTTGCTGCTGCTGTCGCATACATGAAAAAAGTTCTATCTTCCCTTCGCACCAATTGGCCGACCATGCCCAAGAGGAAGGCCTCTGGTTTCTTTAGGAAAGTATATTTCAATACCTTTTTAATTCATTATATATCATTTCCAGAAGGCCTTGATCTTTGGGCACGTCCACCAAAGGTGAAAGAAAGTACCTTCGCTTTCTTTACATTTCCAACATTTATTATCGGGCAAATGATAGATTTTTGCTAGCTTGACTGGGGTTAAGTACCACCTATAAATCATTTTCATTATATTTTCTCTTAAGGCATTGCAAGCCGTAAATTTCATACCTGTGGTCCATAACAGTTCCCAGTCTTAACTTATTGCACATTTTAATGTATTGCAATTCTCGCCCCCACCCCCAATTTTTATGGCTTTATCTTTTCTGTAAACCGCTTGGAGGTGATTAAATTTTGTGAAATAAATAAGGATACAAATGAGAAAATGCAATGCAATGGGAGGCTGGTCTCAGGCCCTTCCCTCCCCCAGCACTAAAGAGGATTCTGCGGGACTGATCACTTTGGGAGGGGAGCAACTGGGGGCAACAGAGCTACAATTCTGGCAACTGGTCAGGCAGCTTAGAGAGCTGTTTGTAATAGTTTTTAATATTGTAAATATCGTAAATCTTGTAATATTTCTACATTTCCAGGTTTTTGTATTATTTTTTCCCCTTTCCTTCCTAACTCATTTAATATTTCCAATATTAAATATTTTCCAATTTTCCAATATTAATATTTTCCAATTTTTTACTTTCTTCCGACTTCCTCAGATACGCATTCTGTTGTATTAGTAAGCCCCTAGGACTGCCTTGCTTCTGTCCCAGACCCCTTTCTCATCCACCCCTTGATTGAGGTCAAACTCAAAATACTCTTTAATTATTATTTTTACCTTCCTCTACTATTTCTTTGTTTAATCTCCATTCTGCAATGTCAGCTCACCTCCTTATGGAAGTTCTCAATGTTCTCAAGAAAATTGGCTTCCAGGTGGAAAAATCAAAACTAGAAACAGAACTGTTAGAACCCAAAACTAAGAACTTGTCAAGAATGTATAACTTGCTGTTGAAATGGAATACTCAGGATGAAACGGTGAAATCTGCTATGATTAAATGGGCACAAGATGTTGGACATAATATTATGTTTGCTGACTGGGAACAGTTATGGACCACAGGTATGAAGTTTACGGCATGTAATGCCCTAAGAGAGAATATTATGAAAATGATATACAGGTGGTACATGACCCCAGTCAAGCTTGCAAAAATCTATCATTTGCCCGATAATAAATGCTGGAAATGTAAAGAAACTGAAGGTACATTCTTTCACCTTTGGTGGACGTGCCCAAGGATTAAGGCTTTCTGGGAAATGATATATAATGAACTGAAAAAGGTATTTAAATATACCTTCCCGAAGAAACCAGAGGCCTATCTTCTGGGCATTGTCGGCCAATTGGTGCTAAAGAAGGACAGAACTTTTTTTATGTATGCTACAACAGCAGCAAGAATACTAATTGCAAAGTATTGGAAGACACAAGATCTACCCACTTTGGAAGAATGGCAGATGAAGGTGATGGACTATATGGAATTGGCAGAAATGACTGGCAGAATCCGAGACCAGGGGGAAGAGTTGGTGGAAGAAGATTGGAAGAAATTTAAAGACTATTTACAGAAATATTGTAAAATTAATGAATGATAGAATGATGTTGGATAGTAATTAAGCGGTTTCTAGCTGTAATGCTTTAAGAGAATATGAAAAAAAGGGATATAAATGGGTTAAAATCTAATGGAAAGGATTTGCTGACCCAATAAATCGAAGTGGAATACAAAAAAGGGAGGTACGAGGAGGTCCAGGAAACAAGCTAAAGGAAAATAAGTAACTGAAAATATGTATGTTTTTAACTGTTTTTATTTTGTATTTTTCTTTTTTCTTTTTCTTTTCTATTGTAATATTTTTAAAAAAACCTTAATAAATATCTTATTAAAAAAAAAAAAAAGAAAGTTCTCAATGTTCTGCTGTTTTTATATTTTATTGGAAGCCGTCCAGAGTGCCAGAAGAACAGGATAAAATTAATTAACTTGATATCATCATTATTTTGCTGTGGGATGGGCAGCAGGACAAGCCACGCTGTCTTGCCACACGCCTTCCCGCCCGTGTGGGCGAGTTTCACCCTGAGCAGTTGCTACAGAGGAGGACAAGGAAAGAGATGGAAAGATAGCGAGGCATGTTGCTAAACCACAAGCCTGCCTGCTGCCTGATTTCCCAATCGAGGGTGAGCAGGGTTATGTCCAGGGAGCAAAGGTCGTGGGGAGCAAAGGTGGAAGGGACTCCGCAGGGGGCCCCTCTTCCTCTTTCAACACCACCCTCCTGCTGCGTTCTTGAGCTCACCTCTCCTCCACTGGGGACAGACGGACCGAAGGGAGCTTAAACAACATCTGGGCTGCCTTGGAGGAAAAAGGGAGCATTTCTTCCACCCAGCCCACCCTTAGCATGGCATGAAGGGCAAGGAAGTGTTCTCCACCCTGTCTAGCACCCCACAACAAGGAGGGGGCACAGCAGGAGGGATCAGGCCCACTAGTCACAGTTTTCCCCTTAGGAAGTAGGGGGGTGGTACTTCAGCAAAGGGGAAGCTGGATAGGGATGGGGATGCACAGGCTGCAGTTCAAAGTGCGGGGCCTTTTCGGGATTGGCCCCTGACATGCTGGCTCCAGCTGAACCCAAAGCAGAAAGCTTTGGGGGTTGAAACTGGAAAGCCCCCTACACAAAGAGGGTAAGTGGAGTTGCAGGGTAGGAGAGAACAGGCACTGGAAGCTAATTTTCCATAAACATCCCAGTCTGGAAGTTGAGCTTTTCCTGGAAGCGTCACATAGCTTTCTATCCTGGCAGGGCAGGGCAGCCTCAGAGTGGAGCCCAGTGGCTAGGGGGCCAGAGAGCGCTTTGGGGTACGTGCCAGTTGCTGCCATCGCCTCTCCTCGCCTGGGCAGCAGGAGCAGAGCCAGCCAAGCACCGAGGCCGCCCCCCACCCAAGAGTGTTGCAGGAGGAGAATCAAAGCAAAGGGCCTTCTGGCGGTTCCCTTGCTGCGAGAAAGGAAGTTACAGGGAACCAGGCAGAGGGCCTTCTCGGTGGTGGCGCCCGCCCTGTGGAATGCCCTTCCACCAGATGTCAAAGAGAACAACAACTACCAGACTTTTAGAAGACATCTGAAGGCAGCCCTGTTTAGGGAAGCTGTTAATGTTTAATAGGTTATTGTATTTGAGTTTTCTGTTGGAAGCTGTCCAGAGTGACTGGCGAAACCCAGCCAGATGGGTGGGGTATAAATAATTATTATTATTATTATTATTATTATTATTATTACTACTATTTCTACTACTACTACAGAGAGGCTGCCCGTCTTTCTCTCCAAGTCCTGCCTACTCAGTTTCACAGACTAATTCCAGGCTTCGCCAAGGCCTCTGTGCACCTTGGCAGGACCAGTTTCTGCTGGGGCTGCTTCTTACCCAGACAACCCAGCCAGATGGGCAGGGCATAAACAAAAAAATTGTAAGTATTACTGTTATTATTAGAGGGACGTATTGGACCAGACTACCCTGTTTCCATCGCAACACCAAGTGCTCTGGGTAGCCCACAAAGTCAGCATGAAGGCAGAGACAGGCATCCCTCAGGCATGTGTGTGCGTGTGCCCCAGCACCTCATATTCACAGGTACACTGCTTCTGAACTTGGAGGCTCTCTTCAGATGGATGGAGCATGCCTCCACTGACTTGATTGCTTGATTACCTGAAGGAGTGTCTCCACCCCCATCGTTCTGCCCAGACACTGAGGTCCAGCTCAGAGGGCCTTCTGGTGGGTCTCTCACTGCGAGAAGCAAAGCTACAGGGAACCAGGCAGAGGGCCTTCTCGGTGGTGGCGCCAGCCCTGTGGAACGCCCTGCCATCAGATGTCAAAGAGATAAACAACTACCTGACATCTGAAGGCTTTTAATGTGTGACATTTTAATGTATTTTTAATCTTTGTTGGAAGCCGCCCAGAGTGGCTGGGGAGACCCAGCCAGATGGGCGGGGTACAAATAAATTATTATTATTATTAAAGCTCAGACCCCACACTAGCCAAGAGTTAAGCAGCCAGAAGAAGGAGGGTTATCTCGCCCCATGATTTGTTCAAGCATTTTGCCCAGGCTGATTAAGGCCTCCTCCCACAGCAAAGGCACGCAGTTTCACTTCACTTTTTGCAAGAAGTGAGGTTACAGGGAACGCAGGCAGAAGGCCTTCTCGGTAGTGGCACCCGCCCTGTGGAACGCCCTACCTTTAGATGTGAAGGAAATAAGCAGCTATCTTATCTTTAAAGACATCTGAAGGCAGCCTTGTTCATGGAAGTTTTTAATACGTAATGCTGTATTGTTTTTGACACTCAAGTGGAACACTCAGAGTGGCTTGGGAAACTCAGCCAGATGGGCGGGGTATAAATAATAATTATTATTATTAATTATTATCATTATCATTATTAAAGCTCAGACCCCATGCTAGCCAAGAGTTAAGCAGCCAGAAGAAGGAGGGTTATCTCGCCCCATGATTTGTTCAAGCATTTTGCTCAGGCTGCTTAAGGCCTCCTCCCCCAGCACGCAGCTTCACTTCACTTTTTGCGAGAAGTGAGGTTACAGGGAACGCAGGCAGAGGGCCTTCTCGGTAGTGGCGCCCGCCCTGTGGAACGCCCTCCCTTCAGATGTGAAGGAAATAAGCAGCTATCTTATCTTTAAAAGACATCTGAAGGCAGCCCTGTTTAGGGAAGTTTTTAATACTTAATGCTGTATTGTTTTTCACACTTGAGTGGGAGCCGCCCAGAGTGGCTGGGGAAACTCAGCCAGATGGGCGGGGTATAAATTTATTATTATTATCATTATTATTACCCCAGGAGCCAGCATCCTGGGACCAGATTGCCAGGCTATCGACACCACAATAGCCCTTCTGTGCCATCAGGGACGGCCACAACGGCCTCCTTGCCCCTGGAGTGTGTCTGTCTGCCTGGCTCCCGGCCAGCTCCTCTGCAGGGAAGGGATCCGGGTGCCTCTGTCTGGGGATTGGCAGCTGCTGCTGTTGCTGCCGCTGGGAGGCTCAAGAGGGCAGAGGTGCTGCAAGAGACCTGGCACGAGGTGCCAAGCAGCCTCAAGGCAGGAGGGCAAGGGCAGAGGGGCAAACTCTTGCTACTCACCAGCATGACAACACACCAGTTCAATATACCCCGGTAGTTGCTGTAGCCACTGGCTGAGCTCAGCAGGGAATCCTGAAGTCTGTGGCATCTGGGAGGGAAGGAGGAAGAAAGGAAGGATGGAGAGGTTAGAGGAAGCAGGGGCAGAAGCAGGCCGGCCCTAGACGCAGGCAGGGAGAAGAGGTTAATGCACAGCCACATTCGCACCCCAAAGCACTCATGCCCAAAACCTTCTGTGGCTTCTCCCCAGTGCTGACTGGGGCGGATGGGCATTGGGAGTCAAAGCATCTGGGAGGCACCAGGGGTTTTGCAGAGGGGGCGCTGCTCCACAGGAGGCGGCGAGGGCCACCAACTTGGGAGGGCTTCAAAAGGAGGTTAGACCAGTTCATGGAGCAGAGGCTGTGGACCTCTCCTTCCTTGGAGGTTTTTCAGCAGAGGCTTGATTGCCACCTGTCATGGATGCTTCAGCCGAGATTCTTGCATCGCAGGGGGTTGCAATGTTCCAGAGCTGGGCGATATACCGTATTGGCCCGAATATACGCCGCACCTTTAAAATTGGGGGGGAGAGGAAAAAAGACAATACCCGAATATAAGCCGCTCCCTTAAAATTCCGCAGGCACTCTCACCCATTCCATTTTACCGTATGTCCGTTTCAGAAGCGATATCGCAAAAGCCAATTTTTGTAAGGTCGCAAATTTAAGCCGCCGTTTAACTTTTCACGGTCAGAATTTGGGGGAGAAAGTGAGGCTTATATTCAGGCCAATGCAGTATCATCCAAAAAACTGGTTTGAAGTCCATATCATGATATTGGTTGCATAATTTTTGACCTGGCAATATATCACAAATCATGATACGTGTGTGCAGAAATCACAAGTGGGGGGGGGGACCATGAGTGCCTCTACAGAGCTCCATCCTTACTTCAGACATTGTGAGATATTGTTGGAAGCCGCCCAGAGTGGCTGGGGTTACCCAGTCAGATGTGTAGCATAGAAATAATAAATTTTAGTCATATTATCATTATTCTATCAGTACATCACAATGCTTATAGCTGGTGATACCTCGGTTTAAGAACAGTTCTGTTTAAGAACGATTCGGTTTACGAACTCCGCCAAACCGGAAATACTGTCCCGGTTTGAGAACTTTACCTCGGTCCAAGAACAGAATCCGAACGGTGGACTGGCACCAGGAGTAGGAGGTCTCATTAGGGAAAGCGCGCCTCAGTTTAAGAATGGTTTTGGTTTAAGAACGGACTTCCGGGACGGATTAAGCTCCTAAACCAAGGTACCACTGTATATCACAATGCTTGGAAAGCAGGTGTTGCCCAGCCCTAGTTGCTTCCAACTCAGATTCTATGACTGGGCTCTCAATAACTATTATCCAGAGAAGCTGTGCTCTGCCCTCGCAGTCGCTGAAAACCTTGAGAGGGGAAGGGGCTCTTGTGCTTGGATCCTGCCTGAGGATTTCCCGTGGGGGCACCTGGTTGGCCACTGAGTTCAGGATCCTGGACTAATAATAATAATAATAATAAGTTTTATTTATACCCTGCCCTCCCTGGCCAGAGCCGGGCTCAGGGTAGCTAACATCAATAAAATTTCAATAAAAACGTACCGTATTTTTCGCCCTATAGGACGCACTTTTCCCCTCCAAAAATGAAGGGGAAATGTGTGTGCGTCCTATGGGGCGAATGCAGGCTTTCGCTGAAGCCTGGAGAATGAGAGGGGTCAGTGTGCACCGACCCCTCTCGCTCTCCAGGCTTCAGGAAACTCTCCGCAAGCCTTGGGAGCCCGCGGGAGTTCCCGTCGGGCTCCCCTAGGCTTGCGGATAGCAACCTGCATCTCGAAGCCCGGGACACGCTGCACAGCGCGCCCCGGGCTTCGGTTCCCCGACCTGGTTTGGAGGCTGGCGGTGGGGAGAAGCGCGCTTCTACCTGCCGTCAGCCCCACAAGCTCGGGGGACAGCGGGGAGGCGGAACGCCGCCATCCCACTGTCCCCCAACCTGGTTTGGAGGCTGGCGGCGGGGAGAAGCGCCTCTTCGTGACCCCCTGGACCAGAGCACGCCAGGCACTCCTGTGTTCCACTGCCTCCCACAGTTTGCTCAAACTCATGTTGGTAGCTTCGAGAACACTATCCAACCATCTCGTGTCCATGGAGTTTTCTTGGCAGGGATACTGGAGTGGCTTGCCGGTTCCTACTCCAGGTGGATCACGTTTGGTCAAAACTCTCCACTATGACCTGTCCATCTTGGGTACCCTGCTTGGCATAGTTCATAGCTTCTCTGAGTTATTCAAGCCCCTTTGCCATGGCAAGCAGTGATCCATGAAGGGGCCAAAGTCCATTATGGGGGCCTAATCTGGCGGTTGGCTTTATCCGGCCCCTGTTGCAGTTTAATTCCCAGGGCAGAATCCGGGGGGGGGGGGGAAAGCTCAACAACTTCAAACCTAAAAAAAGGTCAACAATTTTGGTTGGCCCTTTGGTCGGCCCTCACGGCCCTTCACTTCATCAAACCTGGCCCTCTTTGAAAAAAGTTTGGACACCACTGTATTAGGTGCATGTGGCAAAAGGGATTCTTCCGCATTCTCCAGCCCAACAATCGTCCATCCCCTCCACAAATCTGAGCCATTTCCACTACTTGACCCCAGGGTGTTTCTTAATCCCAGGAATTAAGCCCCAAGCAAGGCAGTGTTGCTGGAGCATCCATCACAGCCCTTAATCTGGATAAGCCTTTTATCTCGATCTCTTGGCTGAGCTAGTGGCCAGCCACCCACAGCTACATTCCACCAAGAAAGGGAACTGACCTAGCAGGAGAAAACCACATTCTCCTAGGCAAGCTTACACTTTTCCTTCCCTCCCAGGAGGTGGTTTAGATACGGGAAGCGGCACAAAGATAAGAGGTGACATGACAGAAATTTATAAAATTATTCATGGCATGCAGTAGGGCTGGGCAATGTCTGGTTTTCAACAACATCAGCTAAACACTGTGATGTACGGTACCGATATCTAAAATAAGGATGGAGCTACGCAGAGCCATGGGCTGGCTTCACAGTTTTCCCCGCAACGTGATTTTTGCCGGCTCCTGCTCTTAGGATTCACTGCCAGGGGAGAGATGAGCCGAGTTAACAGGGACGGCAAGAATGTATAGAACAGGCTTCCTCAAGCTCGGCCCTCCAGATGTTTTTGGCCTACAACTCCCATGATCCCTAGCTAGCAGGACCAGTGGTCAGGGATGATGGGAATTGCAGTCTCAAAACATCTGGAGGGCCGAGGTTGAGGAAGCCTGACATAGAAGCATTAGCTTGCTTCATGGTTTTCCCCACATTGTGATTTCTGCATAGCGTGCACGCACACACACACTCTTGTGAAATATCACCAGGTCAAAAATTATGAAACCGAAAACATGATTTGGACTTCAGCCCGGTATTGGGCATTACGTCGATATATTGCTGAGGCCTCTGTTTAGTCGTGTCTGACTTTTGGAGAAATTGGACAGAGAAACGTTTCATGCAATGCAGTTAAACTCTGGAACTCCCTTACGCAGGAGGCAGGGGTGGCATTAAAAGACAGGACGAATTCATGGAGGAGGAGAGAGCTATGGATGGCTGTGGGAATGTCTAGGAAGGTAGGAGAGGATATTTGACTGCTCTAGCAATACATCCCTCATTGCTCCTGGCCGTGATGGAAATGCTTCTGAATGCCACAGGAGAGAAGAAGGATCTTGCGTTCGAATCCTCCTTGCAGGCTTCCAACTAGGGCATCTGGTTGGCCACTGTGAGAACAGGAGGCTGGCCTAGATGGGCTCCCATTGGCTTGATCTAGGAGGCTCTCTTATGTCCTTATGGATCACTGCTCATTCCAAACACCCCTTCAAGAGTACGGAAGTTGCCCACAAGTGATCAGCTCATAAAAGCAGATTAGTGCCTCAATGACTGCCTCAGACACACACATACCGGGCAGCTTAGACGAAGTTCTCCAAGAGCCAAAATATTGTGGGGAACCTGGTGTTCTATTCACCTGCACATTTTTCAAGTTCATGCCCCTGAGCTGCTGGTCCCAAAAAAGCTTATGAGTCACTAGAAATAGTACAGTCATAAAAAGGTAAAGGTAGCCCTGAGGACGTGGGTGGCGCTGTGGGTTAAACCACAGAGCCCAGGACTTGCTGATCAGAAGGTTGGCGTTCCGAATCCCCGCGACGGGGTGAGCTCCCGTTGCTCTGTCCCAGCTCCTGCCAACCTAGCAGTTTGAAAGCACATCAAAGTGCAAGTAGATAAATAGGTACCGCTCCGGCGGGAAGGTAAACGGCGTTTCCATGCGCTGCTCTTGTTCGCCAGAAGTGGCTTAGTCATGCTGGCCACATGACCCGGAAGCTGTACGCCAGCTCCCTCAGCCAATAAAGCGAGATGAGTGCCGCAACCCCAGAGTTGGCCATGACGGGACCTAATGGTCAGGGGTCCCTTTACCTTTACCTTTACCCCTGACCTTAGGTCCAGTCGTGCCTGACTCTGGGGTTGCGGCGCTCATCTTGCTTTGCTGGCCGAGGGAACCAGCATACAGCTTTCCGGGTCATGTGGCCAGCATGACTAAGCAGCTTCTGGCGAACCAGAGCAGCGCACGGAAACGCCGTTTACCTTCCCACAGGAGCGGTACCTATTTATCTACTTGCACTCTGACGTGCTTTCGAACTGCTAGGTGGGCAGGAGCAGGGACCGAGGAATGGGAGCTCACCCCGTCGTGGGGATTTGAACCACCGACCTTCTGATCAGCAAGGCCTAGGCTCTGTGCTTTAGACCACAGCACCACCCACGTCCCAGTAAAGTCATACCTCAGGATAAATACACTTCAGGCTAAGTATTTTCGGGTTGCGCTCCGCGGCGACCCAGAAGTAACAGAGCACGTTACTCCCGGGTTTCGCCGCATGCGCATGCGCAGATGGTCAACATGACGTCACATGCATGCACGGAAGCGGCAAAACGCGACCCGCGCAGACGCACTATTGCGTCTTCTGTTCTGTTCAGGATGCGAACGGGGCTCCAGAACGGATCCCGTTTGCATCCCAAGGTACCACTGTATTAAAAACCCAAATGTCTCAAAATACCGCTTTCCACTTTTAGGAGCTGTGATGCTGGAACTGCAACACAGAGCCCAAGAGCCCAGCAAGGAGGGGGCTGAGTTCAAAGGGCTCCCCCCCCCAAAAAAAAAACCCCGCCAACAACGGAGCGTTTCTGGGTCAGCCATGCTCAGCGGCAGCTCAGCTCAGATTCCTTGTGCCCTTTGAGCAGAGACGCAGGAGACCAGCCGCCTGCTGCTACCTGAATCGAAGAGCTTCTCTCTGCCCCACAATAGTCCTTGCTCCTTCCGGCTTTGCAGCAGCCACACCATTTGACGCTCTTTTGATCAGGCCGCTGAACCAAGTGTCTCCCAGCCAGACTACAACCACCAGCCTCCCCAGGGACACCAGAAGGCACAAAAGCCATTCCTGCCCAAGGGTCGCCTTAAGCATCTGCAGGGGGAGGCAGAGACCCCTCCGTGGGAAAAGGCCTTTGCCCAAATCCTTGCAAGGCTGCTGCCAGAGAAAGTCTTACAGCAGGGGTCAGCAACATTTTTCAGCAGGGGGCCGGTCCACTGTCCCTCGGTCCATGTGGTGGACCGGACTATATTTTGGGGAAAAAATATGAACCAATTCCTATGCCCCACAAATAACCCAGAGATGCATTTTAAATAAAAGCACACATACTACAGCGTAAAAACACGCTGAGTCCCGGACCGTCCGTGGGCCGGATTTAGAATCGATTGGGCCAGATATGGCCCCCGGGCCTTAGGTAGCCTACCACTGCCTTACAGAGATAGAGGGACAAACAGTCCACAATCCCAGGCTGGGAGTAGAAGAGGAATAATAGTAATATAATAATTACCCCGCCCATCTGCCAGGGCTTCCCCAGCCACTCTGGGCGGCTTCCAACACAATATTAAAATACAGTAATGTATCAAACATGAAAAGCTTCCCTAAACAGGGCTGCCTTCAGATGTCTTCTAAAAGTCTTGCAGTTGTTGTTCCCTTTGACATCTGGTGGGAGGGCGTTCCACTGGGAAGGCACCACCACTGAGAAGGCCCTCTGCCTGGTTCCCTGTAACTTGGCTTCTCGCAGTGAGGGAACCGCCAAAAGGCCCTTGGCGCTGGACCTCAGTGTCTGGGCAGAACGATGGGGGTGGAGATACTTCTTCAGGTCTACTGGACCGAGGAAGACTCATTTGTTGCTCAGCTGTGGGCTCCCTGGGAATCCTGGTGCCATAAGTCTTGCTTATCTGCCAGAGCTGGAGAGCCAGTTGCCCCCAGCACGGCCACCTCCACGTCTCCTTCCAAGGCAGCTTTTGGCAAGCGGGGGAGTGAGGCACCCAATCCAGACCAAGGATCTGCTCCACCCCAGCACAGAGCCCCAGGCAAGGAGGCCAAGGTGTCGCCATTTCAATAAAACAGGGCTGGCAAACAGGACAGAGAGGGCCCGCCACTTCTGTTTGCAAAACAGGCGAGGCACAAGCTGGTGAGACCTGCTGCCAGGTATCTTTTGTCCAGATTCTTAGACAGGCAGAGCAACCAGATGAGGTGACTCAAAAGACAGGCAGGATCCAAAGTTGTGGAGTACGTCAGTTTACCCGAAACAATGCTGTATGGCAGGAAACAGACTCTCCGAAAAGGCGGTGGAATCTCCTTCCTTGGAGGTTTTTACGCAAGTTGGGTGGCCTCCTGTCGCGTATGACCTAGTTGGGATTCCTGCATTGCAAGGGGGCTGGACTAGATGGCTCTCGGGATCCCTTCCAACACTACAATTCTATGGTTCTAATCGTCTTCCACTGCGGAACTGCGGGAGGCAGTGGAAGACAGAAGTGCCTGGCATGCTCTGGTGCAGGGGGTCACAAAGAGTCGGACACGACTAAACGACAACAAATCGTCTTCCACAGGTAGGTTGTGACCCACTCCTGGGTCACATTGTGGCCTAAAGAGCCTAGTCCCCACCCTGGCACTGCAACGTCAGCTAGATTTAACATGCACAGGATCACTAGGGACTAGTAACTCAGGTCTCGGAGAGGCTCCTTTCTATGAAACAGAATGCCTCTTGGCATTTAACAGTCCATGTCTCAAAATACGCAATGTCTAACTACCCTCTTCCTCCACCCACAACTAGAGCCACTGTTTAGTTATGACCATTTCCCTCCGTGGCAGTAAAGGCAGTGCAAAGAAGGCTCCTTGGAATACCTCCATCCAGGTACCCACAAGGTCCACACCTGCTTTGTAGTAGCAAAATGTCCTGCTGTATCCCACATCTTCAGGACGCACACACACACCCCGGCCACTTTTGTGGTTTTGGAGCAATTTGCATTGTAAGTCCTAGACGGAGTCTGCATCCTTTGTACCCCATCCCAGGCCAGTCAGGTGCAGCGCCTTGGAGGCAGCCCTCCTCCGCAAGCTTACCAACAGGCACCTGAAGCTGCTGAGAGGCAACCCGGAGATTTGGGATGAAGGACAATCAATATGCAGGTGCTACCTAAAACCGCTTGCTCTTTTCATGCAGTTCGAGTGAAAGAGCAGAAGTGTTGAATCAGCACAAGGGACTGGCTGTATGATGACACACATTCCAGAGAAAACAGAAGTACCTGGGCAGGTAGTCCAAGACAACAGTATTTAGGTGCTAAATGGGTTTTTGCTCCACCTGCAGAACAGGTAGCTCTCTGATCCACCTCTGTTGATGGATGCACACCTTGCTTCGGGGTCTCCCAGCTGCTCCGGCTACAACCTCACCCAGATAGATGTTCTAGGCTGACGTTACCCTGGTCTGATGCCCCCTCCAGTGTTTCAGACCGTGACTCACATCAGCCCCAGTCAGCAAAGCTAGGAGTCAGGTCCCAAGGCAAGATGAGAAGGGCCAGCCCTGTCACCTTTGGGAACCCTCTGATGCTCTTGGAAGAAGGGGGGGGGGCAAGAATGAGATGCACTTGCCCCACCAAAAGTCCTCCATGGCCCAAGGGCACCTGGCTCCCCCGCCCATCCTCACAGGGGAACAGGACGACGTCATAGCTATCTGCAAATATACCACCAGGGACTGCTCATCCTCTCTGCATCTACTGGGTTCTTCCTCCTGCAATCCCAAGTTAAGACCTAAAAGGTAAAGGGACCCCTGACCATTAGGTCCAGTCGCAGATGACTCTGGGGTTGCGGTGCTCATCTCGCTTTATTGGCCGAGGGAGCCAGCATTTGTCTGCAGACAGCTTCCGGGTCATGTGGCCAGCATGACTAAGCTGCTTCGGGTGAACCAGAGGAGCGCACGGAAATGCCGTTCACCTTCCCGCCAGAGTGGTACCTATTGATCTACTTGCACTTTGACGCGCTTTCGAACTGCTAGGTTGGCAGGAGCAGGGACCGAGCAACGGGAGCTCACCCCCTCGTGGGGATTCGAACCGCCGACCTTCTGATCGGCAAGCCCTAGGCTCTGTGGTTTAACCCACAGTGCCACCCGCGTCCCTTAATTTAACACCTAACTCAACCCAAATATTATTCTGCACCATCAGCAAGAGCTCCAAAGCGGAGGGTCGATGTGAAGGAACGTGCCTGCATCAAGCCTTCCCAACACCTGAGCCTTTCTAAGTCAATGTGGGGGCTTTGCTGAGAGTTGGGGGGGCGCTTTTGCAGAGACCCTGCCTGTCTCTATTTACAAGGCCAGAAAAGCTCAAGGAGAAATGTCCATTTTAGGAGGCAAACCCAGCCACCCTCATTCCTCCTAGCTATTGATAGAACAAGTCTGGGAGATGGGCAACATTTGGGAAAGGAAGGCAGTGGCGGGTGGGGGCCACATTTGACCAGCCAGTCTGTGGGGCCTCACTTCTCTGTCCCCCACCCCCAGTTCCGACAGGGTTTTGGGATTTCCCCGGGGCCACGGCCAAGAACTCCTTGTGACAGTCGGTTTGCACACCCAGGGAGCACGTTTGCAGCTGCAGGGAACATACAGAGACACTCAAAGTGTATGTGAAATCCTAGGGTGAGTCATGCAAGATAGGCAGCCTGGCCATGGGGGGAGGAAGGCAGAAGGGGAAGAAAAGCAGCCAAGAACAGGGTCAGAAGTCGAACCCAAGCGGGGATGGTGACAGGAGCCACACCCTGCTCACTGCTCCTCTTTATTGCCCTGCTTTGCCCCTTGAGAAGAGGCCGGCTACTTTATTGGGGGCAGGGAGCACAAGGAGGAGGGAAGGGGGGGTGGTTTACCAACTCTGCTGAGAGCTTACCCAGGGCGTGAAATGGGTGCCCCAGAGCCATCATCTCAGCAACCCATTTCTACCCCAAACTAGATTTTGGGAGAGAAGGGGGTAGAACAGGGGTCAGCAAACTTTTTCAGCAGGGGGCCGGACTATATTTTGAAGAAAATGAATGAATTCCTATGCCCCACAACTAACCCAGGGATGCATTCTGAATAAAAGGACACATTCTACTCATGTAAAAACACCAGGCAGCCCCACAAATAACCCAGAGATACATTTTAAATAAAAGGAGACATTCTACTCATGTAAAAACACGCTGATTCCCGGACTGTCTGCGGGAATCAGCGTGTTTTGAGAAGGCGAATGGGCCGGATACAGCCCCCGGGTCTTAGTTTGCCTACCCAGGGGGTGGAATGAAGGGGGGGGACACATAAGCCCCCTGTGAGTTTTTCCTACCCCGTTTCCCCAAAAATAAGAGTGTCTTATACTAATTTTTGCTCCCAAAGATGCGCTAGGTCTTATTTTCAGGGGATGTCTTATTTTTCCATGAAGAAGAATACGGAACACATTTATTGTTGAACCCCCCAAAAAGGAAATTTATTACCTGTATAGGGTACAACGCCTTACAGTAGCTTCGGGGGCCTTCTATTCCGGGGTGGCCTTATTAGGGGGGAGGCCTTATATTACAGCGAGAGGCAAAACTGGAAGTAGGTCTTATTTTCGGGGGATGTCTTGCTTTCGGGGAAACGGGGTACCTCTCCCGCAAGGAAGTGCAAAGGGAGGAGAGGGACCCCCCCAACCTCCCTGCGTACCTGGCAACAGGTGAGTCCCTCCGCCTTCCCCCCTCGCCCAACGCAGGTAAGGGCCGCTCTGGGGGTCCCGGGCGAGGGGGGCCCCGTCGATGCCCCCGCTTTCTTCCACCTCCCCCCCAAAAAGCAGGGGCAGCTGCGCCCCCCGCGGACCCCCCAGCGCCCCTGGTGTCCTTGCTGCCCCTCAGAGCCCCCCAAGAGGAATGAGGAGACGGGAGGAGGAGCTGAAGACCCCACTGCCTCCCGGGGGTCCCGCCCGGTTCAAAGGGCAGCCTCCTCCTCCCCCCCCGCCCAAGGCAGGTAAGGGCCGCTCTGGGGGTCCCGGGCGAGGGGGGTCCCGTCGAGGCCCCCGCTTTCTTCCGCCTCCCCCCAAAGAGCAGGGGCAGCAGCGACCCCCGCGGACCCCCACCCCCCCAGGTGTCCTTGCTGCCCTTCAGAGCCCCCCAAGGGGGATGGGGAGACGGGGGGTCATTGGGGCGGAGACCAGCCTCCTCCCCCCCCCCCAGGACCCTGAATGGGGGGGGGGGGCCTTCTTGAGGGGAGGGGATCATGAGGGGCGCCGAGTTTACCTGAAGTCTCCGCCCTCGGGGGGGTGGGCGGCGTCTCCGGCGCCCCTCCGCTCGCCGCCCCCTCCTGCCGGCGCCCCCGCTCGCCGCCCCGCCGCTCCCCGCTCGCCCATCCCGCCGCTCGGCTCCTCCGGCCGCCGCTGCCGCCGCTGCTTCTCCTCAGGCGCGTCCCCGCGCCCCGCCCCCTCGCCAGCGGCCTCCATGACCCGCCCGCCAAAACTTCGCCTCGAGGACGCCGTACACCCCGCGCGGAGCACCACGGGAAGTGTAGTCGCGGGACGAGGCGCCGCGGGTCGGAGGCGAGCCGAGGGAAAGGAAGGGCCTTTTGTACTCCGGCGCCGCGCCCAGAGCATGCTGGGAGGCGCCGGATTGGAGGGTGGCCGCGGGGGCTGCCGGGAGGGGTAGTTCTCGGGGGGAGGCGGCCGCTCGGAGGTTAACCCTTTCGGGGCGTCCCTGCTGGAAGTGGCGCCAAGGCTGCTAATTCTACATTAAAACATCAGTCATTAAAAACTTCCCTAAACATGTATCTGAAGAAGTGTGCATGCACACGAGAGCTTATACCAAGAACAAACTTATATATATATATGTAATATGTATATATATATATAAGTTGTCCAGTGGCAGCTTAGAGACCAACTAAGTTTGTTCTTGGTATAAGCTCTCGTGTGCATGCACACTTCTTCAGATACATGTTTAGGGAAGTTTTTAATGACTGATGTTTTAATATATTTTTTTATTTTTTGCTGGAAGCCGCCCAGAGTGGCTGGGGAAACCCAGCCAAATGGGCAGGGTATAAATAATAATAAATTATTATTATTATTATTTATATAATAATATAAATAAATTTATATTATATATAAATACATATGTTATTATTATTATATTATTATTATATTATATTAATAATATAAATTTATTTATATATAGTTCAAGCCATGGTTTTCCCAGTAGTGATGTATGGAAGTGAGAGCTGGACCATAAAGAAGGCTGATTGCCGAAGAATGGATGCTTTTGAATTCTGGTGCTGGAGGAGACTCTTGAGAGTCCCATGGACTGCAAGAAGATCCAACCTATCCATTCTGAAGGAAATCAGCCCTGAGTGCTCACTGGAAGGACAGATCCTGAAGCTGAGGCTCCAAGACTTTGGCCACCTCATGAGAAGAGAAGACTCCCTGGAAAAGACCCTGATGTTGGGAAAGATGGAGGGCACAAGGAGAAGGGGACGACAGAGGACGAAATGGTTGGACAGTGTTCTGGAAGCTACCAGCATGAGTTTGACCAAACTGCGGGAGGCAGTGGAAGACAGGAGGGCCTGGCGTGCTTTGGTCCAGGGGGTCACAAAGAGTCGGACACGACTAAATGACTAAACAACAACAATTCCTATCTTGCCTTTTCTCCAAAGAGCTCAGGGTGGCTGCACACTTCTCCCCATCTCAATTTTTATCCTCACATCAACCCTGTGAGGTAGGATTGGCTGAGAGAGGCAGTGCCTGGTCCCCAAAGTAACCCAGTGAACTTCATGGCTGAGAGGTGATTTGAACTCAAACCCACTGAGATCATTATGGATGAATCAAAGTGACTCGAATCCACTGATTTAAACTGGTCTACTATTAGGATGAGTAAATTTGGGTACAACATACAAAAAATTGGTCTAATTTGAAATATTTAAAATAAGTTTTTTAATGAAAAAATAAATGTATATTTAAACATACACACATACATTTCCTTATCATATCCCCATCAAGGGCTGCAACTCCTTTGCAAAACAATTACGTAATGTATCTAAGCACTCGCTGTTGCAGTTCCAACTTAGCTATAATTCGGGATCTGCCCATAACATTTGTTAGGCAAGTTGCTTGGCCAATGGCCCCAGTGGTTGATGTTCCACATAGATGGATGCCTGGATATTTTTTCATAAGGGTTTTAAATGAAAGAGGCCTTTGGACCCTGGAACAGGGCACCCTTTACACCCACCGGCACATCTCAGCTCAGGAGAATAATGTGTAAACTCTGTGTGAGAGAGGAGAGAGTCTGGAAGGATCTTGAGGTGTCCCTCACTGGTGATCTGCTTTGAGGTAGTGGATCTGATAGCTGGGAGTGTAGCTTTCATCCACCTCTGCTCTACTTGCATATTTGCAGATAAACCAACTGTTTCAAAATTCCATATGCCTCCTGCACTGATCTCTCTTCCGAAAGGTAGCCAGCCTGGCCTTGGAACTTGTCGTCACTCAGGGCAGTGCAACCGTGTATTGACACCTGTTGGCCAACATCATCAAGATGTGCAATAAATTCATTAGCTGTCATTCGGCATTGCATGCACACTTGTAAACAGTAATTGGGGCGTGGGGATAAGATGGAAGACCTAAACTTTCTCAACCTGTGGGTCCCCAGATGTTGTTGAACTACAGTTCCCTAGCTAGCAAGGCCAGAGCTCAGGGATGATGGGAGTTGTAGTCCAACAACATCTGGGGACCCACAGATTGAGAACCACTGATGGACGCTTGGGGTGGGGCTCCCTGTGGTGAAGGCAGCTCTTGTAGGGCTAGCAAGATTTCTTGGGGTACCAATGAAACATAGGAGAGGCCTTATCCTGAGTCAGACCTTTGCTCCATCTAGCTCAGTATTGTCTACACCAAGCTTCCTCAACCTCGACCCTCCAGATGTTTTGAGACTACAATTTCCATCATCCCAGACCACTGGTCCTGCTAGCTAGGGATCATGGCAGTTGTAAGCCAAAAACATCTGGAGGGCCAAGGTTGAGGAAGCCTGGTCTACACTAGCTAGCTCTCTGGGGATCAAGCAGGGGTCTCTCCCACGGCTTCCTGGAGACGCCAGCTATCTCAGGTGCCCTTCCACTGAGCTGCAGCTCTTTCATATCAACACCTGCTGTAGCGTGAGACTGCTTATTGAGAAGTAGTAATAATAATTATAATAATTTATTATTTGTACCCCGCCCATCTGGCTGGGTTTCCCCAGCCATTCTGTGCGGCTTCCAACAAAGATTAAAAATGCATTAAAATTTCACACATTAAAAACTTCCCTGAAGCCTTCAAATGTCTTCTAAATGTCAGGTAGTTGTTTATCTCTTTGACATCTGGTGGGAGGGCGTTCCACAGGGCAGGCGCCACTACCGAGAAGGCCCTCTGCCTGGTTCCCTGTAGCTTTACTTCTCGCAATGAGGGAACCACCAGAAGGCCCTTGGAGCTCGACCTCAGTGTCCGGGATGGATGATGGGGGTGGAGACGTTCCTTCAGGTACAGTGGTGCCCCGCAAGACGAATGCCTCGCAAGACGAAAAACTTGCTAGACGAAAGGGTTTTGCGTTTTTTGAGTCGTTCCGCAAGACAAATTTCCCTATGGGCTTGCTTCGCAAGACGAAACGTCTTGCGAGTTCTTGCGAGTTTGTTTCCTTTTTCTTAAAGCCGCTAAGCCGTTAATAGCCGCTTAGCCGCTAAGCCGCTAATAGCCGCTAAGCCGCTAATAGCCGTGCTTCGCAAGACGAAAAAACCGCAAGACGAAGAGACTCGCGGAACGGATTAATTTCGTCTTGCGAGGCACCACTGTATACTGGACCGAGGCCGTTTAGGGCTTTGAAGGTCAGCACCAACACTTTGAATTGTCCTTGGAAACGTACTGGGAGCCAATGTAGGTCTTTCAAGACCAATGTTATGTGGTCTCGGCGGCCGCCCTCAGTCACCAGTCCAGCTGCCGCATTCTGGATTAGTTGTAGTTTCCGGGTCACCTTCAAAGGTAGCCCCACATAGAGCGCATTGCAGTAGTCCAAGCGAGAGATAACCAGAGCATGCACCACTCTGGCGAGACAGTCTGCAGGCAGGTAGGGTCTTAGCCTGCGTACCAGGTGGAGCTGGTAGACAGCTGCACTGGACACAGATTTGACCTGTGCCTCCATGGACAGCTGTGAGTCCAAAATGACTCCCAGGCTGCGCACCTGGCCCTTCGGGGCACAGTTGCCCCATTCAGGACCAGGGAGTCCTCCACACCTGCCCACCTCCTGTCCCCCAAAAACTGTACTTCTGTCTTGTCAGGATTCAACCTCATTCAGTCTTATTCGGTTCAATGGGACTAAAGGCACAAGCCTATGTCTACTCAGAAGTAAGTCCTATTGGGTTCTATGGGGCTTACTCCCAGGTAAGTGGGATTAAGATTGCAGACTTACTCCCAAGTATGTGTGCATAGGCGAATAGTAGCCTTAAAGGCACAGGAGCCTTGCCCCAGAGGAGTGGGGCCCTGCTGCCTTAACGAAACCCATGAAGAAATAGTTCCGTTTCCTCTCCCCAGCTCCAGTGAGGAAGCTGAGTGCGTTGCAAAGAAGGAAAGGAAGGACAACTAACTGTGTCTTAATTTTCTGCATGAATGCAAACTCAAAAAAATTCTTTGTCACCACGTAGTTGGGGGGGGAGGGAGGAAATGAGAATGGCTGGGATCTGGTGTTGTGGGTGGGGAAGTCCACAAGCAGATAAAACAGGCAAGTTTTCAAGAAGCTGAGTGCATCTGAACTTTTGAGGAATGGTGATCGTTGCTCAAGAGTCAATTTGCGGGAAGAGGCTTGTGACCTGGGTGAGGCAAATTAGACCATGACCTGAAAAAAGAGACAATGCACGTACTTATGTACACCAAGAGAATCTTTAATAACAATTATATACACAAAAAAATAACTGGAGAGGTGGGGGAAGCAGGTGAATGCGGGTGTCCATCTCAACGTCATGTCCTTAAAGGGGAATTACGCCAATTAAGATCAAACACAACTAACTGCCTTGCCGTGGTGAAGGGGCTTGAATAACTCAGAGAAGCTATGAGCTCTGCTGTGCAGGGCCACCCAAGATGGACAGGTCATAGTGGAGAGTTTTGACCAAACGTGATCCACCTGGAGCAGGAACCGGCAAGCCACTCCAGTATCCCTGACAAGAGAACTCCATGGACAAAGAGGAGAAGGGGACGACAGAGGGCGAGATGGTGGGACAGTGTTCTCGAAGCTACCAGCATGAGTTTGACCAAACTGCGGGAGGCAGTGGAAGACAGGAGTGCCTGGCGTACTCTGGTCCAGGGGTCACGAAGAGGCGGACACGACTAAACGACTCAACAACAACTTGCCTTTCCCTGTCTTCTTACATTAAGACATGATTTCGATGCACATACACAAGGTAGCGATAACCAGGATTATTTGAGGGTCACATAATAGCCAGTGTGGTGTAGTGGTTCAGAGCGGTAGACTTGTAATCTGGTGAACTGGGTTCGCTTCCCTGCTCCTCCACCTGCAGCTGCTGGGTGACCTTGGGCCAGTCACACTTCTCTGAAGTCTCTCAGCCCCACTCACCTCACAGAGGAAGGGAAAGGAGAATGTTAGCCGCTTTGAGACTCCTTCGGGTAGCGATAAAGCAGGATATCAAATCCAAACTCTTCTTCCAAAGAAGGCTGACTGTGCGCATGTTTACTCAGAAATACATCACTGAGTATGTTAGTTCTGGTATTCACAAGTGTAGGAGATGCTTGCAAGCACCTCTTCCATCCTGCGGTTGCCTGGAACTGGTAGTGGCAACCTGGACCAGCTGTGATGGTTTAGGGTGGGTGACTGGTCACCGCCTGGCTTGATGCAACATACCCTCCAACATTTCTCTGATGAAAATAGAGACGCCCTAAATAAAACAAGAAGGAGGAGGAGGAGGAGCAGGAGGAGAAGGAGAAGGAGGAGGAAAGGCCATATCTCGTTGTTGTTGTTGTTGTTATATCCTGCCCATCTGGCTGGTTTGCAACTGCCCCTACAACCCTGGCATCATCAGTGTGTAGGTTAAGGTTACCAGACGTCCCCGTTTCCCGGGGACAGTCCCCAGATTTACAAAGTTCCCATACAAAATCCATTGAAGTTGAAAAGTGTCCCCGGATTCATTGAAAAAAATCTGGTAACCTTAGTCTAGGTGCTATTCCCTCAATGGGATGATATTGGTATTATTAATATTATTACCATCTTCCTATTTATACCCCGAGTATCTGATTGGGTTTCCCCAGCCAGTCTGGGCTGCTTCCAACATATCTCAAAACATCATAAAACATTTCACAAACCCTCCCTCTGCAGGGCTGCCTTTGGAGGGCTCGGGGGTCGGGTGACTCCATCCCCTCCAACATTCCTCCGGTGCAAACAGGGACGACCGAAGGAAAAGCGGGACATTTATTTTTTATTTTTATTATTATTATTACTACTACTACTACTACTACTACTACTATTATTATTATTATTACTATTATTATTACTATTATTCCGGGATGCAATCAGAAACCGGGACTGTCCCTGGCCAAGAGGGCCCTTGGAGGCTCCGCTGCTGCAATGGCCCCAGATCCATCCTGGGGACCCCCGCAGGGCCGCCTTCTCCCTCCCCAGGGGGCGCCCGGGCACCTTGCCCGCAAAGAACTACCAGTCCCGAGAGGCTTTGCGCGGCGAAGCGCCTCTCCCCGCCCACCGGGGAGATGGACGGGGCGGGCGTCCAATGGGGCCTCCGAGCGCCGGCCGTCGCGCCAATGGGAGCGGCGGGAGGCGGGGATTCCTGCTGCCAGCTGGGCACCGGGTGGCAGGCAAACGGGCGGACGGGGCGATGAGCGGGCGGCGGCGGCGGCGGAGCCCCGGCGGAGGAGGAGCCCCGGCAGGAGGAGGTGAGAGGGGCGCACGGGGGCCCGGTGAGCCGCTGCAGCCCGGGCACAGCTGGGGAGCCGCTGCCACCCCCGGAGCTGCCCGGGATGGGCTGCCGGGCACGGAGGAAGGAGCTCGGCTGCAAGGAGGGAGCCCGGGGGAGGCTCTAGGGCAGCGCCGGATTGACGTCCGAGCTCAACAAGCTCTAGCTTAGGGCCCCACTCTCTTGGGGGCCCCCAACAAAATTAAAAAGGGGGGGAACCCCTGGATGTACCTTCCCAAAATATCAGATAAAAAAAACAAATAAAACAATACATACATACAGCAATAGTGGCAAATGGCTTTGGATTAGGTCCATCAATTACCATATACAGTGGTACCTCGGGTTACAGACGCTTCAGGTTACAGGTTCCACTAACCCAGAAATAGTACTTCAGGTTAAGAACTTTGCTTCAGGATGAGAACAGAAATCGGCACAGCGGCAGCAGGAGGCCCCATTAGCTAAAGTGGTACCTCAGGTTAAGGACAGTTTCAGGTTAAGAATGGACCTCCAGAACAAATTAAGTTCTTAACCCGAGGTACCACTGTAGTATATAAAAGGTAAAGGGACCCCTGACCATTAGGTCCAGTCGTGGCCGATTCTGGGGTTGCGGCGCTCATCTTGCTTTATTGGCCGAGGGAGCCGGCGTACAGCTTCTGGATCATGTGGCCAGCATGACTAAGCCACTTCTGGTGAACCAGAGCAGCGCACAGAAACGCCGTTTACCTTTCCGCCGGAGCTGTACCTATTTATCTACTTGCACTTTGACGTGCTTTCGAACTGCTAGGTGGGCAGGAGCAGGGACTGAGCAATGGGAGCTCACCCTGTTGTAGGGATTCGAACCACCGACCTTCTGATCGGCAAGTCCTAGGCTCTGTGGTTTAACCCACAGCGCCACCCGCGTCTCTATCATATAGCATATATTCAACACAAAAAACAGTGTTGACAAAGGACAGCCGGCCCGGAAGGGACCCCCAAGGGTCATCCAGTCCAGCCCGCTGCAATGTAGGAAGCTGTCTTTTGCTGAGCGCCGGGCCCTCGGCTTCCATCTAGGCCACCCTGGGCAGCAGAGTCTTCCCCATCCCTCCCTGGAGAGAGGTGCCTTGGGAGCAGGGGGCCTTCTGCATGCCTGACCCCCCTGATCCCCCCCACATGCGACAGCAGGCTTGGAGCTCCATCTTGCCCAGTTGTTGCCTGTTGCGCCCAGCAGAGGGATGCAGGCAGTGGATGCTGCAACTGCTGAATCCTTTGACCCAGATAACTCCAGGAAGGAGGCTTAGAGTTATGCAATAAGCAGAATGACAAGCGGCTAGTCCTCAGCAAAGGGAGGCTAGTCACTCCCATATGGCTCTTTATTTGGGAAATTTATTGGGATTTAAGTGGCCATTAGCAAATATTCAGAAGCACAGAATCCTGCGTGCTCAGTAGGCAGAGCTCAGTTGGTGGGCTCTGGGCTGTTATGCTTGCTCCCAAAGGCAAGATCTTTGCTGATCCCATTATTTTGTCATCTCGCCCTTCCTCCTAGGAGTTAAGGGCGCAATGTTCCTTCTTCCCCAGCTGCAGATCTTCACAACAACTCTCTGAGGGAGGCTAGGGACCATCACGGGCTGAGGATCTCCTAGTCAGCGTCCTAATTAAGTAAGGATAAGAAAGTAAGAGGGATGCGGGTGGAGCTGTTTGTTAAACCACAGAGCCTAGGACTTGCTGACCAGAAGGTCGGCGGTTCTAATCCCCGTGACGGGGTGAGCTCCCGTTGCTCAGTCCCTGCTCCTGCCAACCTAGCAGTTCAAAAGCACGTCAAAGTGCAAGTAGATAGATAGGTACCACTACGGTGGGAAGGTAAACGGCGTTTCCATGCGCTGCTCTGGTTCGCCAGAAGCGGCTTAGTCATGCTGGCCACATGACCCAGAAGCTGTACGTCGGCTCCCTGAGATGAGCGCCGCAACCCCAGAGTCAGTCACGACTGGACCTAATGGTCAGGGGTCCCTTTACCTTTTTTAAGAAAGTAAGATGAGTCTTATTTAAGAAAAGAAAAGAAAGATGAGGGGGTCCACTAGGTCCAGCATCCTGTTCTCACAGTGACCTGTGGGAAACCTGTGAGCAGAATTTGAGCACAAGAGCTCTCTTGCCTCCTGTAGTCTCCAGCAACTATGATTCATGGCTGCCTCCAACTGTAGAGGCCGAGTGTGGCCATCCTGGCTAAGAGCCACCAATAGCCCTCTGTTCCCTCATGAATGTGTCCAATGCCCTTTTAAAGCCATCTAGGCTGGTGGCATCACTGCCTCCGGTGGGAGTGAGTTCCACAGTTTAACTCTGCTCTGCCATGCCTGGAAGATTGCCTAGGATTCGAAGCTTTGAACTGGGCAGGAATTTCTCTCCTTCCTCACTCGCTCCTGTGGGAGGGAGTTCCATCATCTATCGGCTGTGTGAAATGGCCTGAGGCCTCTTCCCCTTTAAAGTCCCTTGATGCAGTGGAGGGGGTGTCCCTTGGCACCCATAACACATGGGGGGGGGTCATGGTCTTGACATTCAGACCTCGGAGCTCGTGTTAGCAGGCAGAGATGGATGGGGCAGCCTCTGCTGAGCAGAAAACAGGAGATTTAGTGGTTCATCTGGGCTCCCACTTGAATCTGACACCAAATAATCCATTCTACCTGAATTAAATTGGGCATATTTGAAAGCATTCCTGCAGCTGCCAAAGTAGGTTTTCATGGTTTCTAACTTGCGTTTCTTTTTTCAAAGCGTTACTTCTATTTTTAAGAAGTGTTGCGCGCATTTACCATTGAGATTCATCTGTTTTTTATTCTGTGAACCACCCTGAGATCTCACGATGAAGGGCGGCATATAAATCTAATAAATCTAATAAATTAATGTAGTTTTTGGCCTGAAAAAGGAACAGCTTGCAAACATCCGTAATGAGACAGTGCCGGCTGAAGACACGACACGAAAGGAAAAGGCGTTGGTAGGGAGGAGGAAAAAAAGCAACCCCGAGAATTAGTTCTTAGTTGCAGAGTTCTTGTAATGACAAGCTGGAATGGAAACGGTTCAAGAGGGGAGGAGCCAAAAGTTTCAGGCCTCTCAGCTGAGCCCAGGGAGAGACCCTGCCATCTCATCTCAGACTAGTTCTGCAGCAACAATAGCGCAGGCCTCCCCTGGCTCTCTGGGGCTGCTCTTCCCAAGCATCTCCTAGCAACGGCTGAGTCAACCCAGATAAAAATATTCACCCAATCGTCCCACATTCTAGGGTTCAAACAGGTTCCTGGGACCAGAGGCGTTTCAATGGCTTCTTTTTGGCCTTGGAAAATCCCTGCGTACAGGGGCTTTCTCCTTGGCATATACCAGGGGGCACGTGGGTTTTTAAACAATTAAGCAACGCTGCATAACATCAAGTAGCAGCAATCCAAGCTGCTTCTGCCCCTGTTTCCTTGAAGGGCCTATAATAATAGTAATAGTAATAGTAATAGTAATAGTAATAATAATAATAATAATAATAATAATAATGTTGGTTAGTGGTGTCAACTCTTCGTAACCCCCTGGACCAGAGCACGCCAGGCCCTCCTGTCTTCCACTGCCTCCCTCATGCTGGTAGCTTCAAGAACACTGTTCCAACCATCTCGTCCTCTGTTGTCCCCTTCTCCTTGTGCCCTCCATCTTTTCCAACATCAGGATCTTTTCCAGGGAGTCTTCTCTTCTCTTATTATAACAACAATAATTTATTATTTGTACCCCACCCATCTGGCTGAGTTTCCCCGGCCACTCTGGGCGGCTTCCAATAGAGTGTTAAAAACAATACAGCATTAAATATTAAAAGCTTCCCTAAACAGGGCTGCCTTCAGATGTCTTTTAAAAATAAGATAGCTGCTTATTTCCTTCACATCTGAAGGGAGGGTGTTCACAGGGCGGGCGCCACTACCGAGAAGGCCCTCTGCCTGGTTCCCCGTAACTTAGCTTCTCGCAATGAGGGAACCGCCAGAAGGCCCTCGGCGCTGGACCTCAGTGTCTGGGCTGGATGGTGTGGATGGAGACGCTCCTTCAGGTATACTGGACCGAGGCCGTTTAGGGCTTTCAAGGTCAGCACCAACACTTTGAATTGTGCCCGAAAACGTACTGGGAGCCAATGCCTACCTGCACCAAGTGGAGGAGTCTTGGCTGCCGAGTCCCTAGAGGGCATTGCTCTGCCCGATGGTCCTTGGCACAGGCTGCTCCTCCCTGGCGTTTGCCCTGGGCAGCACCAGACCACCCTCCAAAGGGGATCCATCCAGCCTGGGCAGGGTGCGGGCGCAGAGGCCCTTGCCACAGCCTTTGGCACTGACCCCTGTCATTCTCCCCCTCCTTTCCGCAGAGCCGCCTGGGTTGCAGAAGAAGCAGAAGCGACTGCTGATCCATCAGGCCCTGACCAGAGACCCCGTCGATGTCGAGAGCCTCCAGGCGGCGGCGCTGAGCCAGGGCGGGCTCCTCACGGACGAGATCCGCCGGAAGGTGTGGCCCAAACTGCTGGGCGTGAACGTGTATAGCCTGCCGCCCAAGCCAGGTATGGCATCCAGGACAGGAGAGGAGGAGAGTTCTTGAAAAGGCTGGCACGATGTGTGTCTCGTTGGACTGGGTGCAGCTCCCCAGCAGTGCCTGGGTGCCCGTCGAGGCCTTGAGAAACCTCCCGGGTTTCTTCTGGAATGCCCAAAGCTGTGAAATCCCAGCCGTGGTCAAACCCCGTGGGCTGCATTTGCCTATGTAGGCCAGCATGTTCCAGTTTTTACGATGCCATTTCACAGCATGTCCAGTGTGGGAATGTTGTGGGTAGTAGGAGAGGATATATTGAATAAATATTATCCTCTGTCACTCACGCTAGTGAGTCAATAGCAGAGTACATTCCACAGTATATTGAAATACTTTATTGTCACTTGTACAACTTGTCTACAGTGAGATTACACAAGCACCCCCCGCTCACCTCTCTGTCTTAATTCCCTTTGTTTACTGATGCACGCACACCAAACCCGAAAGTCAGTTGCCCTGTTGTTATCTTTTCATTCAGCAGCCTAACAGCCCCCAGATAGAAGCTGTTCTTTACCCTGTTGGTGCCACTAATTGTGCTTCTATAGCTTCTGCCCAAGGGCAGGAGCTCCAGAAAGTGCTGGCCAGGGTGTGTTGGTAGATTTGTTTGAATCTCTTCACTTAAGCAATCCAATCTCGCCTGTCCAGGTTGGGTTTGTTCCTGGTACATCTCCTTTGTTTCCTCTTAAAAAGAATAAAGACACAGCAGTCTTCTCTTTGAAATAATGATAAGAAGTTTACTTCCATTCAGTTCACAGTAGGTTCCCTGAAGGCAGACTTTTAGCTTGTAGTTACAGAAATGAGAGTGGGTTCACCCCATGTAGGGATATGAGCCCATGTGCTGCTGGCTGAGAACCAGCAGACAGCAAAAGACATCAAGAGATCATGGCATCAAAGAGGGAGATGGCTGCGTGACTGGCCCTTTTATGGGGTCTCCCGGGGTCATGCCAATCTCCCTGGTCACACGCAGGGGAAGGATGCTCCAGACCAGCTGTGACAGGAAGTCCTCCTGGCTGGAGTATCATCCCCCCTGTGTGTCCACTCTGGGCAAACAGGAAGTGTTGAACTTGACTGCTTGTGTTACATCCCGCACCCAGGCAGTATGGATGATGGGAGTTGTCCATAACACCTGGAAGGCACAAGGTGGGCAGAGTCTGATTCAAGGCACGTTGCTGTGGCGCATGCTAAGGACACAACAGGCTGTTTTCAGAAGCTGTCAATTAGGGCATAATGTCCTGTTCCCAAACAGTGTTATCAGAGGTGCTGAAGATCTTGTCATTCAGTGTTCTGACTGTTGGGATCTCCGCTTGGCCAAGCTGATAAAGCACATTTTCTTCCCCCGAGTCCTTCGGAATCGCCTCCCGATGTGTTTAACGACCTGAGCCTTTGATAAGGCTGCAAGGCACGTTCCATTCAGCAGAGTTTCCAGCACAGGAAAGAGACGAGAGGTTTGGGCTACATTGCAAAGAGTTTTATTATCCTAACTACGCAGACAAAAAACACATCCTCTCTCTGTGAAAGCAGAGAGCAACTTAGCAAAGGAACAAAGGAAACAGGAAACCCACTAACGTCACATCCCGTCTCCCTTCTCCCGTGAGACTTCCAATAGCCTGGAATCCCTGGAATGTAAACAGAGTCCTGTGACTCCAAAAGCAGCTGCTCAGTGGCAAACAGAAACTAACACTGATATGCCCTGGATTGGATGAAGGAAAAGCCCTGTTCACACAATCCATACCTTGGCTTTCATTTTTTTTTCTAGACCCAGCGTGGCTTGGTTTGCAGGCACAGTTGAAGTTATGTGAACGTCCACTGTGGAACTCCTTGCACGGTTCTTTTTGGCTGTGCCATCCAATCCTGGTCTCCTCTTGGTAGCTGTTAGGGACTGGCTGGATGACCAGAAGTGGTAGGAGGCACCAGCCGGGGGACCCCCAAGGGAAACCTCAGAGGAGGAAGGCTCAGAGCCCGGGGATTGGTGGTGGGAGACCAAGGAGAGATCGGAGGGAGGAGTGGGGAGAGGAAAGGTTAGATGCTGAAGGAGCAACAGGCTTTTGTGAGGCAGGAGAGCCGGCTGCAGAGAGCAGTTCAGACTCAGAAACTGAGGCAGAGGAGGGAGGGAGGGGGCTGCAGAAGAATGGAGGGAGCCTGCCTTTCCTACTGTAGAAAGGCTGAGGAGATGGAGACGGAGAGCGGGTAGAAGACCTCCAGGCTTGGCAACTGCTCCATAGGGGCAGAGCCTGTCAGGAAAGGCTGCCGAATTGTATGCCGTTTTATTGAAGAAATACTTTGCTTCTCTGCCTGACTCTGCTTATTATTTATTGTTGTTGTTTTATTACTTATACCGCAGCCCTAGCAGTAGCTGAGGTAGGAAGAGGATTCATGGTCCCCGTGGCCACTCTCAGGGGCCCTTGCCAGTGTGCCCACTGCCATCATGGGGTGGAGTCTTTGAGAATCTCTGGGCACCTGTGTTAAGGACATCTTGGTGCAGGGCATGCTGGGACGTTGTGCATGTGTGGGCTGTTGGCTTTTTTGTTTTGTTTTTTTGCCAGCCCTTTTGTGGCAAACCAAGGCGCTTCTTCATCTGGCGCAGCTGAAAACGGGGGCAGGGGATGAAAGTTGGTGTGACGCGCGAAGAGGTCTTGTAGAGCATGCTGCCTCCTGCCTGGCGGTGGGCGCCCATTGCTGAGCCACCCCACCCACATCCCGTTTCCTCGCTTCTCCCCCAGGTCGGGAAGTGCGCCAGAACCACAAAGATTGCCACCAGGTCCTCCTGGATGTGCGCCGTTCCGTTCGCCGCTTTCCTCCAGGTGAGACGGGTCTCTTGCACAGGGGGAAGGGGAGGGGTGAAGGGATGCAGCCGTGGAGGAGATGCCCGTGGCAACAAGGAGGGGGATGGGCTGTGTTTGCCACCTGCCACCCACCCCTGATCCCTGCGCAGGCATGCATGAGGAGCAGCGTCAGGCCCTCCAGGAGCAGTTGACCGATATCATCCTGCATGTGCTGAAGACCCACTCTGAGCTGCACTACTACCAGGGCTACCACGACATTGCTGTGACCCTGCTGCTGGTCTCTGGCGAGCGCATGGCCGTTGCTCTGCTGGAGAGGCTCTCGACGCTTCATCTCAGGTACTGCGCTGGTCCCGGGGGGGTTACCGTGTGGTGTGGTCTGAGTCCGGTCCTAGGTCGAGGGTCTGGAGGCTGTCCGTCAAGGGTGAAGCGGGGTCCAAGGCAAGGTGCCGGGCGTGGTCAGGAACTTCAGAAGAGCAGGTCAGGGTGCTGGCAGGAACAGGCTTCCAGCGATGTTGCTCCCGCAACCTGGTTCTGGGCTGACTGGCCTTTATCTCCTCTGAGGCCTAGGGCGGTCCCGGCCCACAGGTGACTTGCCTTTCCTGTCCTGGAGGCGAGCACTCCTCCTGAGAGAACTTAGTTCCCTCCGCCTCTCTGCCGTGAGCCTCTGCAGCTCAGGAGAGGCTGGAGGGTTACTGGACCCAGAGGCAGCCTCACCTTCACGTGCAGGCAACGGGTCCTCCATCACCTCCGGAGCCAGAGTGGATACGTCTGGTGTCTGCTCCTGAGGATCCGGCACAGGTGCAGGCCCTTCAGGCTCAAGCCCCAGCCCCGGCTCAGCTGGTCCTGTGCAGGCTGGGATTCCTCAGGTTCAGCCTCTGAATCAGATTCCCAGGCCATCACAGGTACATCACCTGGACTGGGCGCAGGGAAGAAGTGGTGGTGATGGTAGAGGAGGAGGAGGAAAATGCACCTTTTGTTGAAAGTGGCAGCATTGAACATGGCCCTCCCCAGCTTCCATGTTCTTTCTAGGGACTTTATGTTGTTGTTTTTTAAAGTTATTTTTATTAACAATTTTCACATAACAAATTATTCAAACAAATCATCTTCATTATTCCCCCCCATTTTTTCCCTCCTCCTCCCCAACAGACCCTCCCTCCTTCCCCCCTACAACTTCCCTCAGCTCCTCTCTCTGATTTCTCTACCAATTTTAACTTCTGCGTATTATAAAACTGTATACATCCTTATATTATCTGTCTACTATATTAAGCCTCAATAAATTTGTGTATGTTCATTCAAAACCTGCCAAGGAGTCCAATTCATTTTGTTGTCTTTTAAAATAATTTATAAAAGGTTCCCATTCTTCTTTAAAGTCACACTTGTCCTTGTCTCGTAGTTTGCGTGTCAGTTTCGCCAGTTCTGAATAGTTCATTAATTTCTCTTGCTGCTGTTCTTTTGTCGGGGTTTCTTCGTTCCTCCATCCTTGTGCAATCAAGACTCTTGCCGCTGTTGTTGCATACATAGATAAATTCTTTCTTTTCCTTGGCAGGTCTTGTCCTATAATCCTTAACAGAAAAGCCTCTGGTTTTTATTATAAATGCTATTTTGAACATCTTCTTCAGCTCATTATATATCATTTCCCAGAATTTTAAAATTTCTCTGCATTCCCACCACATATGATAAAAAGTCCCTTCCTTTTCTTTACAACATGTGTTTGACCCAGTTTTATACATTTTTGCAATCTGTGCTGGTGTTATATACCATCTATACATCATTTTCATGTAATTTTCTTTTTTCTTTTTTTTAAATGATATTTATTGAAGTTTCACATAAAAAGAGACACATTAATAAAAAAAGAATTTAAAAAGAAAAAGATAAATACACAATACAAAATACAAAAAGAAAAAAGAAAAAACAGTTAAAAACAATTCCATCTTTTCATCACTACTTTTACATTTACTTATTTCCCGGACCTCCTCATACCTCCCTCTTTTGTATTCCAATTCAGTTTGTTTGTCCAGCAATTCCTTTCCCTCCTTTTTAATCCTAATCCTTAATCTTAATATAATATAACATTTAATTTTTACGTATTAAAAACCAATTTTCCATTCTTTTAACCTTTTTAATCCTAATCCTTAATCTTGATCTGTATATAACTTTAAAGCCTGTACAGCTAGAAGCCACTTAATTTCAATCCATCATCACTCTAACATTCTTTAATTTTGCAATATTTCTGTAAGTAATCTTTGAATTTCTTCCAATCTTCTTCCACCGACTCTTCTCCCTGGTCACGGATTCTACCAGTCATTTCCGCCAATGCCATATAGTCCATCAATTTCATCTGCCATTCCTCCAGTGTGGGTAGCTCTTTTGTCTTCCAATACTTTGCGATGAGTATTCTTGCTGCTGTTGTTGCATACATAAAGAAAGTTCTATCCTTTTTTAACACCGATTGGCCGACTATGCCCAGGAGAAAGGCCTCTGGTTTCTTCAAGAAGGTATATTTAAATACCTTTTTAAATTCATTATATATCATCTCCCAGAAAGCCTTAATCTTTGGGCACGTCCACCAAAGGTGAAAAAATGTACCTTCAGTTTCTTTACATTTCCAACATTTATTATCAGGCAAATGGTAGATTTTTGCAAGCTTGACTGGGGTTATGTACCACCTGTATATCATTTTCATAATATTCATTTTCATGTAATTTTCTTTCAGAAGAGAGCAATCTATGAATTTTAAATCTGGTTTCCACAGCTTTTCCCAATTGTATATTATGACCTATATCTTGTGCCCATTTGATCACGACCGATTTCACCTCCTCATCTTTTGCTTTCTAGGGACTTTATGGACCCCACCATGGACAGCACCAAGCACATCCTCAATTACCTCATGCCTATTCTTCAGCAGGAGAGCCCTCGACTCCATGACTTCATGCAAAGGTACCTTCTCCCCACCCCACACCCCATGTCCCAGGGTGGGTGGGCCTTTGTGCAATCAGATAAAAGCTGGGAAGGCTGAAAGGTAAAAAAAACATGGGGGTATTTGCAAAGCTGTAGGTGGGCTTGGGTGTGAGGGCAGGTTCCAAAACGATGGAGACCAAGGCTGCTTCTTCTCTCTTTTTTGAATAATACTTCATTTAGTATTCAACAATGACAAAGGGAAGAAAACCACAGTAGTTGCTACATCAATTCATTACAGTTAACCAATTTTAACAATATATAAATAGTAACAGAAAAAATACACAACATCACTTTTAACTTACGGAAGTTTTCATATTACACTTTTATCTCTATAACTCATTGTTAACATATTGAAAAGAGGAAGACCAAGAAAGGAGACACACAAAAAAGAAAAAGGAAAAAGAAGGGGGGGGTGAGGGGAGGGGGGAAGGGGGGAGGGGGGAAGGAAAAGGAAAAAGAAGACAAACCAAACCAAACACATTTGCTTCTGATTAGACTCATTGCATTATTATTTCTACAAGTTTTTCACACGCAGTTCCAAGTTATTGTATTTCTTTCTTTGTTTTCGTCAGATATCAAAAAACATTATATTTGGAGACCAAGGGCTTCTTAGTGGTGACTCCTTCTCTTTGCTTCTGCTTGCAGAGCTGAGGTGGGGACCATCTTCGCCCTGAGCTGGCTGATCACCTGGTACAGCCACGTCCTCGCCAATTTCCAGCACATCCTTCGCCTCTATGATTTCTTCCTGGCCTCCCACCCTCTCATGGCAGTTTACTTTGCCGCTGCGGTAAGTCAGGCTGGAGGCACGATGAGCAGGGGGTGCTATGCCGCAGCAGAGGGAGGTTTCCTCTTTGGGGGGCTTCTCTTTGGTGCCCAACCCACTTTCAGAGCTTTCTTACGGCTATTGAGTGGGGATGTGTCTTCATGGCTGTGGTCAATAGTGGAGTTTAGCACTCCAATTTAGCATCCTGAGAGTTTAATCTTGTAAAAAAAGCCTTTGCCAATCTTTTTTTAAAAATCATTTTTATTACGTTTTCCATTTTAACAATCCAATCAAATCACATTAAATATTCCAAATTATACTTATACATGTCAAATAATCCAAATATTCTGCTGAATTATAAAATTTTTATTGGGACTTCCCATGCTTCAAGTTCGGGGGGGCTCTGATCATCTCATATCTCTACTGCTTTTGACAGTCATTTCTAATAGTTCCTTTAAATCTTCCTGTTGTTAACCTAGCCTTTGCCAGTCTAGTGCCCTCCAGATGCTAAGAGGCAGCATGACCGAAGTTTGTAAAATGATGCCTGGTATGGGGAAGTGGACAGAAATAAAAGTTTTTCTCCTGTTCTCATAACACTAGAACTCGTGAACTCGGACATCTCGTGAAACTGATGTGGGAATGTTCAGGGGTGCAGGAGAGGATATATTGTGAGATTATATCCTAATCCAACTTGTGCTAACAAGTTCCCAAAATATCAGCAGAGTTTATAACATTCCCCTTATAGGTTCGCAACGGTAATGTGTGCATAGGTTCGCTAGAACCTCTATAATAATTACTCTGGTAATTTCCCCTTTTGTTCCCTCTTAAAATACAAGACACGACACAGTCTTTATAAAAGTATAAAAGAGTTTACTCACGTTCTGTATCACAGTAGGATCCCAGAAGGCAGACAGCTTTAAAAGGTTACATACATTCAGAATCTATCTTATAGCAAGATAGTCCTGTCCTCTCTTGGCTGAGAGCCAAGAGGGCATCCTGCTTCTTCGAAAGTTGATGGCAGAGAGCAAGAGAGATGTCAAGAGAGAGAATGGCTGCCTGCCCTGTGCTTTTATCATTTACCTGCACAGGTGAGGCCACACCCACCTCTGGTCACATGCAGAGGAAGTCCGTCCCCAGGAAGTTTACCTGCTTGCTGGACTGACATCCCTCCCCATGTTCTAACATGTACACTCTAGGAATGTTGTCATTGACTGCTCCTGTGTTTACATCCCACAACTGAATGTTGAAAGATTCAGGACAGATTTTTTTAAAAAAAGGCTTATTCACACAGCACATAGTTAAACTCTGGAACTCCCTGCCATGTGAGGCAGGGATGGCCACAAACCTGGATGGCTTTAAAAGAGGATGAGACAAATCCATGGAGGAGGAAAAGAGGGCTTTCAATGGCTTCTGGCCAGGATGGCTCTTGCTCTGCTTCCACGGCTGGAGGCAGCAGTGCTTCTGAATCCCATTCCTGGAAACCCCAGGAGGGGAGAGTTGCTCTGGTGCTCATGTCCTCTTTGTGGGTTTTCCACAGGCATCTAGTGGGCCACTGTGAGAACAGGATGCTGGGCGAGACTGGCCACCGGCCGGACCCAGCAGATGCTCTTCCGGTTGGCATGCAACCAAGGAAACGGGGGCAATTGGCAGGCCCCCAGCTGGCTCCAGCCCACCAGCCAGTGTCCTGGGCAAACTCCAGTCCTTGGATCATCATGAATCTGCGACCCGAGCTTCAGAAGCTAGAGCACGTTCTGCCCGGACACTGAGGTCCAGCGCCGAGGGCCTTCTGGCGGTTCCCTCATTGTGAGAAGTGAGGTTACAGGGAGCCAGGCAGAGGGCCTTCTTGGCAGTGGCACCCTCCCTGTGGAACTTCCTCCCCTTCAGATGTGAAGGAAATAAGCAGCTATCCTATCTTTAAAATACATCTGAAGGCAGCCCTGTTCAGGGAAGTTTTTAACATTTAACGCTGTATTGTTTTTAATACTTGATTGGGAGCCGCCCAGAGTGGCTGGGGAAACTCAGCCAGATGGGCGGGGTATAAATAATGAATTATTATTATTATATTATTACTCAGCAGAGTAAACGCTTCGCTGCAGAAGTGGCAGGAGAGGCTGTGTAAGCATATTTACAAGCAGTTTATTCAGCATGTCGTCGTTTAGTCGTTTAGTCGTGTCCGCCTCTTCGTGACCCCCTGGACCAGAGCACGCCAGGCACTCCTGTCTTCCACTGCCTCCTGCAGTTTGGTCAGACTCATGCTGGTAGCTTCGAGAACACTGTCCCACCATCTTGTCCTCTGCTGTCCCCTTCTCCTTGTGCCCTCCATCTTTCCCAACATCAGGGTCTTTTCCAGGGAGTCTTCTCTTCTCATGAGGTGGCCAAAGTACTGGAGCCTCAGCTTCAGGATCTGTCCTTCCAGTGAGCACTCAGGGCTGATTTCCTTCAGAATGGAGAGGTTGGATCTTCTTGCAGTCCATGGGACTCTCAAGAGTCTCCTCCAGCACCAGAATTCAAAAGCATCCATTCTTCGGCGATCAGCCTTCTTTATGGTCCAGCTCTCACTTCCATACATCACTACTGGGGAAACCATAGCTTGAACTATACGTTATTCAGCATACATCAGGACAAAAGGAAACATGTCTGATCCCCTTCGTATCCAAAGCAAGACAGCAAAAGCAAAAGGGAAGTTCCCAGCAAGCTGTGCTGGAGTGTAAACAGACATGTGACATGCAACACTTCCACATGTCTGTTCTTAAGGTAGAATGGAATATCCTAACACTTCCTAGGCTCACCAGCCCCTCTGTCTCCCTTCCCTTCCCTTCCCTTCCCTTCTCTCCCACCCATCTAGATTGTCCTCTTCCGCGAAGAGGAGGTGCTGGCCTGTGACTGCGACATGCCCAGCATCCACCAGCTCCTGTCCCAGATTCCTCAGGACCTGCCTTACGAGACCCTCATCGCCCGTGCCCACCAGCTCTTCCAGCGTCTCCCCCACGCCCAGCTGGCCAAACAAGCAGCTCTTCAGCTCCAGAAGAGGTGAGAGGGGCCAGGACTTTGGGAGGAGGGGCAGTGGGATCCTGGGTTCCTCCCCCAGGAGGTGTGTGCATGCATGGGGTGAGGTAGGGCTCTGCTTGTCTTTGCAACGTCCATCCTCCCCTGCTTCTCCACACAGCCACTAAGGGAGAGAGGAGATGGCTGGAAAGTTTTTTTTTAATGCACAGAGAATCCCATGGAAGTCAGAGGTGAAAAGTTAGAGAGTGCACCCTGCCAGTGTGGGAATGTGGAGGCAGGCAGAAGAGGATACGTTGGTTATTAATATCCTTCCTAACTTGTGCTAGCAAGTTCCTTTACTTAGCAGAGTTTCATCCCCCTTTTTACACAGCAGAAAACTGGCTGCAAACTTGTGTGAGTTTCTTAAGACAATAAGCAATTCAATCTGGCTTGTCCAGATTGAAATGTGTCCTAACATGTTCCTGGTAAGACCCCTTTTTAATCCCTCCTAAAAGAATAAAGACACCACAGTCTTATTCATAAGTAACAAAAAGTAAGGTCACGCCCACCCACTAGTCCCATGCAAGGAAGGATGCTCAGGCCAGGAGGAACAGGAAGTTTCGACTGGCAAGACCAAACATTCCCTTGCAATGTCCGCTCTCTTCTCGCAAAATAAGGAATGTTGTACTTGACTGCTCCCAGTAATAATAATGATGATAATGATAATAATAATAATAATAATAATAATAATAATAATAATAATAATAATTTATTATTATTTATACCCTGCCCATCTGGCTGGGTTTCCGTGGCCACCCTGGGCGGCTTCCAACAAAGTGTTAAAATACAGTGGTCTGTTAAACATTAAAAGCTTCCCTAAACAGGGCTGCCTTCAGATGTCTTTTAAAAGTCTGGTAGTTGTTGTTCTCTTTGACATCTGGTGGGAGGGCGTTCAACAAGGCGGGTGCCACTACCAAGAAGGCCCTCTGCCTGGTTCTCTGTAACTTGGCTTCTCGCAACGAGGGAACCGCCAGAAGGCCCTCAGCGCTGGACCTCAGTGTCTGGGCAGAACGATGGGGGTGGAGACGCTCCTTCAGGTATACTGGACCAAAGCCGTTTAGGGCTTTCAAGGTCAGCACCAACACTTTGAATTGTGCTCGGAAACATACTGGGAGCCAATGTAGACCTTTCAAGACCGGTGTTATGTGATCTCGGCTGCCGCTCCCAGTCACCAGTCTAGCTGCTGCATTCTTGAATAATTGCAGTTTCCAGGTCACCTTCAAAGGTAGCCCCACATAGAGCACATGGCAGTAGTCCAAGTGAGAGATAACCAGAGCATGCACCACTCTGGTGAGACAGTCCATGGGCACGTAGGGTCTCAGGCTGTGTAGCAGATGGAGCTGGTAGACAACTGCCCTGGATACAGAACTGACCTCCGCCTCCATGGACAGCTGCAAGTCCAAAATGACTCCCAGGCCCACTAAGAGTGCATGGCAGTAGTCCAAGCAAGAGATAACTAGAGCATGCACCACTCTGGTGAGACAGTGGATTACATCCCACAGCCAGGAGGTTTGTCTGTTTCCCCAACTGACCCATTTTCTGCCCCTCTCTTTTCCACCCCTCCCAGCATCAGCATTGGCACTTTCTCAGCCTTCCAGCAGGCTGCTTCGTGCCAGCGCCCAGACGCCGTCCTGCGCCAGCAGCAGCAGCAACACTTAACCACCAGCAAGGCAGAGGAAGCGGGTGAACTCCTCCCTGCAGCCGAACACAGCCCTCTGGTGAAGGCCGCGGTCTGGGGCATCTCAGCCACGCTGGGGGCCGCGGCCCTGGCCGTCACGCAGACCGCCCTGGAATGGGCTCCCGAGTTCCTCCTGCAGCTCTTCTGACCGTGAGCGCAACACGTCGTGCCCAGTGGACCTGGAGGACCGCCTCATGGGGGCACCCTAGCTCTGGGTTCCCTGCCCTAAGCAAAGGGATCAACTCAAAGGCCACCCAACTCTATGATTCTGATCCAAAGACTCCTGGCTGCCTGGAATTCTCTGCAGGGCAAGGGGCAGCCAAAACGCCAGCCAGGGGCGAGTGGAAACCGCTGGCCAGCTTGCATGCACTTGCTAACAGCTCCAGTTCCCTGCAGAGATGCTGTGAGTGTTGCAGCACCTGGGGAGGCTGCCCATGTGCCAAGGGGCTGCCAGGTGCTCAACCCCTCGGCTCACCATTGCCGTTCCCCTTCCCTGCATGAGGGCTGGGGTCTCCACCTTCGCCAGTAATGGCTTCTCTTTGAACATTGACAGGGAGGCTCCAGGCTTCCTTGCGCAAACGCTGCATTGCCACAGGCAACACATTCAGGAATGGGCGTCTTGAGTTGGCATAGCAGAGGTCAAATTGCACATGACCCAGGGCGGAGAAGCATGGCTGAGGATTAGAGTGCCCGCCTTGTATGCAGATTGGTTTCAGTCCCTGCCGTTCTCCTGGAAGGGTGGGGTTACTGGGAAAGATCCCCTGTTTGAAATTCCAGAGATCCGCTGTCAACCCATTGAGCTATAGATGGACCTGCGTCTAACGTGGAACGAGGCAGCCTCCTGTTCATATCTTAATTGCATGGAAGAAATAGTTGCCTCTGCTCTGGGGTGTGGTGCCTGCCAAGTCTGCAAAGCCCTGCTATCATCTCCACATTTCTGGGGTCCCCTCTCTCCCCAGATGGAGAACAGTGTGAGAGCCTTGAGGCGAGGGCTCCTCAAACCTTGAATGCTGTCACCAACCTTCTGATCGTATATGTATACAGACTCAAGGCAAAAATCCCAAACCTAAAGGGATATTTACTCTGACCAACGCAGAGCCCAATGGCAATTTTAAGCAGTGAGACTACCAATGTTTTCAGCCGACCCAACACAGGGTGGAACTGGATGGGCTCACACGGGAGGTGTCACTAGGAGAGAGTTTGCAGAGCCTCTGAATGACCAGGCAAAGCCAAGAGTCCCATTAGAAGTGGTTTATTTACTAGGGAGTGGAGGAACACGGGCACACAGCCGTTTAACCAAAATGAACCGTAGGGAGAGATCCGCTGCCAAACTGCCTGCAATATGCTTTGAACTCTTGCTTGCCTTTGGAGGTGGAGTTCTCTGTGGGCACCTTCATTCTGTGCCTGGATTTCAAGAGAGTCCAATGGGGGCTCCTGTGAACACTGCAAGGGCTCTCATTTTCCGCCTCGGGCCCCCGGCCACCTGCCTTGACTTTCACGCACAAGAAATCTGGCCGCACCTCCTTGCATACAGGGCCGGCTGTTCCATGAGGCAGAGTGAGGCAGCTGCCTCTGGCGGCAGATTCTGAGGGGTGGAAAGAAGCTAGAGCTGTGTGCTGTCTGCCCTAAGCTAGCCTGCTGCCCTGGGCTGCAGAGGAGGGCTCTGTTTTGGCACCAGGCCTGAAGCAGAGTCAATTACTAGTCAGATTTTGTGCACAGAATAGGGATTGCCTTGTCTTGCCCTATGCCTTTTTGTCGTCTGGGTGGCGGCAGCAGGCACAGCAGCCCCCCCCCCATTGCCAAATGAACCAGACGACGTGAGTCAAAACCGAGTGTGTGTGCATTTATTTATTTTATATTTGTATCCTGCCTTTCTCTGCCAGCAGACCCCAGATGGGACTGCCTCCCCACTGCCAAAGTGCTGGTCTGATCACTCCTGTCCCCCTTGAATGTCCAGTTTCTCCCTTTACAGTTCTGGACTAGAAAGGCGCACATTAAGTGGGAGTCCCGGTCCTCCCGCTGACCCCCCTGCTCAGCCACACGACTTGCCTTGAAGGGGAGAACAAGGAAACCCAGACTATGTTGGGTTCGATGAGACTTCGCTGAAAGCAAAGGAAAGCTTTATAAAATAAATACTTTCGACTTTTTGGTTGGCCTGTTTCTGATGAACAATCCCTGCGCCCCTCTCTTCCTTGGAACATAAAAGCATAAGAGTGCCCGGTTTTCTCAGTCGCCTGTGGGAAGCCAGCGAGCTCCTCCTGTAGTTTCTGGCATCTGGTATCTGGAAGCATTTCTGCCTCTGACCATAGAGGAAGAGCGTAGCCATGGTGGCTAATAGCCATCACTTGCCCTCTCCTCTGAATTTGCAGAGAGGGCTTCCGTTGCACTCAGCTCCCTCTTCTGTGGTCTTCTCAGAAGAGACAACTTGCTGGCCACTGTGAGAACAGGATCCAGCTATGGCAGGGCTCCCCAAACTTGGGTCTTCAGCTGTTTTATGGACTACAACCCCCATCATCCTTGACGGCTGGTCCTGCTAGCTAGGGACGATGGGAGTTGTAGTTCAACAACACCTGGAGGCCCAAGTTTGGGAAACACAGAGCTTTTCTTGCATTCCTACTCAAGCTGCTTTGGATCGTGTAAGAGCTCCACATCCCAATGGTTCTAGTTACAGGTAGGTAGCCGTGTTGGTCTGCCGTAGTCGAAACAAAATAAATAAAATAAAATAAAATTCCTTCCAGTATCACCAACTAAGTTACCGTAGTTATTGGTATGAGCTTTTGGGTGTATCTGAAGAAGTGTGCATGCACATGAAAGCTCATACCAATTACTAACTTAGCTGGTCTCTAAGATGCTACTGGAAGGATTTTATTTGTTTGTTTGTTTGTTTTGTTTTGTTTCGCCATCCCAGTGGATTGAGCCATTACAGTCATACCTCGGGTTACAGATGCTTCAGGTTGCGTTTTTTCAGGTTATGGACCCGCTGAAGCTCAGAAGTACCGGAATGGGTTACTTCCGGGTTTCAGCAGTCGTGTATGCACAGAAGCGCCAAATCGCAACCCATGCGTGCGCAGATGCAGAGCTACAGGTTGCGAACGTGCCTCCCGAGCGCCCACTGCCTTGTGCTATTACAAGAACAGAACCTCTCCCAAGGCTTGGCCTGGGCTAGGGGTCACCTGTTATTGGCTTCTTTCTCCAGCTTCCCGAGTTTCAATGCATCCTGCAATTTTCTACCAACCTTGGGGTACGGTTGGGATGAAATCATATGAGGGGTGCCAGAAAGAATGTCTGTTGGAGCCCGAAGGGGAGGGAAGGAAGGCAGCAAGATGGCCAGAGAGAAAGGAAGGGGTGTCAGGATGTCTGCGCCCCCAAGTGATGGGCCCCTTCCATGGTCCAGAGGGAGAGAAAGGGGCTGAGGGGGCTGGTGCCTAGTCGATGGGCCGGAAGGTGAGCAGAGGGGGCTTCTCTGGCATGAGGATGAAGCCATAGACGGTCTTGAGGTCTGCCTTGGAAACGGTATCGATCTTGAAGTTACGCAGAATCTGAAACAAGAAGCACGACCCGTGTGAGACTGCAGGTATGCCAGGCTGGGTGTTCCTTGAATGGGTGGCAAGGGACCCCCTTTCCCTCCTCACCATTGCCTGAAAACGGGGACCACCAACCTTTCTTATTTTTATTAAAGATTTTCTTGATTTACAAAAGTGTGCAGTGTCTCTCTCTCATATTTCCCCCCCCCCATGTAACACTTTTACAAATCGGTTTCATTTGTTGAGACATTAGGAAGAAAAGGGGGAAAGAGGTGGGGGAGAGATGGGGGGGGTCGGGTGGCGATGTTTCTATTTTACTTAATATATGTGGGGTTTGGTGTCAGCGTTGCTTGTGCAGGTTCTCTGCTGTTCACTTGTGTTCCTTTGGTGGTGAGAGAGGTTGGGGTTGGCCTAGGGTGCGGTTGTTCATTTGTGGTTGGCTGTGGTGATCTTTGTTTTCGTGTGTGAATGGGGTGGGTGGGTGTTTTGGATCAGGTTAGCCATATTGATTTGTATGCTGTTGGTGGATTTTTGTTGTTGTCTTGCTGGGCTGTGTATGTGATAAAGGGGAGCCAGACCGGGGCGAAGGCGTCTATTTGTCCCCGTGTCAGTTTCAGTTTATTAGTGACTTTTTCTAGTACGGCTGTTTCCCATACTATTTGGTACCATTGGTCCATGCTTACTCCTGACAGGTCTCTCTAGTGTCTGGCTATGATGCTTCTGGCTGCTGAAAGTAGGTGGGTTATGAGTTCTTTGTGGTGTAAGTGGGCATTATTGTCTTGGAAGATGTTTAGTAATGCCAGTTCTGGGGTGATTTCTAATACTTGCTTGGTTATTTTACTTATTTCTTGTATGGTTGTTGACCACCAACCTTTCTGAGCCCGTGGGTACATTTTGAACAAGCACAGTGGGTGCCAGTCACAAAACAGCTGGGTCCGTGCCAAGGAGTAAGCCCCAGTGAATCTAGTGGGGATTACTTCTGTGTAGCCATAGATACGGTTGCAGTGGGTGGGTGGGAAGTGGGATGCTCCTCCATGATACCCATCAACCCACCGCCAACGTCAAGCATGGGGTGCCACCCCCAGGAAACCGTTCCACCGTGGGCACCTGGGATTTGCCACGCAACAGTTTTGAACTCAGAGTGAAATCGGCTTTGGGGGAGCCACCCCAAAACACAATATTTCAGAGGGGACCAGTGGCCTGTGGGTAACTGTGGGTGACACCCATGTACATGGACTCCAAGAAGAGGGGTACAAAGGCATTGAGCAAAGGGTCATGTGTGCATCCCCACATTGTGGTGCCTCCCAAGACACCAGGCAGAGAATCGCTCCCACCGCCCAGACCTGCAACCCCACAACTCACATGCATGAGGAAGAGGGTCATTTCTGCCTCCGCCAGGCGCCGCCCGATGCACTGCCGTGACCCGAAGCCAAAGGCCAGAGCCTTGAAGCTGCTGTCCTCTTTGCCAGTCCAGCGGCTGGGGTCGTAGCGCTCGGGGTCCCTGAAGACCTCTGGGCTCCGGCCCATGGCGTAGAGCCCCACCTGGCACAAGGTCTGCAAGGGAAGGAACACAGTCTTGAGTGGTGGCTCCGGGGCAACATCCTTGGTGGGCTGAAATCAAGCTCTGGAGCTTCCAAAGGTGGTGGCGCGCTTGTACGTTCACCCTGGACTTTCAGCCCCTCCAACAAAAGTTTGTTCCGGGCTGTTAAGTGCTCACTTCCCCCAGCCCATCATTGATCAAAACTCCACACAGATCTGGTAAAGGGACCCCTGACCATTAGGTCCAGTAGTGACCAACTCTGGGGTTGCGGCGCTCATCTCGCTTTACTGGCCGAGGGAGCCGGCATACAGCTTCCGGGTCATGTGGCCAGCATGACTAAGCTGCTTCTGGCGAACCAGAGCAGTGCATGGAAACGCCGTTTACCTTCCCGCAGGAGCGGTACCTATTTATCTACTTGCACTTTGACGTGCTTTTGAACTGCTAGGTTGGCAGGAGCAGGGACCGAGCAACGGGAGCTCACCCCGTCGCAGGGATTCGAACCGCCGACCTTCTGATCGGCAAGCCCTTGGCTCTGTGGTTTAACTGACAGCACCACCCGCATCCCTTTTATATATATATGAAATTTTTTGTCCTAATTCTTCACCCAGTTGCCAGGACTAAGAACATGAAACTTCATCTTGGGGAGATGATCACCCTTCCCACCACCAACAGCTAGGTCCAGGTTTGGGGGGGTAGACAGGTAGCTCAGAGAAGGAGGATCTCGGAAGGAGGCTGGTTCGCCTCATCCCCTTTTGGAGCATCTTTTGGAGCCCTGCTGCCCTGTGCATTCTCAGAGACATCTGGATTGCCTGTCTCACCCAATCCACCAGGCAGACATAAGGCTGAAAGATCCTATTGCAAAGCCAAGAAGGCAAGGACGCACCAGGCATTAAGAACGTAAGAGCCTGCAGGGTCAGGCCAATGGCCCGTTGAGCCCAGCCTCCTGTTCTCATAGTGGCCAACCGGATGCCCGGTTTCCATCAACTGCGATTCAGAAGCATGGATGCCTCTGGCTGTTGGAGCAGAGCACAGACATCAGGGCTGTTGGCCATCAGTAGCCCTCTTCTCCTCCATGAACTTGCCTAATCCTCTTTTAAAGCCATCCAGGATGGGGGCCACTCCCGCCTCCTGTGGAAGGAAGTGCCATAAGGATAACTATGCACTGTCAGAAGGACTTTTGTTTGTCCGTCCTGAATCTTCCAGCACTCAGCTCCATGGGATGCCCATGAGTTCTAGAGTTAGGAGAGAGGGAGGAAAACTTTTATATTTCCCCTTTCTCCATGCCGCAGCTCCACATCTCTTCTCCTGCCTACTCTGACTGGGACCATCGGCTGGGTGAGGACTGCAGGGCCTGCTCCCTTCCAGGGCCTTTTCCAACTGGCCCAGGGGGCGTGGCCCAGGCCCTAATTTGGAACGAACTTTTGGGGAAGTGTGGGAAGTTGTTCTGCCATTGCTTCCCGGTTCCAAGTGGTTAATGTGTCTAAAATGTCCTCAAGCAGTCGGTGGCATTTTTAATTTTTATTTCTTTTTTCCCTTTTTTGCTTTGTTGGGGGTGGGTGGGTGGGATGGATATTTGGTTGGGGATTAATTTTAGTATAATTGTTCTGTTTTTGTTTTTTGTTGTTTTATTAGTTCTGTATAGTTTGTGTTTTGTTTTTAAGGGGCGGGATCAGGGCTGCCTGATTGTGGATGGAGGATTTGACCTGGCATGTGTGACAGAGACCTGGTTGGAGGAAGCAGATGGGCCTGTCCTTGCCGCTGCTTGTCCACCAGGTTTCTCTTACGCACAGCAACCCAGGTCATGTGGGCGGGGAGGGGGGGTTGCAGTGATTTTTAGGAAGTCATTAGCTTGCACCAGGCGTCCTATTGGGAAGACCCAGTTTTCCGAGTGCATGTTCTGGAAGTTGGGCAATAGGGGCAGTACAGGATTCCTACTGGTGTACCGACCTCCCCGCTGCACCAAGGATTCCCTGTCCGAGCTGCTTCAGGTCGTGGCGGATTTTCTCCTGGAGACACCTAGTTTGATTGTCCTAGGGGATTTTAACATCCATGCCGACACGACCTTTACAAGGGGCTGCTCGGGACTTCGTGGAAAGCATGGCCTCCATGGGGCTGTCCCTGAATAAGTTTGGCCCAACCCATAGCCGCGGACATGTCTTAGACCTGGTGTTCACCTCTAGTGACGTGGGTGATCTGACACCAAGTAAAAGTGAAACAAAAGAAGTGCCATGGTCAGATCACTTCCTGGTGCAACTGGACTTCTCCGCGACCCTTCCCCTCTGCAGGGAGGTGGGACCAATTCAGATGGTCCGCCCCCGCCACTTAATGGATCCAAATGGTTTCCAGAGAGTGGTAGGGGATGCTTTATCCCATGTTGATGGCCTTTCAGCTGATTCCCTGTGGCCCGCTGGAATGCGGAGTTAACCAGGGCTATCGACTGTCTGGCTCCGAAGCGCCCTCTCCGATTGCATGGAGCCCGGACAGCCCCGTGGTTTTCTTCGGAGCTGAGGGCGATGAAACAATCGCTGAGACGGCTAGAGCGCCGGTAGCAGAAAACTCATTCCGAATCTGACCGGACACAGGTTAGAGCTCAACGTCAAGCCTACCAAGTGGCGATAGCGACGGCGAAGAAGACTTTCTTCACCGCCTCTATTGCATCTGCAGAAAATACTAGCAGGAGACTCTTTCAGGTGGCCCGCAATTTAACGGAACCACCTTTACCACCGGGGCCTTGTAAACACCCCAAGATCTCCTGCAACGATTTTGCAAAGTTTTTTGCAGATAAAATCACTCATATTCGGAAGGAGCTAGACACCACCATGGGAGCAGGGCTGGGGCAGGAGAGTGCTAGAGCTCTGTCTGGTCAAGTTGCATGGAATCAATTTCAATCCGTTACCCCCGAGGATGTGGACAGGCTGCTTGGACGCGTGAAACCAACCACCTGTCTCCTTGACCCTTGCCCATCCTGGCTAATAAAAGCAAGCCGGGAAGGGCTGGGCGATGGGCTCTGCGGGGTGGTGAATGCTTCCTCTGTGAGGAACATTCCCAGATCCGCTGAAAGAGGCGGTCATTAAACCGCTTCTTAAAAAGCCATCTTTAGACCCGGCCAGTATGGCCAACTATCGCCCAGTCTCAAATCTTCCATTCTTGGGCAAGGTGATTGAGCGCATGGTTGTTGAACAACTCCAGGCACGCCTGGAGGATGCGGACCATTTGGATCCCTTCCAATCGGGATTCAGGCCTCACCATGGGACTGAAACTGCCTTGGTCGCGCTGGTTGATGATCTCTGGTGGGCTAGGGACAAAGGTGAGAGCTGTTTCCTAGTTCTGCTGGATCTCTCAGTGGCGTTTGATACCATCGACCATAACATCCTTCTGGACAGTCTAGAGGGGCTGGGAGCTGGGGGCACTGTTACACAGTGGTTCCGCTCCTTCCTCCTGGGCCGTGTTCAGAAAGTGGGGGGGGGGGGATGAGTGTTCAGACCCCTGGGCCCTCACTTGTGGGGTGCCTCAGGGTTTCGTCCTCTCCCCCATGCTTTTTAATATCTATATGAAGCCGCTGGGAGAGATCATCAGGGGGTTTGGACTGGGTGTCCATCAATATGCAGATGATACCCAGCTCTACCTCTCTTTCAAATCAGAACCAGTGAAGGCGGTGAAGGTCCTGTGTGAGTGCCTGGAGGCGGTTGGAGGATGGATGGCGGCTAATGGATTGAGGTTGAATCCTGACAAGACAGAAGTACTGTTTTTGGGGGACAGGGGGCGGGCTGGTGTAGAGGACTCCCTGGTCCTGAATGGGGTAAATGTGCCCCTGAAGGACCAGGTGCGCAGCCTGGGAGTAATTTTGGACTCACAGCTGTCCATGGAGGCGCAGGTCAATTCTGTATCCAGGGCAGCTGTCTACCAACTCCACCTGGTACGCAGGCTGAGACCCTACCTGCCCGCGGACTGTCTCGCCAGAGTGGTGCATGCTCTAGTTATCTCCCGCTTGGACTACTGCAATGCGCTCTGTGTGGGGCTACCTTTGAAGGTGACCCGGAAACTACAACTAATCCAGAATGCGGCAGCTAGACTGGTGACTGGGGGCGACCGCCGAGACCACATAACACCGGTCTTGAAAGACCTACATTGGCTCCCAGTACGTTTCCGAGCACAATTCAAAGTGATGGTGTTGACCTTTAAAGCCCTAAACGGCCTCGGTCCTGTATACCTGAAGGAGCGTCTCCACCCCCATCGTTCTGCCCGGACACTGAGATCCAGCGTCGAGGGCCTTCTGGCAGTTCCCTCATTGCAAGAAGCAATGCTACAGGGAACCAGGCAGAGGGCCTTCTCGGTGGTGGCGCCCGACCTGTGGAACGCCCTCCCATTAGAAGTCAAAGCGATAAACAACTACCTGACATTCAAAAGACATCTTAAGGCAGCCCTGTTCAGGGAAGTTTTTAATGTGTGATTTTACTGTATTTTTGGTTTCTGTGGAAGCCGCCCAGAGTGGCTGGGGAAACCCAGCCAGATGGGCGGGGTACAAATAATAAATTATGATGATGATGATGATGATGATGATGATGATGATGATGATGTCAGGGTCTCAGGCAGAGAAGGGTCTTTCCCATCACTCTGCCACCCAAATCTGCTTTTAGTTGGTAGAAGCCAGAAATGGCGCCACTGACCGATGGTCCTTCTGCAGGGACAGGAATGGTCTGGGCCAAGGCAGCCTTGATCACAGTGTCTCTGATGGGGGATAGAACTGTTGAAGATTCATTCCCCGTGTCTACAGTCATGGGATTGTTGTCTGTCACATGATGGTGTATGTTTTCATTCCACAGAGTGGGAAGTGATGGAGACGGGATGTTTGTGTTCCATGAAGAGGGACTATTGTCCTTTGTTCTTTCTCCCTTTGCTGTCTGATGCTAGAGAGAGAGGGAGCCATGTTGCAGTGCTCCGTGTGTGTTTATATGTAAATAAAGTAGATTAGCTAAAATGCTGAGTTGCTGAGGTCTGTCACGCGAACTGCGCCAACTCTGTGGATCCCTAAGTGTGCCAGTGTCGGTTGGCATCAGTCACTGTGATGTTTGGGCTGAAGAACGCTAATGAAGCTCCCAAACTATTGACCAGGAGGGAGAGAACATGCCAGGTGGGCATGTGTCTCTGCCAGGGTCCTACTCGAGTGCAGGGTGAGCTCCAGACAAGAACAACAAGAATCGGCATGGGATCCTGGCTGATGGGAAGGGGGCTGGGGGTGGCGAAGGGAGTCTGCAAAGGACACTCACCCCAGCTGGCACACAGTAGTTCTGAAGCACCACGTCCCTCATCGGGTAGCGCTGCACTGTAATCCCCACAGGGTAGAGCCTGCAAGAGAAGGATGTCGTTGTGGCTTCCCAAAGAAAGTGGAGGAAGAGAATAATAGCATCATAGAATGTAGACTTGGAAGGGACCCCGAGGGTCATCTAGTCCAACCCCCTGTGAGGTCTTTGCATTTGCGGCTATTTTTCAAATTCAAAACTAATATTATCCATCCTTATTCTCAGTCTCAGGTAGGAATATTTTTCCCAACATGGGGCTCGAACCCACGACCCAGAGGTTAAGAGTCTCATGTTCTACCAACTGAGCTATCCCAGATTAGTATCACCAGTAGTTGTTTCAGGAAAGCCATTCTTCATGCAGCTCATTGCTAATTCCTCTTCCATGAGCTTCCCAGTCCAATCCCAAGCTAATGGTTTTCATCTGCCCTGCCCCCCCCCAGCCATCTTGTGGGACCCATTTCCTCGCCAGGCATGGCACCCATCCTTCCCTCCTTACCTCAGCGTCTCCTTGATTGCACCCTTGAGCAAGGGCATGTCATTCATCACCTTGGAGAGCTCCCTGGATGAGACCGCAGCAGCCTTGACCTCTTCCCGAAGGGCTGTCTGGACTTGTGGGTTGCGGGCCAGCTCAAAGAGGGTGAAGAGCAGGGGCATGGCTGTCTGGAGGGAGAGAGGGAGGGAGTCAAGGGAGGAAGAACCTCCTTGGACTGTGTTCCCCCCTACCCCAAATAAGGGGAAGCTGGGCTGGATGAATCCCAAACCGGAATTAAGATTGCCGGAAGAAATATCAACAACCTCAGATATGCAGATGACACAACCTTGGTGGCAGAAAGTGAGGAGGAATTAAAGAACCTTTGAATGAGGGTGAAAGAGGAGAGCGCAAAATATGGTCTGAAGCTCAACATCAAAAAAACGAAGATCATGGCCACTGGGCCCATCACCTCCTGGCAAACAGAAGGGGAAGAAATGGAGGCAGTGAGAGATTCTTGGGCTCCATGATCACTGCAGATGGTGACAGCAGCCACAAAATTAAAAGATGCCTGCTTCTTGGGAGAAAAGCAGTGACAAACCTAGACAGCATCTTAAAAAGCAGAGACATCACCTTGCCAACAAAGGTCTGTATAGTTAAAGCCATGGTTATCCCAGTAGTGATGTATGGAAGTGACAGCTGGACCATCAAGAAGGCTGATCGCCGAAGAATGGATGCTTTTGAATTCTGGTGCTGGAGGAGACTCTGGAGAGTCCCATGGACTGCAAGAAGATCAAACCTCTCCATTCTGAAGGAAATCAGCCCTGCGTGTTCACTGGAAGGACAGATCCTGAAGCTGAGGCTCCAAGACTTTGGCCAACTCATGAGAAGAGAAGACTCCCTGGAAAAGAACCTGATGTTGGGAAAGATGGAGGGCACAAGGAGAAGGGGACGACAGAGGACGAGATGGTGGGACAGTGTTCTGGAAGCTACCAGCATGAGTTTGACCAAACTGCGGGAGGCAGTGGAAGACAGGAGGGCCTGGCGTGCTCTGGTCCAGGGGGTCACGAAGAGTCGGACACAACTAAACGACTAAACAACTCAAACATGCAGTTGTGCTAGAACTAGTGTTAAATATTCAGACTGTCTGGTCAGCAATTTGGTTGCCAGATTCTGCACCCACTGCTGTTTCTGAACTGTCTTCAAAGACAACCCCTACTTTAGCATAATAGGAAACCACAGTTAACGGAAAACTTCCTAATTTGTTGGTTGTCTTGCACAAAGGGAAGAGTAGGTGGCATGTGTGTCCAGAAGTCTCATTCATGTTTCAGCAAGACAACATGCAAATAATCCGATTCTGGCCATTGTGTTCCGTGGAGGTTACAACTAGGAATATATAATAAGGATTGTGGCCTTCCAAAGTGTAAATGCTGCCTCTACACTCATTGTTACAAAAAGAGGAATGAAAACCACATGAAATGTCACTATTCAACACCTTCATGTAATTGTATTTCATGACTATTGTATTTTAATATTCTGTTGGAAGCCGCCCAGAGTGGCTGGGGAAACCCAGCCAGATGGGCGGGGTATAAATAAATTATTATTATTATTATTATTATTATTATTATCATCATCATCATTATTATTATCATTGTTATCATTATTATCATTATTATTATCATTAGTAGTAGTAGTAGTAGTAGTAGTAGTAGGGATGAGCAGCTTTCAATGTATAAAGCCATAATATCTCTTCAGTAATGTAATTTCCATGTTGTTCAAATTGAATCTCCGAGTCTTCATACATTCCACATTAAATTATTTTCTTCCTCATACCTGTTTTATATATTATAATACTATCATTCATTTTTATGTTGATCTTTTCTGTGAACCGCCTTGAGACCTCTGGTTATAGGGCAGTATATAAATCATCATCATCATCATCATCAGGACACATTGACAAAACCCACTGAAGCCAGTTTAATAGTCTCAGCCTTCTGCTTTTCCAGACTAACAGTGACATGGTCTGTGGCACCTTCCACCGCAACCGTTTTCGTAGCTGGAAGCAGTCAGTGGGGGGCTGGCCAGGTGGGAATAAGCCAGCAAAGCAGGGGGCAGGCCTTACAGGACCCCTTGCAGGAGGTCCCAGGCTCTCCAGTTAAGGCTGGGCCATATGTCCCATCTGAAACCCAGGAGACCCATTGCTGCCGGTCCACGTGGCCAAGACTAAGCTCAAGCACAACCCCATGTTCCTGATCTGTTTATGGGGTGGGGCGCACCCACCGTGTCCACGCTGCCGGCCGTGAGCTCCGTCATGTTGGCCTTGATGGAGTCGAGGGGCATCTCTTCTTGCAGAAGCAGCTCGGCCATGATCCCGGAATACTTGCGGGGCTGCCCCAGGCAAAACTCCTGGTAGATATTCTGTATGCACTTGTCCGCTGCAGAAGCAAGGAGAGAGAGGTGGGGATCAGGTCCAGGCGCAGTGAGAAGCACCCCACTCTCAGCCTTAGAAAGAAGCCCACATCCAGGCCAGGGGTGGCAGGCAGGGAGCCCAACAGCAGGTGGCGCCAGAGACAATGGCAGGCAGGGCCGACTCCAGCCGAGTTTTGCCCCCATCCTCCTCCATGGTGGGTTCCAGAAGGGGCACCACTGAGACTGGGGGGGAGGGAGGAAGCAGACAGGAAGCGCCACTCTCTGGACCGGCTGTAGGAAAGGTGGGAGGCAGGCAAGTGGGCTTGGCTGAGCACAAACTGAACCCAGGCCCCCAAAGTTACCCAAGGACAAACATAGCACATTGGGACCCCAGGAGCTCCAAGGCCATGGCTGTTGATGAACGGGTACCAAAATGAGGAATGAGATGGTTCCGGTTTCCAGCAAGAGAGAACCAGTGAGGAGCCTCCTCACACACCGGAGATGGGCACCAGGGTGTTGGCAGCACACGATCTCCTAAAAGTTAAGGGAAGCTAACAAGAACAAGCTTCAGGCCTCCACTGCCTGGTCCTGAATGGGGCAACTGTGTCCCTGAAGGGCCAGGTGCGCAGCCTGGGAGTCATTTTGGACTCACAGCTGTCCATGGAGGCGCAGGTCACCTCTGTGTCCAGGGCAGCTGTCTACCAGCTCCACCTGGTACGCAGGATGAGACCCTACCTGCCCGCGGACTGTCTCGCCAGAGTGGTGCATGCTTTAGTTATCCCCCGCTTGGACTACTGCAATGCACTCTACATGGGCCTACCTTTGAAGGTGACCCAGAAACTAATCCAGAATGCAGCAGTTAAGAATGCTGACTGGGGGCAGCCGCCGAGACCACATAACACCAGTCTTGAAAGACCTACATTGTCTCCCAGTACATTTCTGAACACAATTCAAAGTGTTGGTGCTGACCTTTAAAGCCCTAAATGGCCTCAGCCCAGTAGACCTGAAGGAGCGTCTCCACCCCCATCGTTGTGCCCCGACACGGAGGTCCAGCACCGAGGGCCTTCTGGCGGTTCCCTCGCTGTGAGAAGCAAAGCTACAGGGAACCAGGCAGAGGGCTTTCTAGGCAGTAGCACCCACCCTGTGGAACGCCCTTCCAGCAGATGTCAAAGAGAACAACAACTACCAGACTTTTAGAAGACATCTGAAGGCAGCCCTGTTCAGGGAAGTTTTTAATGTGCGACATTTTAATGTATTTTTAATCTTTGTTGGAAGCCGCCCAGAGTGGCTGGGGAAATAATAAATTATTATTATTATTATTTCCTTATCTCCTTCTGTTTCTTTGGAGGGCAGGAACTCCCTGCCCAGTAAACTGTTCCTGCTAGATCCCTGGTACTAAGTGGGGTAACTGTGCCCCTGAAGGACCAGGTGTATAGTCTGGGGGTCATCTTGGACTCACAGCTGTCTATGGAGGTGCAGGTTAATACTGCGTCCAGGGCAGCTGTCTACCAGCTCCATCTGGTACGCCGGCTGAGACCCCACCTGCCTGTGCACTGTCTTACCAGGGTGGTACATACAGTGGTACCTCTGGTTGCAAACGGGATCCGTTCCGGAGGCCCGTTTGCAACCTGAAAAGAACGCAATCCACATCTGCGTGTCTGTGCAGACGCAGGTCGCGATTCGCCGCTTCTGCGCATGAGCACGATGTCATTTTGCGCATCTGCGCATGCGCGAGTGGCGAAACCCGGAAGTAACCGGTACTTCCGGGTCACCGCAGGATGCAACCTGAAAACGCACAACCTGAAGCAAACGTAGCATGAGGTATGACTGTACTCTGGTTATCTCCATCAACTGCAGCCTCTGCAGCTAGCCTCTCTCTCTCTCCATTGCCACCAAATGTCCCTTGTCCAATGCCCACTGCCAGCCCTCGACTGGTCCATCTAAGGCCAACTCACGCAGGCCCAGGACTGTGTCACATTCCTGCTCCAGACAACGCATGCTCCCTGCATGCTTAATTCCAGCTCAAAGGTGAAGGGAGCGCTGCTTGCCCTGCCACCCACTCAGACCAAGCCATGCAGCTCAGCACCAGTGGGTGCAGGGTGGCCACTGCCCCACGGTCCTCTCCCCTCTCCCCCCGACGAGGGATCTGGGGCTCACCGTGCTTAAAGATGGCGTCCCAGGCCTCCATGTGATCTCGCCAGAGCTTGTTGTTCACCCAGCGCATGACCCCGGGCGGCAGGAAGAGGAGGGGCAAGGTTGTGCGCAGCATCGTCTCCACGGTGTCGATGAAGTGCTGGGACTCCGGATTGGGATTCTCGTCCAGGAGGCCCAGGCGCTGGCCATACAAGGCGTAGCTGCTGGCTGCCGGGATTGGAGGAGAAGGAGGAAGATTGGAGGTTAGGTGTCACAGGAGAGGGAGTGGGGCTTTCCAGATGCACTCTCTCATCCCAAAGGAAGGAAGGAAGGAAGGAGCGTCCTCCTCCACAGTTTCAAATCCTAGGCAATATTCCAGGGGAATATTCCTGCGGAACTCTCTCCCACAGGAGGCCATGATGGCAAGCAACCTGGATGACTTTAAAAGAGGGTGAGAAAAATTCATGGAGGAGATGGCGATCAATGGCTTTGAGCCACGATGGCCAGGATTTGCCAAAGGCAGCAATACTTGTGAATACTAGTTGAACCGGACCACAGGTTTTTGTAACTTTTAAGGATTATTGGCTGCCTGATTTTCATCACTGAATATATTGAAACCTGGCAAGACTTTAAAAGTGAGCAAACTGTAAAGCTTGTATTTTTCTTGTTTACCTAAACAGTCTTTGTTAAGAGGAAAACTTAAATGGGATAAAAGTAACCCAAATCTGCCTAGAGCATCCTTGGATATCCTATTTATTCTAGAAAGTTATGCAACCTTGTCCTAAATAATAAATAATAAAAATAAAATTTATTTATACCCCGCCCTCCCCGGCCAGAGCTGGGTTCTGGGCAGCTAACACCAGTAAAATTACAACAAAAACATAATGGGGGGGGGACAATTTAAAATACAGGTTAAAATGCAATTTAAAATGCAGCCTCATTTTAAAGTAGCTAATAAATCAAGACCATAAGGGGAGGGAAACAGAAGGGTCAGACTGAGTCCAAACCAAAGGCCAGGCGGAACATCTTTCTTGCAGGCCCTGCGGAAAGATGTCAAGTCCCACACGGCCCTAGTTTCTTGTGACAGAGCGTTCTATCACATCGGGGCCACAGCCGAAAAAGCCCTGGCTCTGGTTGAGGCCAGCCTAACTTCTCTGTGGCCTGGGACCTTCAAGATGTTTTTATTTGAAGATCGTAAGGTCCTCCATGGGACATACCAGGAGAGGCGGTCCCGTAGGTACGAGGGTCCCAGGCCGTATAGGGCTTTAAAGGTCAAAACCAGCACCTTAAACCTGATCCTGTAGTCCACTGGGAGCCAGTGCAGGCTTCTAGAGATAAGCTGCAGGTGGGTGGTGATTTTTCAACTCTGCTGAAATAGGTATTTGCATTCTTACACAAGAAGAGGAGGGAGAAGAATTCCCCACCCCACCCAAAAAAATGCCCGTACCTTCCAGGGTGAAGCGAAAGAGGTCGCGATGGAGGTCAACCGTGAGCGAGCGCCGTGCATTCTTCCTGATCAGCCGATGTATGGACTCAGCAAAGTCCTCGGCCACCGTGTTGAGGAAGGGCAGGAACTTCCGGGTGCCCACAGGGCTGATCACCTCTTTGTTGAGGATGAGCCGGTCTGAGCGCCAGTCCTCCCCGTTCCTGCGTGGGAAGAAGACCCCAAAGTGAGGTAGGAGACTCTGTGCCTGGAGTGCTTGGCTTGGCTTCCTGTGCAGGGACTCCATCACCCACCGCTGATCCTCGCTTGACCCACCTTCCCTCCTGGGCCTGGCACCCCAATTGCCACCCTCCCATCACTCAGAGGCAGCTCAGTGGCAGAGCATCTTCCTTGCATGCAGAAGGTCCCAGGTTCGAGTCCTGACCGCATCTCCAAGAAGGGCTGCGAGAGGCTCCTGCTCTGAAATTCTGGAGATCGGCTGCTGCCAAAGCCACTTCCGCCCTATGGAGGAAGTGGGGTTGCGCGATTGGGGGGATTCCCGGCCGCGTCACTCCCCGGCCGGCCAATCGGCTGGCTCTGGGGGCGTGGCCTGCCCTATTTAAGGCAGGACGCGCCGGGGGTCTCCCTCTTTGCCACCTGCCCGCTGTTCCTGCTTTTCCCACCCTCCCGCCCTTTAAGGTTTTCATTCCTTGACCTTGCTATAGACCTCGGTTGGTAGCCATTGAGGGGCCTGGTAGGAATTTTTCCACTTGGCAAATGGCACCAGCCCCTTGGTTTTCGCCTCCCTCGTAGCAAATCATCACAACTTTCTGGGTATTGGCGGTTAGGCATTGGTATTGCTCTGTAGATGGAAGAGGGGAGGAAGCGCCATCACCTGCCCCACATATTGAAGGGTAGTCCTGTAAAGGATTCCGGGGGGGGCATGGCCCTGTCCGAAGCCTGGGGAGGTGAGGGCCTACGCCACGCCCCCTATTGGTGACCCCGGGGGAGTTCCTAGTAGATGTGCATCAGCAGGACTCCCCCTACTGGTGGTTAACCCTTCCCGGACTTCAGGCGGACGGGCTGAAGCCGGATATAGTCGGTTAGGACCAGTGCCTAAGCCAATACAGTGGTGCCTCGCAAGACGAAAAGAATCCGTTCTGGGAGTCTCTTCGTCTAGCGGTTTTTTCGTCTTGCGAAGCAAGCCCATTGACGGGATTAGCAGATTAGCGCTATTAGCGCTATTAGCGGCTTTTAGCGGCTTTTAGCAGCTTATCAGCTTATCAGATAAGCAGATAAGCGGCTTAGCGACTTAGAAAAAGAGGGGGAAAAGGAAAAAAAAAACCCAGGAACTCGCAAGACAGTTTCGTCTTGCGAAGCAAGCCCATAGCAGATTCGTTTTGCGAGGCACCTCCAAAACGGAAAACTCTTTCGTCTAGCGAGTTTTCCGTCTTGCGAGGCATTCGTCTTGCGGGGCACCACTGTACCGCTCATCACCCGTAACCAATAAAGTTGTGGCCTTATTTAGCCCATTAACCTTCATAATTGTGCCATTATTTCCACTGGGGATGGGCAGGAACTCACCATGCAACCAGTGTAGCCACTGGTCTGACTCAGTAGAAGGCAGTGCTCTGTGCTCCTCCTGCGTTCCCATTCCTGCCTTGGAGCTCAGCATTGCCTCCACATATTCGGAGGGTACCTGAGGTCCTCTAGACTCCAGCTCCCATCAGCCTCAGGCAACATGGCCAGTGGTCAGCCATGAAGGGTGCTGCTGTCCAGTAACACCAGAAGAGCACTTGGGTTGTTCTGTAGAGGCCACTTTTAACCAGAGGAGCTGAGATTCAAGAGGAGGCAGACGGGTCTAATTTCAAAACCATATTGGCTCT